CACCGTAAGGGGCCTGCAGGCAATGGATCTCTGCAGAAAGTCAGTCCCTCTCACATTGTGCTCTCACTGCACCCTGCGTGGCTGAAGCTGTGGTCTTAGGTCAGACTGTCTGGGCCTGAGCCCTGGCTTTGCTATATGTACGAGTCAGGAATTGCTTCAATAATGCTGCGTAACAAGTCACTTCGAAATCTGGAGACTTACAACAAGCGTTTATTTTCTTCGCCAACTGGCACAGGGAGCAAATAAAGAATTGAAACAGGGTAATTACTGGCATGTACTGAGCAGTTACTATATGCCAGGCACTGTGAGCACTTTACATGTCTTATTTCATTTACTCCTCATGCCAACCCTATATGGCAGGTGTTACTGATGGTGTTTTAGAATGGAAGAGGTAGATGTCCAGAGACGTTATATAACTTGCCCATGGTAACATAGCTGGTAAGTGGTAGAGCTAAGATGTGAACCCAGGCAGAATACACTTACATACTTTAGCACTTTGCTGCCTCCAATGAATGATGCCGTCGTTTGGGGGGAAAGACAGCGATGTGTTCGGGACACCTCAGGTACCCGCATTCAGCCTTCCTCTTACTTTGGGGCCACTGCAGCCCTTCCCGATGGTCTGACTTGTGAAGCCTTTTGACTCCTTTGGTGCTTGACTTAGGCCTGTGCACAAACCCAGTCTCCCTGCAGACCCTGTTCCTCTAAGGGCAGGACCTGTGACCTGGGTGTGGGGGACAGCTGGTTGATGCACAGGTTGTTAAACAGGTTCCCCTCCCAGGGCTGGAGGGTTATGGGGCTGTGGGCTCCTAGAGCAGTGCAGTCACTGCACCTCACCCGGGGCCTATGCTGGGGGCGCAGGGGGAGGGTAGGACGAGGGGTGCCCTTGGCTGTGCTAAAGGAGTCGCCGCAGAGTAGGGCAGGGAAGAAAGCGTCCTGGCCCCAGTTTCGCCCCTTGATAGCAGTACTGTGCAGCAGACAGGGAGTGGATTCAGGTCCGGCCTGCCACTGGCCAAGTGAGTGGCCTTGGGCAAGAGCATCCTCCCAAGCCTGTTTCCAAACAGATAATGACAGACCTGCCCCCCTACCTCCACCAGTGGGCCTACAGTGCATGTGAGGGGCTGTATACTGGGCTGGGACTGGTCACTGTCTTACTTCTGTGATTTTTAACATTCAGCTCTCAAATACCCACAGCTAAGTTGAATGGTTAATTGACATTTCTCCCCAAGCACAACTTCAGGTCCATTTCTCAGAGTCTGAATACATCAGGGGATGTATGACCTGGAATATATCATTTCTCCCCTCTGGGCCTCAGTTTTTCTATCCATAAAATGGGGGTCAGCACACTCCCCTCATACACGAAGTTAATGAGATCGTATAACAGTCCCGCATCCCCTTTCTGAGCCTCAGTTTCCCAATTTGTACAATGGGTTAATAGGGTTGTGTGGATTGAAGGGGGTAGTCATGGCAACTGCTTAAGGCATGTCGATGCACATATGAAGAGCTTAATAAACCGTAGTTTTAAAAGTAAACCCAGTAGAGAGCAGGAGTTCCAAAATTGGAAGCTGAATCCAAGTCACCTTCCAAGTTTCAAATTTTTATTCACTATGATAGAATACATTCCCTCTTATAGAATATACTCTCCATAATGTCCTTGCTTGTTTTCATTTCCTATACCTTACCTTTTCTAAATGATTAGATTTTCAATGTCACTTTTCCTATCCCCATGGGTAATGGAGATTTAACTAATTCTATGGGTTTGTTTGAACCTGTTGAAGTAGAGACCTGTCTCCTATTATATTATGTTTATACACTTTTTATTTTAGTAAAGAAATATACCTTCCTTGGGTACATCTTAACTGACAAAGAACCTTTGCATCCACCGTTTAATTCACTCCTAACAGCCCTGTTGGGTTGGTATTCCTCTTGGTATTTTACCTTCATAAAACTGGAGCCCAGAGAGAACAAGGAGACTTGCCCAAGGTCACACGGCAAGTCAGGGGTGGGACCAGGGCTTGGGTCCTGTCACCAAGCTCCATCGCTCTCTTTCCCAGTGGACTCAGCGCTCCCCGAGCTCAGAGCAGCGTTCCTCAGGGGGCCGTCTTCTCTTTGCCCTCCATCAGTCATACTGTGTGCTCCCAAGATGCGGTGGGATGTCTCCCATGCTGCCTGGGCCAGGTCTTTGCACACCTGAGGAGTGGACAGCCACTGCCATTCTTAGTCCAATATTTACCGAGGGCCTACTATGTGCAGGCATCCCTCACTCTTGAGACGCTCTGACTCCTGGGGGAAACGGACTTACACTAGGGAGTAGTAACAAGGCGGTGCTTTAATATGGGTCCAAACAACGTGCCTGGGCCTGCGCAGATCAGGGGGACGCTGCTCAACAGAGAGGGCTTCAGGTGGGAACTTGAACAAGACAGGGTGGCAGAGGTGACGGTGCTCCCCAGGCAGAGATAAAGATGGGGAAGGCCAGGCATTATCTTAAGCAGGGGTAGCTTAGGGAGGAGTGGGGTGTGTGGGTTTAAGTGGCTTCGGGGCTCGTTCAAGCTCTAGCTGGGAAACTTGTCCCGTTCCTGTTACAACTTGCTCCCTCGGAATAAAATCAACAAGGCCCAGACTCAAGAGCCAATGGTTCAAGTTTGCTGGAAGTGGGAACCACGCACTCGGAGCCCCCGCAGTGCCACCGCCACCAAGCCCTGGCACTTGGGCAACAACTTCTGCTCTCTGGGTCTCTACCCATCTGCACAGTAACCGCAGAAGCTCCCAGGTCTCCGCCGCCGGTGTGTTACCCTTCTTGCATTCTCCTGCAACAAGTGGCCGTGGTCGGGAGAAGCTGGCGCTCATCCAGGTCTCCACCAGTGGAGGCCGGGCCAGGAGTCTAGGAGCTGCCCAGCTCGCAGCCCGCAGCTGCCTGGCCCTCCCCCCGGGCTCGGGGTGGGGCCGCCAGCCACCCTGTCGCTGCTCCCTTATCTGCGCACTCCGAGCCAGAGACGCGCATGGCCGCCTTGCCCAGTTCCGCTGGCTCCGCCGCTGCAGGTACCCGGCTGGGGCGCAGTCAGAGGGGCGGGTGGCGTGCAGCTGGAGCGCTCCTGTGGCGCGCGGGGTCCTAAGGGCAGCCCAGGGACTGGAGTGCGTGGGTGTGCGGAGGGTCACGTGGGGAGAGAGCAAGGAAAGGCAGGACAGCGTCGCTGGAGCTGGGGCATCTCCTGACGCCAGCGGAAATCAGCTGGGATGGGGGTACCACTGTGGAGGGAGCGGGAGCAGGAAGGAGGAGCTGAGGCCGAGGGGACCATCTCCGGGATAAGTGGGCGGAGTTAGGGGCAGAAGGGGAAGAGGAGCTGACTAGTTCCAACGGAGAAGGAATCTAGGGAGGCTCTAGGGCCAAAAGAGGGTGTGAGTACCTGCAGCTGGGTAATGTGAGGAGGTCCCGGTTGGAAAACCGGGAACGGTGGGAACAGCAGTGCTGGGGGCTTCAGAGGGGCTCTTGCTCCCAAAGGAGCCTGGGCCCCTCGCGCTGGGGAAGCGCCCTTGATGTCAGGAGGGCATGGGAGTTCCCCTCACCCAGTGAGGGTGGGGGAAGATGGAGCCGCACACCGCCCACAGCATTTGCCTCAAGCCTGCAGGCTTTGAGGATCCAGAGGTTTCCCAGGGACAGCCCCTGCAGGCCTGATGGGGGGAGTGCGTGGCCAGGTCAGGTCATGGCCGGGAGGTTTGAGAGTTTGATGGATTCTCAGAGCCTGGTTGCGCCTGGGTGGGTGGGCTGGGACGCTGTCTGAGAGGGACTCAGCCTTGTCCTGGGGCTTGTGCCACCTCTAGGTCCTTGGGTGAGAGGCCAACCCTCTCCAGCCTCAGTTCTCCTGACCACAGAACTTGTGGCTGGTAAGTGATGAAACTCAGAGCCCTTTTCTGTATCCCGTGCTGGCTGACTGTAGCCAGCTCACCCAGCCTCTCTGGGCCAGCATTCCTCCTTCAGGTTCTTCCCTGTCTTCAGAGCATCTGTGTGTGTGAGCTCCATGGAAGAATCCCTTTAAGAGTGATTTATTTCATTCTGATCACACTTTTCAGTACAAACGGAGAGCCCCCTGCCAAGTACAGTTACAAAAAAATGAAAATGGGTTCTGTTCAGTTTTGGGAGTTATGGAAGGACATTTCCAACACATTGGGGTGAGTTGGGGAACTGGTTTCCATTTAGGGAGGTGACCCAGTTGCTGCCAGCCAGGATGAACACTCTGCTTGTATAATCTTTGGCCACCCCCTGGGTGCCTGGGAGTTGGCTGCAGTGGATAAAGGGCAGGAGAACTGTTTTTCAAGTGAGATGGACGTGCTGTGCTCCACCGTCCTGCCTCTGGAGCTCTGACACCCACTGGCTCGGATGCAGGGTGAGAAGGTTGTAACCAGCAAGCAACTGTAGATTATTAATGTTAGTCCTTTGTAAAAAGCAAGCAGCTGTAAATTATTCATGTCAGTGCCTAATCTTATTATACTATGTCATCCTTGTCAGGATGCCCCAAGAGAGTTTACCTCTGACAACCCCAGTATTAACACAGGTCTTGGCCTTACTATTATTTTTATTTAATGAGGCTAAACTTTGCTTTCCATGGCAAGAGAAAGTTTAAGGGAGTGTGCTGAACAATCAGAGCCTACAAAAGCAACATTGAATACATTTTACCCTTGAACATTGGAGGGGGTTGGGGCGCAGCCCCCTCCAGTCAAAAATCTGCCTAAAAACTTTTGATTCTCTAAAACCATAACTACTGATAGCCTACTATTGACTGGAAACTTTACCAATAACATCAACAGTTGATCAATGTGTATTTTGTATGTTATATGTACTATATATACTGTATTCTCTTAATAACATGAGCTAGAGAAATGAAAATATTATTAAAGAAATTGTAAGGAAAATACATTTACAGTACCGTATGTATTGACTGAAGATATTCACATGTAAATGAACCTGCGTAGTTCAAACTTGTGTGGTTCAAGGGTCGGCTGTATTTTGCTACCAGAGGAGGCAAAAGAATTGGAATTATAACCAAATAACACTTTGTAATTATTAGGTGTTATTTAGCGAGGCTTTTAAGCTCCAAGAGGTCAGGGTATTAATATCCTTAGGTGTTACCCTTAATTGTTAACTAGCTGGGCTATTAGTTCTCTGAGTTGGTATTTCAAAAAGGTGAAAGATGTGTGCGATCTGAAGAGAAACCAGAGATTAAGGTGGTATTTTAACTACTTCGTTCACTGCAGAAGCTCCAGAACTGGCACATAGTCCGGGCCTAAAACAAATGTCTCAGGGCCTGAAGGGCCCTTGGAAGTTACTGGTGAATTCACTGTCCTTGACATTGGTAGAAACAGAGCCAAGAGAGGAATGGACTTATCCAAGGTCACACAGGGATTGAGTGGCTGAGCCTAAACTAGAATCCAACAAAAATAGTGGAGCCCAGGCTGTGCGAGAGCCAACACCTAGGATCTGTGACTGTTTTGCTTTTGCAAGAGCCCTTGAGGTAGTTATTATCCTCTGATTTTAAATGAGGAAACAGGCTCAGAGAGGTTAAGGAATTTTAGCAAAGTCACATAGCTAGTGAGTTCCAGACTTGAAGTCCCATCCTCACATAAAAATGGGAGCCTGGCTTCTTACGCAATGGTTTCCAGAGGTGAGTAGTAGGCACCCACCCTTGGGGCAGCAGCTCTCTCGGTCACCACTTCGGTGGCTTCTGTCCGGGCTGGACTTTCCTAGGCCCCTGGGCATTTGTTTGGTTTGTTTGTCAGGGCAGGGAGCCTGTCTGTTTCATTCCCCACATGTCCCTGCCCCTGTAGCACTGCTTGCGCCTGGCATAGAGCAGGCACTGAGTAAAATCTGTGGGACGCGTACAGCCCCGTCCTCTCCCACTCCAGATCGCATGTACGACCCCATCCCCATAACTTTTTCCCCTAGTTTGGCCCCCAGAGGTCTGGGGGTACTCTTTGAGAAGTGTGTATCCGGTGGAGAGTCCAGGAGGAACTGAGGGTGGCAAGCCGTGGTTGAGGAGCAGGTGAGGAGGTTGACCTCAATTTAGGAAAAGGGGAATTTGAATTGAGAGGGCCAGGGAGGTGGGAGGCGGGGGAGGAAGGAGCGCTCAGACTGACCCGGACTCCCACGTGGGCCCTGGAGGTTTCAGTTCTGGGGCTCTGCCAACCCAACAGCCTCCCAGACTTGCAAGACATGCCCCGCCAGGTCACATGCCTTTTGGATGACCTGCTAGCACCATTTAGGTCCTTTACCTTCTCCCCTTCACACTCCCGCTTACTTGCTCAGGGGGAGGGCTGCTGGGGCTTTGGCCTTTCCCTAGGGAGTTCGCTTCCCAGGCACCTCTCTAGGGTCTGTGGGCAAGAATAAAGCTTCAGGCTCTGTGAACCCAGAGGGGTTACTCTGAATGGTCTTTGCTGAGAACATTTTATTTCATAAGGTCAGTGTCCCCAGCAGTCCAAACTCCAGCCAAATTCCCCTTGTCCCAAGAAGCACCCTCAGTGAAAAGTAAATATTTAAAGAGACACGGTTAACTTTCAAAGGCCCCAAACCCAGTGGAGCCAGCCCCTGAGCGCTAAAAGAGGACTGAGTTCTTTAGAGAACCCCAAGCCAGTCTCTCAGGCTAGAAATACTTCCATTACAACCATTATTAATAATTAGTTACTACTACTGACAATTAATAATGATGGCAATCCTTTATTGAGTCCCTGAACTGTGCTAAAACTTTGTTCTAATAATCTTTCCAGTCTAAGAGGTAGATAATAATGTCCACGAGGGAGCTAAGGATCAGAGAAAGTAGATCACTTGTCTTAGGTCACATAGCTGGTATGTTATGGAATCAGGCGTCAAACTCGGTCTGTTTGAATCAGAAGCCCATCTCCTTCATGAGGCTTTATAGCGTCTGCTGTCTCTTTTATTCCTAACTTACTTTTATTCTGATTCCCACTGAATAGGGGACAAAAGCCAACCAAGTTTGCCTGATATCCATTAACCAGGCCCTGGACAACTGGTCTCAGCCCAACTGTGCCTGCCTTGCTGTGTGGTCTTGGTAAGTCATAGCTCTTCAGCCAGCCTTTGGTATCTGCAAATGTTTTATACGGAGGTTAATGGCCAGGTTCCTTCTGCAGCTGAGGTCTGGCCGGGAGGGCAGAGTTTAGCCTGGATTTGACCAATGTGGGAGTGGTGATGGAGGGGATGGGACAAGAGTGGAAGTTGTTTCTAGCCCCACCCTCTGGTGACATCACACAAGACAGCTCCAGTCCCTGGAAACCCTGCCCCTAGTGACCCTCACCTGTGGGAGTGCCACCCAGTGCTTGGCATCTGGCAAATGTGCCGAGTCCCACAGCAGAACTCATCAGCCCCTGGCTCTGGAGAAACCCCTAGGTAAGCAGTGCAAGGGGGCCATGGAGCTGTACTGGACGGGGGTGGGATGCCTGGAAGAGGCTGGTCTGGCAGCTGGTGGGCACTCTACTCAGAGATTGCCCCGAGGGTATCCTCCTCATGCCCACCCTTCCACCTGGTCCTTTCCCTCAATCTGGGGCCCCTTTCCATGGAGTTGGGATATGGGTACTAATATTCTGAAAATGGACCTATTCAGGTGGATGGGGGCCTTTGGCTGAGGTCTGAAGGAAATAGGGTGGCAGGACCTCAGTCATCTCAGTATGTGGCCTCTGCATTCTGTGTTTAGGGCCCACTGTGCCTGGGTGAGGGGAAGGCTGTGAAGGGGGAGGTAGCTGTGAGCCAGGGCGTCAGTGGTGCGGAGCCAGTGGGTAGCTGCTGACTTGGGGAGACGGAGGTCTCTGGATGTGAAACAGTTGTTAGAAGTGTAAGAGAACAATTCATAGGAAAGGACTTGGTTGCCAGCTTTAGACCAGTATTTTCCCAGGTAATAGTTCTGTGGGATGCAGATACATATGATAGAAGGCGGTAGCAGGGCGGTAGCAGAGTGGCTGAGGGTATGTGCTCCACAGTCAGAGAGCTGGGTCCCAACCCTGACTCTACCTCTCCGTGTCTGTGTGACCTTGGGTAAGAAGCTAAGCTCTCTGAATTTCACTATCCTCAGCAACAAAAGGGGCATAATAATATCTACCTCACAGGCTAGTTATGCAAATTAATTGCCGCAATGTTGTAAAGAGTAAGCATACAGTAAACACTTATTACATTTTAGCTGGCTTTATAATATACTTATTACTGGGGAAGGAATCCTTGGTTACGGAAGCTTGGCAAATGCGGGCTCGGTAATAAAGCGAAGCAGGCTCCTTTGATGCAGGACTTCCCGGAGCTCACAGCCTTCTGTATGCTGCAGTGCCGTGGGACATGCTAAGAGTGGGATACGGAGCCTTCGGCTGACATAACGGATCGTGGAGACCTGGGAACTAGGCCACCACACTGTGTCATCCTTCTCTGGTCTTTGTCCCTGTGGTGGGACTGAAACATTCCTGGATTGGACAACTTTGGGAAAGGACTTCCTGTCTCATGGCTCTTATCTCCTCGGTGTAAAACAAAGTTGCTGAATGAGATGCTTTCAGAGGCCTGTTTTGGGTCCCTGAGGTCCTGAGACAGGGAGGCAAAGTTGTAGACAAGGACGGAGGCCAGGTTGCTGAGGCTGAAGCCCAGTCTTTTAGGGAGGAGTTGATCCAGGGTCGACTTCCCAACCCACGAGGCAGGGCAGGGGTGTTCTTGTGCTTGGGATGGAAGTGGCCCCATTGTTTAGTCCATCAGCAAGGTCTGCCTCCTAAACCTGCTGTGTGCCAGGCTGTCTGGGGAACAGGAAGTGGAGAAGCCCTGGACTCCTGTGTCTTCCTCTTTGTGCAATAGAGTGATGACTGCTTTCACACCTGCCTCCCCACTGGCTAGGAACTGCTACAGACCGGAGCTCTCCAGAACTGTAATGTGGGAGAAGCTTACAGATGCAAATCAGGCTAGGGTGAGGAAGAGTGTGGGCTGGGGGCTTGTGTTTTTTTTAAATTTAATCTTTGTTATCTTTTTTCCATTACTATTTAGTCCCCTTCTGTCCCCCTTCCCCCCAGCTATCACTACACTATTGTCCATGGCCATGAGTCCTTTTTCCTTTTTTCTCAATCCCTCCCCGCTAACCTTCCTCCCCACCCCCACTAGCTGTCATCTGTTCTCCATCTAAGTCTGTCTCTGTTTTGTTAGTTCAGTTTGTTCATTAGATTCCACATGTGAGTGAAATCATATGGTATTTGTCTTTCTCTGACTGGCTTATTGCACTTAGCATAATATTCTCCAGGTCCATCCATACTGTTGCAAAGGATAAAGTTTTCTTCTTTGTGGGGACTACCAACACCCCAAGTTGGAGGCGTAGATAGACACACTGTGCCTCCTCACACAACCAAAAGGACAACAACAATTCAAAAATAAAAAAACAACACGAACTGACAGAAAATTGAACTGTATGGAAGTCTGGCAACCAAGGAGTTAGAGAAGACACATTCATCCAGACCGATGGGGGGTGGGCAGAGATAGGCAGCCGGGCGGAGAGGACTTGCAGCAAGGCGGCGGCTGGCGGACCTGGCGAGGCATTGGATTGCGGACAGGGCAGTCCCACATTCTCAAGAGGAGATAAACCGGGAGAAACAACTGGGGAGTGAGACAGACTGCACAACCTAGGGTTCCAGCACAGGGAAATAAAGCCTCAAACCACTGATTGAAAACACCTGTGGGGGTTGTGGCAGTGGGAGAAACTCCCAGCCTCACAGGAGAGTCCATTGGAGAGACCCACAGGGTCCTAAAATGAACACAAGCCCACCCACCCAGGAATCAGCACCAGAAGGGCCCACTTTGCTTGTGGGAAGTGACTGAAATCTGGCAGAGCAGAGCAAGTGCAATTGTTCCCTCTGGGACCCCTCCCCCACATACAGTGTCACAGCCCAGCCATTCGGGTTGCCCCACCCTGGTGAACACCTAAGGCTCTGCCCCTTATATGAAACAGGTGCGTCAAGACAAAAAAAATTGCCCAAATAAAAGAACAGATCAAAGCTCCAGAAAAAATACAACTAAGCGACAGATGCACAGTTCAAAGCACTGTGGCTATCAGATGCACAGTTCAAAGCACTGGTGATCAGGGTGCTCACAGGATTGGTTGAATTTGGTTGCTAATTAGATGAAAAAATGAGGGCTACACTAAATGAAATGAAGGAAAATGCACAGGGAACCAACAGTGATGGGAAAGAAACTGAGTCTCAAATCAATAGTGTGAACCAGAAGGAAGAAAGAAACATTCAACCAGAACAGAAGGAAGAAACAAGAATTCAAAAAAATGAGGAGAGGCTTAGGAACTTCTCTAGAACATCTTTAAACATTCCAACATCTGAATTATAGGGGTACCAGAAGGAGAAGAGAAAGAACAACAAATTGAAAACTTATTTGAACAAATAATGAAGAAAAACTTCCCCAATCTGGCAAAGGAAATAGACTTCCAGCAAGTTTAGGAAGCTCAGAGAGTCCCAAAGGAGTTGGACCCAAGGAGGAACACACCAAGGTACATCATAATTACATTACCCAAGATTAAAAATGAGAGAATCTTAGAAGCAGCAAGAGAAAAGGAGACAGTTACCTACAAAGGAGTTCCCATAAGACTGTCAGCTGATTTCTCAAAAGAGACCTTCCAGGCAAGAAGGGGCTGGAAAGAAGTATTCCAAATCATGAAAGGCAAGGACCTACATCTAAGATTACTCTATTAAGCAAAACTTTCATTTAGAATGGAAGGGCAGATAAAGTGCTTCCCAGATAAGGTCAAGTTAAAGGAGTTCATCATCGCCAAACCCTTATTATATGAAATGTTATAGGGATTTATCTAAAAAAAAGAAGATAAAAAATATGAGCAGTAAAATGACAGAAAACTCACAATTATTAACAACCACACCTAAAACAAAAACAAAAGCAAATTAAGCAAACAACTAGAACAGGAACAGGAACACAAATGGAGATCACATGGAGGGTTATCAGTGGGGGGCGTGTGTAGGGAGAAGGTACGGAGAATAAGTAGCATAGATGGTAGGTAGAAAACACAGGGGGAGGGTAAGAATAGTATAGGAAATGTAGGAGCCAAACAACTTACATGTATGACCTATGAACATGAACTAAAGGAGGGGAATGGGGGAGGGGTGTACAGGGTGGAGGGGAGTGAAGGGGGGAACATGGTTAAAACGATAATAGCATAATCAAGATATATTAAATTTTTTTCTTTTTTATGGCAAAGTAGGATTCTTTTTAAGTGACATCATAGGCTTTAAAGGTTTTATTTATTTATTTATTTTTAGAGAGGGGGAAAGGAGGGAGAAAGAGAGGGAGAGAAACATGATATGTGAGAGAACAGTGATTAGTTGCCTCTCTCATGCCCCCAACTAGGGGCCTGGCCCACAACCCAGGCATGTGCCCTGCCGGGGAATCAAACCAACAACCTTTTGGTCCCTAGGCTGGTGCTCAATCCACTGAGCCACATCAGCCAGGGCAGGGGTTTGTCTTGATGCTGCCTTTGCACAGCAAGTCCCCTGCATATACTTGGACTGCGTGTGAATTAGTGAGTGGCTTTGGGGGTGATTGTGGTGCTGTTGGTGGTAGAGAGCATGGAGTTTTCCTTGCCTCTTGCAGTTCAAGAGTAGCTGTAATAAAATCTGATAAATGATGGATAGAAAACTTGGGTGCTAAGTTCAATAAGCTTGTTGGAGGGAATTTATTTGATAGAGCAGAGTTGTCTGGCAGGTGCTGTATTTTCAATATATATTTGATTTAATGAATAATGATAAGCTTGAATAAAGTGCAACTGGCACTAGGCAAATGCTATAAAAAACTATTTATAGCATATAATTATAAAGTGATTTATAGCACTTGCCAGTGGGCAAGTACAGAGGGCAGTTTCAGGTAGTGATCAAGACTAGAAACAGAATTTAGATTGTACCTCTGCTGCTTCCGAGCTAGGCGAGTGGGTAACTTCTTTGTGCTTCAGTTTTGTTATCTGAAAAGTGAGAATAAAGATAGGATCAATTCCACGGGGTGCTATGAAGTGTAAATGAGTCAATTAAATGCTTAAAACAGTGACGCATTGTAGGTGCTGTGTAAGCACTATGATTTGTTTTCCTTTCTATGTTCTCTACCTTATCATAAAGTTTCTGAGGACAGGGTTCAAATCCTTTTCTACTCTGCCTTTCCTGGTATGAATTCCGGAGATTCATTCACAGGACTTGAGGCAGAAGAGGAGCACTCAGTTTGATACATGAATGAATGAATGAATGCATTTTAAATGCTAAATGGTATAACCCATTATAGGTTTCGCAGAGGAATGTAGGGAGGGGCAGGAGGGAGATCCCCTGGAGATGGCAGCCCTTGGAGGGAAAGGAAGTTGGAACAGGGTGTGACGTTTGGGTTAGGTGGGAAATGAGGGTGGGAGCAGACAGCGGGGTCTCGAATACTGGGGTGAGGGGTTAGGTTTTATTTTTTTTGAACTAACAACCATGGCTGGGGTGGAAAGGCTGGAAGATAAGTATCTGATGGTAGGAACTCAAGTAGAGAAGTCATCATCTGAGGTTCAGGGAGCCAGGAAAATATCACAGAAGAAATGGGTTTTAAGGGATGAATGAGTTTGCCAGACAGGCAAGAGGAGGAAATGTCTCTGGTGGAGGGAACAGTTTATGCAAAGCTGTGGATATTTGAAGCAGGTTCAGGGGGTTGGTGAGGCTATGGCTGGATCTGAGTGCATTGTGGTTGAGCAATAAGGCTGGGAAAGGTAGCAGATCATATAGGGGAATGGAGGGTCAGTGGGGACTGAAGGGGCTAAGGACAGGCAGCTGATCTGTGAGCAATGTCATTGTTGCCACTAGGTGAACACTGATGGCAGCATAAACATAGGAGAAAACTATCAGGGCTGCCGTGTGGAGCCTGGACTGGAAAGGAAATGGCTGAGGCAGTGAGCCTCGTTCATGAATCCATTCCTCAAATGTTCATTGAGCACCGCTGTGTGTTGGGCACTGTTCTGGGCATTTGGGATACACCAAGAAGCAGGACAATCACGAGTCAGAGTTGAACTCTCCCTTAGGATGACTCCTTTCTTTCGAAACTCAGTGTAGAGATAAGGGGGCAGGGGGGAGGGAGTAAGAACTGGGCATGGGGGTAGGGGATGAGGATAGCAACCCCTGACTTTGCTCTGGTCCCCTCTCCAGCTCCCTGCCCAGTTCACAGCCATGGCCACAGCGGTGGCCCAGAAGCTTAGCCACTTTCTGCCCAGTTTGCGGCAGGACCACCAGGAGCCTCCGTCATCTGTGCAGACAGAGCCTGTCTTCACAGTAGACCGTGCCAAGGTGCCACCCCTCTTCTGGAAGCCATACATCTATGTGGGCTACCGGCCGCTGCATCAGACCTGGCGCTTCTACTTCCGCTCGCTGTTCCAGCAGCACAACGAGGCAGTGAACGTCTGGACCCACCTGCTGGCAGCCCTGGTGCTGTTGCTGCGGCTGGCCATCTTTGTGGGGACTGTGGACTTTCGGGGAGACCCCCACGCCATGCCCCTCTTCATCATTGTCTTCGCCTCCTTCACCTACCTCTTCTTCAGTGCCTTGGCTCACCTCCTGCAGGCCAAATCTGAATTCTGGCATTATAACTTCTTCTTCCTGGACTATGTGGGTGTGGCCGTGTACCAATTTGGCAGTGCCCTGGCACATTTCTACTATGCCATTGAGCCTGCCTGGCATGCCCAGGTGCAGACGATGTTCCTGCCCATGGCCGCCTTCCTCGCCTGGCTTTCCTGCACTGGCTCCTGCTACAACAAGTATAGCCAGAAGCCTGGCCTGCTGGGCCGCACATGCCAGGAGGTGCCCTCGGCACTGGCCTATGTGCTGGACATCAGCCCGGTGGCACACCGCATCCTGGTGTCCCCCAACCCTGCTGCAGATGACCTTGCTCTTCTCTACCACAAGTGCCAGGTGGTCTTCTTCCTGTTGGCTGCTGCCTTCTTCTCGGCCCTCATGCCTGAGCGCTGGTTCCCTGGCAGCTGCCACCTCTTTGGGCAGGGCCACCAGATCTTCCATGTCTTCTTGGTGCTGTGCACGCTGGCTCAGCTGGAGGCTGTGGCGCTGGACTATGAGGGCCGGCGGTCCATCTATGAGCCACTGCACACCCGCTGGCCCCACAACTTCTCTGGCCTCTTTCTGCTCACCGTGGGCAGCAGTGTCCTTACTGCATTCTTCCTGAGCCAGCTGGTACGGCGCAGACTCAAGCAGAAGACCCAGTGAAGGGGGATGGCAGCTGGTAGGGAGGGAGGTAGAGTGGGAGCCAAGGGGTTTGGTCTTGGCCACATGTGGAAACAAGGCCTGGTAAAGTTGTTTGTGTCTGGAATGGGGTGACTCTCTGCGCACGCCTCAGCTGCCAAGGGTGGCATTGGCCAGTCCTTGGTCCTTCAGTTTAGGGATTGGCCTGGAGCTGCCGGAGTCTTTTTTTTCCTTGAGCCTGCCCTAGCTCCCTGACTTGGGAGAGGGAAAGGGATCGAGATGGGGGCCACCCTGGTTTGCCTCCCCCCATTGCCTTTCACCAGGCATGAGGATGGGAGGGTCGGCTGGGCCAGGACTCTGGTTTGGGGCTCCCAGATTATCTGGCGGGGGTAAAGGTAGAATTTAGGCCAGAATTAGATTTGAGTTCAGGGGCAGCGGAGGCCTCAGCAACTCCCATCTACCCAGATTTCATTGGTGGATAGGAAGGGGCGGGGCCAATATGTGCACAGGAATTATCATTATTTGAACCTCAGCCTGGAGTTTTGGACCTTCAGAGTCCTGAAAGTTAAAGATTGTGCCAGGTGCAAATGATTCTTGTCCAGTGCCACATAGCTCTCAGTCACTGTTCCAGACACTGAGCCCCACTCCTAGCTTTGGTCTCCATGTTGCACATGTCCTGTTCCCAGTCATTCTCCTAGTTCCCTTGTTTGCAATTCAGTTATCCATTTAGTGTTTTCAGGGCTTCTGCTCAGGGGCAGGCTGCTGACTGGGCCCTGTGGATCAATGCAGGATCAAAGACTTTCATGTTGGAACTGTCAGGGGAAGCACTGAGGAGGGAATAATCTGTAAAGCCTGGGGCCCTCAGGGTCTCAGATTGAGAAGGGCGAATAGAACTTTTGCAGATGCAGAAGAGGGAAGGAATTCCAGGCAGAGGGGAAAACCTGTACAAAGAAAGGCCTAGAGGTATGGAAGGAGTTCACTGGGGCTGGAGCTAGGGGTGGTCTGGTCTCCGATCTGTCCTAGATTCAATAAAGTTACTGTGATAATAGCTGCCACTTTGTTCTTTGTCTCCTCTTCTAGGGAGATCCATAGGTCTGCTTATGGTGTGGGGTTTTTTGGAGGGGTGGGGGAGGGCTGGATCCCCTGGGAGTGAGCACTGGAGGGAGGGAGCTGTGACTATTTTATCTTTGCCTGAGGTGACATTGGGGACCTATACACTATATGTGTGAACTTTTTTTTGGCAGGGAAGTGGGGGGCAGTTTTATTACTAAATAAAATTTAGATGTTAAAAGAATGTTTTAAAAATATAATTTATATTTTTTATAATTTGTCAAATTTATAATTTGACAAAGATTTCATTTTTTAGTTATTCCTTCAAACAAGGATTTTGTTAACTTTTTATAGTACTGCTATATGTTAACTTTTATAATATTGCTTTTTTTTTCAGAGCAATATTATGTACAGTGAAGGAAAATTAGGAAGTACAAATAAAAAATCGCCCAAATGACTAAGAAATATATATATATATTTTTTTCAGATCCAGGGTCACACAGTAAGCCATGAAGGCAGAACTGGAAGCTAGTTCTTTCTTGACTTCAAGTTTTTAGTGTTCACTTGAACATTTTCTAAGTCCTCTCTCATGTGGTTTCATAGTTAAGTTTGGATTTAGTTCCTTTGAATTATGAAAGTAATTCATAAACTCGAGGGTAGGTTAACCATTTAGGGTAGTGTTGTGGACCCCCGCTTTGAAGTTGTTCAATCTGAACCGAGGCTCCACCCTTCCTTTTTAAGACAAGGAACAACCCTGAGCTCCGGAGTGGTTATTATATTTAAAATAAGAAAGTACAACTAACTGAGCATAAAGGAAATGCACGTTCCTTATGCAGAGTCGCGAACGCGTTCACATGGCATATTTCCCTTAAATGAAAAGAGCATAAATAATAAGAAGACCACCGTAAAGGGAAACGGGCTCCACCAGGAGAGGATGAGCTTGTAGGGCGGGCGTCGGTCGGGCAGGGCTTAGGGAAAGGGGTGGAGCTTGGGCTTGGCCGCAGCTGACGCTGGAGGCGGTACCAGCGCTTCGCGAGGCCGCGACGTAGCCCCGCCCGCAAAGTTGGCGCGAGATCCGAATGTCGGTGGAGGTTGTTGTGGCGGTTTCCAGAGGCGGCTGGAGTTTCTACCCGGTGTCCGGTTGGCTTGGCCTCCTCAGCGGGCATGAGGCGCAGAGACCCCGAGGAGGCCTGCGGCGTGTGGCTGGACGCGGCGGCGCTGAAGAGGCGGAAAGTGCAGGTGGGACGCTGGGGCGCGAAAGGGTGTTTGGGGGACCGTGAAGTGCTGGAAGTGAAGTCCCAGACTGAGAGAGGGACCGCTGTGGGATTCAAAGACCAGAGGGAGTGGAGCCTGAAGAAGAATGAAAAATGGAGTTTGGGGAGGGCGGAGAGAAAAGGGGGCCGGAAGGAATACCAAAGGGAATGGAGATCTGGGACAGCAGGTTTTGATGTGTGTGTCGGGGCGGGTGGAAAGAGAATTTGTTCCGAGGGGACTGATGGAGCAGACAGGCTCCCGAGGAACGCGGAGTCCCCGCAAGGGCTTCTCAGGGGAAGCCCTGGGGAATTCTCATCCTGCGGGGACCAGGAAATTCAGGGGAAAAATAGAAGAGGAACTGGCGTAATATTTATTGAGCATCCACTGGGTGCCAGATACACTATTAAGCACTCAGTGGGCATTGTATGTATCATCACATGTATGGGAATGAGGAAACAGGTTAGTAACTAAACCAGGTGCGCCCGAATAGGAAGGTATGGAAATCACACGTAGGTTTGTCACATATGCAAGGCTCTGTGTTAGTCATTACAAAGGAACTAACATGAGATAGTCTTTAATGTTTACTGAGCATTTTATACTCTGCATTGTGTTAAGTATTTCAGATATGTTCTCTTGTTTGGTGCAACTCTATGTGGTAGATAGAATGATAATAGCCATTTGGTCCATGAAAACTGCAGCTCAAAACACTAAAGGCTCTAAGTCTTAGGGGGAAGACAAGAGATGCACTTGCTGGGGTAAGTACATGCTTTACTAATGGTAGGTACTCACAAAAAAACAGTGAAGTAGATACTGCCATTGTCTCTGCTTACAGATGAAAAACTGAGGCTGCGACTGAGACATTTACATAGGCAAGCAGGGCTTCAAGCCCAGTTCTCCCTGCTACAAAGGCCAGTGCTGTTATGCTCCACGGGACAGAATGTAGGCCCAGATGAGTGGTTTCTAGGGAAATGTGATTTTGGAGGTGAGTTTATTGTGATGTGGGATTAACGAGGAAGATTTAACTGAGCGGGTGGGAAGGGATTTGAGATTAGGCAGGTTGCTGAATTTGGATAGTTGGGGCAATAATCTCCAACCAGGTGGTAAAGACCAGGTGGTTAATTTACAGTAAACCATCAATGATGGTCTTTTTTTGTGGGTGGCTACAACTTGCTTAACTGAGTACTTGTTAAAAAAGCATCTTACAACTACAGTCATTTTTGAGAAACAACGAATGAACCACCTGCTCCTTTAATTTTTTTTAACTTAATGTTTTTGTGATAGGTATTACATTTCACGTAGTACATAATTTAAAATGTATAGGATATGCGGTAAAGGATCTCTCTAATACTCCTAACCATCCTGCCCCATGTCAGAGGCCAGGACTTCCTTGTGTATCCTTCCAGAGATATTCTGTGCACCTAGAAGCAAATGCACATTTTCTTTCTTCTAAGTAGGAGCATATTATTCATTGTTCTGCAGTTTGCTTTTTCGCTTATTCCATATTATGGATCATTTTATATGCATTTGTAAAGAGCCATTACTTTTAAACACTATATGGTATCCCATTACATGGAATAGTATCCCTTAATATGACAGTATAGTCTTAGTCTGCTTGCATAAGAACTTTCTCGTCAGATGGCCACATTCTCACGGTGCTCACATGGCCTTTCCTTGGTGCGTGCTGTGGGAAGAGATGGTGGGGAGAGAGGGAGAGAGAGGATACAGGCATACCTCGGTTTTATTGTATTTTGCGTTACTGTACTTCACAGATGTTGTAGTTTTTACAAATTGAAGGCAAGATCCTCTGCTAACAAAAAGATTACAGTTTGCTTAATTGTGATATCACTTTACTGAGGTGGTCTGGAAGCCATTTAAACAAAAACTTGAACTTCCACAGCCGAAAATTCTTTTTAAAACAAAAGGTTTATTGGGTTATTGCTAGCAAGAAAAAATGACCACATCCTGGGGCATGAAGTCAAAACCACCTGCAGCAGTGCCAGGTGGAATAGGTAACATGTCTGTCCTCCCGGAGTCAGCGAGAGTTTTTATACAGCAAGTAGTAGGGAGGAAGATGTAAATTGTTTTGAAATAATTTAAATTGTACAGATAAAGGGAGTGCAAGAAGGGAGTCGGGCTGGTTCTGGGATAGGCACAGAGTGTGTAAGGAAGACGTGTTTGCTCGTGTTTGCTCCTTTGGATCGGCAGGCAACAGTCCGGAAAAAATTCATGCATATACAGGATGTGATCGCTCCCCCTGGCTGGTCTCTTATCTGGGTAATGGCAGAAATAGCCACCTGGAAGTTAATTCAAAGTTCCAACACACACTCAGGAATGTAAGCAGCCTTGTTGGTTTTTGCTCTGCAGTTGTTAATTGATTAATCCCTACTTATCTCTTCCTTCCACTCTCTGGCCTGCTATAATTTAAGTTCGGATTTCTCAGAATATTCTCCTTGTCAAACCAAACACTCAATATCTCTGAGGAATGTCTGTGGACGGATTTGTATGTACTTGGCTTGAAGTTCACCAAGAAGGCCAGTATGGCTGGAGCAGAGTGAGACAGAGAGTAGATGAGATTTGAAAGGTGTAAGAGGGCAAATGAGGCCATATTGTGCCTGTGGGGTTGGGGCTTTGACATAGAATTTTGGGAGGAAACATTTCATTCCATAGCAAGTTTGTATATACATTTATTTATATTTACCAGTTCTTTAATGGCAAAAAGTTATTTCTAATTTGTTGCTATTAAAAATACTTATGATGCCCTGGCTGGAGTGGCATCAGTGGATTGAGTGTAGGCCTGTGAACCAGTGGGTTGCTGGTTTGATTCCCAGTCAGGACACATGCCTGGGTTGCAGGCCAGGTCCCCAGTTGGTGTGCAAGAGGTGACCACATATTGATGTCTCTCTTTCTTTCTCCTTCCCTTCCCCTCTCTCTAAAAATAAATAACATCTTCTTGTAAAAAAATACATAATATCAAGTTTTGGGAAGTCCTTTGCCCATTTTTTAGTTGATTGGTTGGTTGTTTTTTGTTGAGTTGTAGTTCTTTATATATTGTGTATTGATCCCTTATCAGATAATATGGTTTACAAATATTTCCTCCCATTCTATATGTTGTCTTTTTACTTTCTTGATAGTGTCCATTGAGGCACAAAAGATTTTAATTTTTTTAAAGTTTTTTTTTTTTTTAGATTTTATTTTTAGAGAGAGGGAAAGGGAGGGAGAAAGAGAAACATCAGTGTGTGATTGCCTTTCATGCACACCCCCCTACTGGGGACCTGTCCCGAAACCCAGGCATATGCCCTGGCTAGGAATCAAATTGGTGAATCTTTGGTTTGCAGGCCGGCACTCAATCCACTGAGCTACACCAGCTAGGGCTGTATTTTCTTTCAAATATTAGTTCATAGATTACTTTGTTAAGTCTTTAGATTACTGTGGGAGGAAAACCATCAGTTTCAGTGGGTGACCCTCTCATTCTGTTTTTGGAGCCTTATCTGTGACATCAGTTGTACAGTGACAGGAGCTCATCTTAGCTTGATCACGTATTATTAGAAAAGCCTTAGTACTTTCTGACTGCTTTGCTGACGTTGAAACTATAATGAGTAGGTATATACAAAACAGACAGGAACGTATCCTTTCTGTATATTCACCTTCTTCGTAAAATATTTATTGATTTGAGTACTTACTGTTCTCCCTACTTCTCAGGCATTTCATAACAAGCAAAGAGAAACAAGAAGAAATCTCACTAAATAAGGGTTATAAAAGCTGACACTTCCAAAATCTCTCTGGACCTTCTTCCAAATCATACTGTAAAGTATAATATACAGGGGCCTGAAATGGAAGTATGGTAAGACCCATGCCGTAACTATTGAAATGCATCAGCTGCTGCTGATGGAGAATCATTGTCTTTAACTGTAAATTCCTCCTTGGAATTCCTTCAATAAATCCTGTTTATTTAGTTAGCTTGACCAGTTTCCATGAGGAAGAAGAAAGATAAGGCTGTAGTTGGAATGTGTGATTCCTGAGAAAAACATTGATATGGCAGGAAATGGTGGAAAATGATATACAGCAAAAAGTACCTAGGAAGCAGGATCTGAGTGGATCCCAAAGGGTCCGTTGCGGGAGCGGTCACTGATGTTGATTGAATTTCTCCTGCCTGGCTGCTGTTTTGATGTGAATAAGTTCTATTCTTTTTCTCTCCATTTTCAGACACATTTAATCAAGTCAGGCACCAAAATGCTAACACTCTTTCCTGGAGAGAGAAAGGCTAAGATCTCTTTTACCCAAAGAACTCCATCTGCAGGCGTTCGGCAGACCAGTATTGCTTCCTTCTTCACCTTGCAGCCAGGTATGGTGACTGATCTGGGAGCACCCAGGAAGTAAAAAGGAGTGTGTTTTTTTCATGACAGAATGTTTATAAGTGGCGACACCAAAGCACTGTGTTAAAATAGCTTACCTATTAGAAGTTATGAAACTAAGAAATCATCATGAAACTCAATATAAGATTTGTCTGTGAAAATCATCACACTGAAAAGCAATATATACATGCTTTTACAAACACTTTTCTGGTTCTGTTTTGCTCAGTCTTATATTAAATATTTGTATTTCCTGTCAGAACAGCGAGGAAAGGTATATTTGGGAGTTGAGGGTATACAGGGGAGCTCACCTTTAGTTAGGTGTGTGTCTTGGATTGGTCACAATGAGTTGATGTAAGATTGATATTTTTGTATAAAGCTCAAATTAGTCAAGGTTCATCGATGCCTTTTTTCTTAGAAAGGTTGTCATTAAAGCTGGCTTGGGTCTCATCATCCTTTGACAGTTCTTTGCTTTCCTGTCCCACGTCAGGGGGGACCAGCTGACTGAGAACAGGCTGGAGCCCACGGGGCCCACAGAGCAAGGTTCCTGCTAGTAGGAGGGCACTGGAAGGAGAGCTCCAGCTCTTGTGCGATTCCCAGGATTTCTTTGCATAAACCTCCAAAATGCACTCTCCCTACCCAAACAAAAAACCTTTTTGCTTTAACAAAGACAGACTTTTTACAAAAACATTTTACAAATTTCAAATTCTGGTCGATTCTACAGTCCATATAGAATTCTTAGGCAAAACTGAGAACTCTCACAAAACATAGTTTCTGCAGTATAATTCTTATAGAAGAGGAAATAGGTAATCCAGCTTTGTTTATAATTAGGTCTTTGTATAATTTGGTGGTGGTGGGGGGGTGAATTCCACAGCATTAGTCCTTAAGGCAGAACAGGGTACATTCCACAGCTGGTAAAACTGGTAGGCCGGACACTAGTGGTTGTTTATTCTTTCCTGCTGCTTGATTTGGCATCTGTCTTTACTCTTTACCGTGACATGTTTGGGGAGTGGGGAACCTATGTTCTTCACACTGTCACCAGAAGGTTTCTTAGAGTTGAATGGTTAATATCCTTGAGGACTTACAAAAACAGTGTATTGAGCATGTTTCTCAAAGGATAATGTCCCGGAGTAATATTTGGTGAGGCTCACTAGCAGAAAGCAAATTAAATGAAAGACAAAAGCAAAGCTGATGTGCCCTCTGTTATACAAACCCCACATACGAAAACTCAGCTGGAAAGGTAGGCTGTGGTCTAATATGTCACGTTTGACTTTATTAGGTAGGTCGTGGGAACCATCCCTATATTGGAGTAGAAGAATAGATAAGATCTGTTTTACAAAGAGCATTCAGGAGAGAACAGAGAGATGGAAAGCAGGAAGCTCAGCTACAAAAGTATGTAAAGAGCCTTAAGACCCCTGCACTAGGTAGTGATAATAGCTGATAATGATTTCAGAAAGAGCCAGCTAAATTCCACTCAGGGAACAGTTTTCCTGCAAAATAATATTTGTTCATGTCTGTTTTGTAGGAAAGATAAATGGTGGTGATGAGAGGAATGTTTCATCTCATGCAGAAAGTCAGACCAGCAGACAGTCTAAGAAAGATGCAACCCAGCTAGACCATCCGATCCAGGGCCTGGGGGGTGATTGCATGGCACCCCCTTTTGCCACTTCAACCCCTGCAGACATCCAGGAAGGTGGACTTTCTCCTCAGTCCCTCCAGGCTTCTGGTCAACACAGAACGGGAACCCCAATCTTGACTGAGTCTTTGTTCCAGCCCGATACCTTAGTCTGTGCTGGAGAGAAGCAAGACCCACTGGCTTGTTCCTTCACCCAGGACTTGGAAAGTTCTTGCTTGCTGGACCAAAAGGAGGGACAGAAGGATTCTTCCTGGAAAAGGGAATGGCTTTGTGGATCTAAGAAAAAGAACTGTCAGGGCACGAAGAGATGCAGTAAACCCTCTCGGGGCAAGGGCCATCAGCCCTGGGACAAGTCTGCATTGGGAAACATGTCTGCCCAAGAAAATAGGCAGGCCCCTGTCCTCTTTCAAACACACAGAGACTTCTGGAGTGGAGAAAACGCAGAAGCAGTGAAACAAAGTTCTTGTCCTGTTTCTGTGTTTTCCTGCGACAGTGAAAAGAATGACAGGGACTCCTGGAGTCAGCTTTTCACTGAGGATTCCCAGGGCCAGCGGGTCATTGCCCACCGCTCTAGAGCTCCTTTCCGAGAGATAACCAACAGCCAGAACCAGGGCCTAGGGCCCTTTCCCCACAGCTCTGTGGCTCAGTGTCAGGCCAGGCCTGTTCAGCTATGTCTGCAGCCTGATTTGCTCTTTACCCAGGACTCTGAGGGCAATCAAGTTATCAGGCACCAAGTCTAAATGTCTTTCAGCGTTTGCTTTTAAAAATATCTTCAGAAGGGGTTGATGGGGATTATGTTTATGTTTGGGTAAGGGGGAAGTGTGTGTTGAAGCTGTTATTGAGCATTTTCTTTATGTAAATAAAGCAGGTGGTGACACCTGAGATAATATGGTTGGCATCATGCCTTTCCATAAATTAGGGCTGGTTGGTAATTCTCTGCACAAAGCTATGGTTACCACCAGGGAGGCAGGGCAGGTCCTTATTCCTCCACCACAGAGCCTGTAGCGAGCCACCTTTCTGCTCTTTCAGATGCCTCACTGAGACATCGCCTCTTACAGATAGACGTGTATACGTTTAACCTCTGGCTGTAATCGTACATACTCGACCTAAGCTTGGGACCATTATTCCCGACACTTTGAGCGGTAAGTCATTGACCTGGGTGTGCAGGGGGACAGAGAGGTAGAGGGTAGAATGATGGCAGTTTAATTTTTAATTTTATTTTTGTGATAACTTTACAGCATTTTAAAATTATATGTTTAAACATCTCCCTTAAAAAGCTTGGGCTAGATAACAATCTAGATGTGATTACATCACTGATACTATAAAGTAGGAGATAACTCCCTTTGTAAAACTGAGTCCAATTAAATGACTGTTTACAAAGCTGGCTCTGATGGTAATTAAAACATTACCAATTTTATTTTTGAAAAAGGAACTTTTTAATGTTATTGCTGTGGGTCTGATCTCAAAGGAATCTAACTTGACCTGTGTTCTATCCAGGATTTTACTCATCAGGTAGCAGTTTCCCGTGATGCAGGTGTGGAACCTAAGAGGCTCCAAGGGGGCAAGTTGTAAGATGGAACTGCTTTGGGAGCTTAGGACAGAATCTCTACAGAAAGGGACACAGCCAGGATCCTGTTAATGAAAGTACACATACTGTAAAATTAACAGGAACTTATACCTGCAAGGGACACCAGGGGATTGTAACTCAGAAATGGACACAGCAACTGCAGTATCTCTGCAAATCCTTCCTTTAATGTCAGGTAGTGCTTCAACCCAAACACACACAATACATACCGTAGAGAAAGGGACCTGAGGGTGTCTGAGTCATGCATGGTGTGGGTACAAACCTTGTCCCAATGCAAAGGAGAAGTCAAGGGCCTGTAAGAAAGATGATATTCTCTTTCCCCTCCCCATTTCTCTTTTCTACTGGGCTTAAACTACAGTCCATGGAAGAGCAAGAGTTCAGTCAGTGGAACCAATGAGGCCCCAGGGCCTTGGAGGGTAGATTTGGTTGTACAGTATTACAAAATATATTTAAGAAAAAAAAAACAGCCAGGCCTCCTAGAAGCAGCCCCAACGGCAGCTGGTTCAGAGGCCAGACCTCTACTTCTAGGTGTTGGACAGGGGAGAGGGTGACTGCTGGGCATTGGTGTATTATGAACAGTATTAGATTTTTCCTGCCCTGTGAACATGTACATAAACATTTAGAGCTCCCTTGGCTGACTGCAAGGAAGCTGCTGAAAGTGACAGCTGGGTACAGTGTCACTGTACAGTAGGTCCAGTGAGACCAGTTACGGGGTCTAATGCAGTGAAGTCAGTCATTCAGGACCTACTTTCACACAGGGGTAAGGAAAAACCGGAAACTCCTGGCTCAGCCTTTAGATGGAAACTTTCCAACCTATACATTTACCTGTAATAGGTGTCTCAACTCAAAACAGGCCTTAGCTTCTGCTAAGATTTGAAGTATGGGAAACAATCCAGCTCTTTCAGTCCAAGTTCTAGCTTTCAGCAAGACTGTTGCAGAAAACTTCTAATGGAGAGGCAGAAACATCTGCGGTGAAGAAGGCAGCTATTGAGGAAGTCCAGGAGCACAAAACTGAGTTTGCAGAGCTGAGTGTTATCAATTTCCTTTTCTACTGATATCTTCTTCCTTCAGAGCAAACTTCCTTCTTAGAACCTCAGAGATAAGGACAGCAGGGTCCTCCTCCTTCAATGAACTCCGGTTCCTAGAGACACAGTAATAACTTAATTATTAATAATTTATTGAGTACTCACTCTGTCCTGGGGAGTGTTTCCTGTCTTTGAATACGATCTCATTTAATTCTCACAACAATCATATGAAGCAGGTACTGTTACAATCCTCTTTTACAAATGACAGAACTGAAGCACAGAGAGGTTATATGAATTTTCCCAAAGCTACTTAGTAAATGGTGAATCTGGGGTCCAAACCAAACTAGCTAGTTGTAGATCTCATTTCTTAACTAGAATGCTTTACTATTTCCTGAGATGGCTGTAAAGTGTAGGCAAACTAAAGGACCATCAAACCAGTTAGAATTAGTCAGTGGTGGCTAAGCTTCTGCTCCTACTTTTGGTGGGAAGTGACTAATAATTCTTGGCCATTCTGACCTTTATTAGTTCTGTGGAAAAGGTTTTCTGAAGATTACCTACTATGGTGTTTTCCCAACAAGAGGGCTGTGAGATTTTTAAAAATGAGATCTAGAATTTGCAGTAAAATATTCACATCATAAGGGACCTGTGGGAACAAAACCAACTCCAGACTGGGGTAGGTTCAAATGATCTGATATACAAGAATGTCCTAGACAACTGGAAAACAGCTGCTTGAAATCCTGGTGGACTTATATGCATATATACATATCCTCATGAAGGTGTTTTACTAGTCCTTAGGCTGTTCATAAGGGTCAAGATCGACTATTAAACCTTGAAAGCAAAAACAAGTAATTGCCTTGTCTCGGCACATTTTCGTGCCCTTTATTGGCAGGGCTACCTTCCATCCTTAGTCATTAACCCATCTCCACTTATTAACAAGGGACAAAAGATCCCAGGATGCAAGTGGGAGGAGGGGCTTGGGTCTAATACAGGGCAAGAGGCAAGTAAAAGAAAATTTGAGAGTCAATCTATGAAACACCAGAAGAGAAAGACTCAAGGCAGCCCCAAAGCAGCAGCTGAATTTGGGAATGCAGGAGACCAAAGAACTGTGGGTATGACTTAGTCTGACTTGGCTACAGCCGGAGAAGGAAGGTGAAAGTGACTTCCACAAAGGATCGACTACCAGGAAGCAATGAGGGAGCACTTAACTTTATCTTGTTTTCAAAGGTAAATGGGCCCCTGCACAACAGGCCCTTCCCTTCAATAGGACCTTCATCAACTCAGGAGAGGGCCCTCACCTCCCACAAGAGCTTCCCTACCCGCCCCCAAGATTTTGTAATCTACGTTAACAAATACAGCTGTACATTCTGGCCTCTGGCCTTTGGAATCTAGATGTCAACCTTCAATGTTTCAACGTCCAGGAAGCTGCAGACAGACTCCTCTGGTGTGTCCATGCAGGTGCTCAGACCACACGTGAAAACACTGCGAGGTGGGTGCTGCCTCCAGCTGGAGCACTAGGGCTTCCTTGCTAGATGACTTGCTCCAGTGTAGTTCCCAAATTCCCGCACATCCCCACAAAACAGCTAGAGCTCTGCTCCTCACAGGTTGGGCTTAGTAAGTGTGAGGGATTGGCAGCCAGGTTTAGGAACTTCCTCTAAGTCTCAAAAAAGCCTTGTTCTCAAATCTCTGAAGCTGCAGGGTTAGTCTGCATAATGGGCCACTGTATTTGAAAGCAGGAACTCCCAACTTTATGCAGTTTCCTTCCACAAAAAATGTCTACCAATTTGAGATACTAATCATGCAACCCTACTTTGAAGGGTGGGGCATGGAGAGGACGCTTACTAGCAGTATGAGAATGGAAGTGGTAAAGCCCCTGGGGGACAGAAGTAGGATTAGATGAACCTTGTAAAATTCCTATTAGTCTACCATTTGGTTGCGTTAAGTCACTTCAACCAAATCTGAGTGTTCCTCTTTCCTCAAACTGGGGTAACACGTGGCCACTACTGAGGACTGGTTATATAAGTACTGTCTATTAGATCATTGGCTACCAGTGACTTAAATAGTAACTCCCCAGAGCTCCTTATCAAATACTTACTGATCTTGGCTCTGTTTCATCCGGTGAAAGTCCTTCAGGATCCCCATCATATCCGCAAAGCTGCTGGCCTTGGACAGAGAGACGCAGTCATCCTCTTCAGACGAGCTGCAGGTAGCTTTGTGTTCTGGTTTGCAACATTCAAGGCTGGCAGAACAAAGCAGGGGGACTGATGGAAGCTCGGGGACCTCTACCTCGGTCTCCTCGGTGATGTCACTAATGACAAAGGAAGTTGTAGAGTGGAATGAGGATCCAAAACAAGGTAAGGGAGAAGAGACATTTGAACTTCCTGGAGATAAGAAATCTGGCGTTAATGAAGCCGAAGCTGAAGCTGAAAGAGAAAACAATAGTCATGGATGGACATTGGGGCTAGAATACAGCAGCAGTATCTTCTCATAAGCACTGCCTACCAAACACTCATTTCCTGGGCTGACACCATGACATCCTGAAAGAGCCCAGGACAGTATCTGTCAGCCAGTGGAAGGTTCCTCCACTACCCTTCCCTCTCAGGACTTCAAGAAGATGCAGAAGCACTGGGCTGGCCAGTGTTCCAGGGGAGCAAAACACCCCCTCTCCCCCGTGCCCCAAATAAAGACCTTGGCTCCTAAAAGCTTCCATTCCACAGTGAGCTATGGAGAAACAGCCCTGTTTAGGCTGGGACAGGCCCAAGGCCTGAATTTGTCCATTTCTCTAATTGGGCTAGTGCTTTCGACTACCCTCCTCTGAATACGCTGAATGGAAGAAGCATTCTGCAGCAGAACACAGGACGGTGGTGGCCCTAGTTTCCCAAGTTTTAATAGAATTGCCTCTAAGTTTCTAAGAATCCCTCTGGTTTTTCATACACTACAACATTAGCTTGTCTTGCAGATGACAAAAAAAGTAGCCAATAAATACAAATGGAAAATTGAAGTGAATTCCTCTATTAAACTGGCATACGAGAGAATTAAATACATGAAGATATCAAAGAGAACACCATAATTGTCATGTGTTCTACCAACTGATAAGGTTTGGAAGCTGAGTTCAACTAGAAGCAAAAAAAAAAAAAAGGAGAATAAATAAACCCTGAACCTCTTGGGATATTACACCAGTTGGGAGTCCATGCCACTGGTGAAGGCAGACTCCCATCCATTTCCAGTCTCTGGTAGACAGGGAAGGGAAGACAGATATTTAATGGGGATGCTTATTTCTTATGCTGAAAAGGGAAGCTGCTAAGGGCTGATGGAAGACGTGATCTTAAAGACACTTGGCAAAGAGTGTTGGTTTCTGCCAGCTCAAAATAACTGACAGAAACCATCTAAGAAGTACTACAGGCTAAGCAGGTCTCAGAGCAACTCCAAAGCCCTGGGCCCAAGTCCCCCTGAACCAAGGACCATTTTCTTTACCACTATTCTGTCCAAAATCCAGTGGGGAGGAATAGCCTGCTATATTCTGCCCACTGACTCAGGGGCTCCTACCTGCATCAGCTGCCACTATCTTAGCAATCTGGCTGCGCAGGTGGCTCAGCTCGTCCTGCAGCTCTGTGGTGCGGCTTAGGGCTGGCAGGGCTGGCTTCTTCAAGGCCAGGAGCCTCTCCTCAGACCCACGCAGGTTGGGCACCGAGGCATTTCGCTGCATGACAATCAGAGGGCTGGGCTTCCAGGTATGCCTCAGGGGGCGTGTATCACTCCTGGACCAGGGAAAGACAGGTACATTAGAGTCAGCTGGCCACTGCACCCCTTCTAAAATTCCTTCACCCACTACAAGATTAGCAGCCATTCAGAGCCCACAGATCCCCCTGATATTACCCTCCAGCCTCTCACAAGCACTCCCCCTGCCACCTGCCACCTCATCTGGGAAGAAGCTCCTCAGTTACCTGACCCGGGCATATGTCTCCTCTTCATCTGCAGCAATCCAGGCGATGTCAGCCAGAGTAGGGACTGGGGGCACATCCCTCAGACACAGATCAGAGACGTTGGGCAGGGTCTGTAGAAAAGCAAAATTCATCAACAAACACATCAGGAAGAGATAATCAGACTGGGCAAAATACAAAGGAGGGCCACCTAATCTAGCACTGGGTGTCAGGAAGGCTTCCCAGAGGAGGGAGAGGAGAGTTCTAGGTTGGAAACAGCTTGAATAAAAGGCCAGAAGCAAGAGATTTTGTGAGATTACAAACAGTTCGGCACGGCTGGAACAGAGAATGGGGGTGAGGGGAGTTGCAAGAGGTTGGAAAGTCGATTAGGAGCTTTGATTCTAAGACAGTAGCAAGCCCCTAGAAGGTTTTATGTAAGGATTAGATTTTAATTTTAAAAGATTACTCTGGCCCTGACTGGCGTGGCTCAGTGGGCTGGGTATCAACCTGCAAAAGGAAAGGTTGCCAGTTCTATTCCTAGTCAGGGAACCTGTCTGGTTTGTGGGCCAGGTCCCCAGTTGAGGGGTGTGCGAGAGGCAACTGATGTTTTTCTCACACACTGGCGTGCCTCCTTCCCTTCTCATTGCTCTAGAAATAAGTAAATAAATAAAAATAAGTAAATAGCTTTAAAATAAAAGATTACTCTGCTGCTGTAATAGATGGGAGCATAGAGATGGAGGACAAATAGTCCAGTTATGAGGCTATTGTTTACTCCAAGCAAAAACAGGGTGCTCTAGAGGAGGGATGGGGCCTGTTTTAATAAAGTTTTATTTGAAAAATAATTGCACCAATTTGTTTATTATGTGTTTGTGGTGACTTTTAAGCTGTTAACTGCAAAAGTGAATGGTTGCAACACTTACCACCCACAGCCTAAATGTTTGTTATCTGACCTTTTAAAGAAAAAGTGGTCTTTAGTGGGAAGGGGCAGAGCTACCCTGTAATGGAGGTGACTGTGCCTGTGAGCCGCTGGTGGTGGGAATATAGGTGCATGGACATCAATAATCTGTGACGGCCACAGGAAGTTTCCTCTGGCAGCTCTTTTCAATACCTTTGTAGCTGACTGGGATTTACTCTGTTAATAGCAATACTGTTTTAAGCCAACTTGATAATTTTAATATTTAAACAAATAAAAATACATGATTAATTATACAAAAGAAATAGAGTAAGATTCTTTAAAATAGCCCTTGAACCCAAATGAACAACGTCCAGGGTACAGAGAGGTTGAGTGACGCTATGTTAAAAATTAAAGGGAAAATTAGGAGGACTTGGTTATATTTTGAGTGGGAATGCAAAAAGCAAATACACAGAGAAAGAACTACACCAAAACATTCAAAGATTCAAAGTTAGTGTGTCATGACTATGTGATCTATAGGTCATTGATTTTCCTTTTTTATTTTCCATGATTTAATATTTTATATGGGTAGATTGAAAAATAAGAGTCCCTTAAATAATATTTAAGGTAATTTACAACAAATTCAGGGATACTGGTAATTTCTCAACCCCCCCCCCCCCCCATAACATGAGTTAAATTCAGATGCTCCTGCTGAACTGTTTGGAAGGTGGATCAGGAGTTGATGGCTCTCGCTTTTAAATAAGGAACCTGCATCGCACAGGAGTGAAGTGATCGTCCACTGACCCAGGAACCACTGCCGAGGTGGGCCATTTAGGGAAGCTAGAGCACTGCTCTGCTACTGGCAATTAAGTGAGTTTACTGAGCATATACTGCGCTTTACTGCACTTCACAGATGCTGCATTTTTACAAATTGAAGGCAAGACCCTCCATAAGTAAAAAAGATTACAACTCGCTTTAATGCGATGCTTCCTTTATTGTGGTGGTCTGGAGCCAAGCCTACAATATCTCTGAGGTATGCCTGTATTCACACATACTCCTACTCTGTGGGAGTATGATTAGCTTTGGTGCCCTTCATCAGCTCTGCCCAGCAGCATCTGGCCAAAGGACTAGAGAGACTGTAACTAAGTGTGGTAGCACTTCCAAGGTTCCCCATATTCCTTAGCTATGCCTCCCCTTGTTTCTGATGCGTGAGGCAGCTAGAGCCACATCCTGCGCATGACCTTTAGGCAAGTCTGGGTAATCTGGGTCTCAGGACAGCTTCCCCTCCACTTCCCAACACACACACACTTCCAACCCCATTCCTGACTCTAATACCAGCCCTCACACCACTTCTGACTCCAGATCCAGCTCCTGCACACATTTTGCAGGTCAACATCTAATATACAAATTCATCTCCTTCATTTCTGGAGCCACCTGGCCCCACACCTTTTTGGGCATATATTTCTGCCTTCTCTGTGTAGGCAAGAGGCTGAAGTGTTCTGTGTTCCAGCTCCCCAGACATTAAGCATGTAGCCCACACACATTAAGCATGTAGCCCCAAGCTAGTGCTTAACCATTAGTTCTTTGCAGAAGGCAGCTGGGTTTAATAAATACTACTTCATTTTCCTCTGCAGAAGGGGTCTCAAGAGACACTGGCCAGGGAAGAATCACTATTGCAGAGTGAGTGCTAAAGGCCCTGTAGACAGAGGTAAGACTCAAGGAGCCCAGCAAAGGAGTGGCCCAGCCTGCCCAGGAAGTAGATGGGCCTCGGGGAAACTAAAAATAGGTGACTAAGTGGCCAAGTCTTAGGGCTAGTAAAGGAAAGCACAGTTCAGCTCTCAGCCACACAGCATGCAGTGTCCCATGTGGGGACCCACTGGGGCTGCAGGCAAACACCTCACGGCACAGACCTGGTTAGTCTGGAGATGCGGTTAGGCAAGGGCCTGAGGCCCACTCTCAGAAACGACTGCGAGAGCCCGATGAAATCCGAGTCAGTCCACAGAGGCGTCAAACATGGAAGACTGGGAATTTATGAGCAAACTGGACACCTGACTATTGTGGTGACAGGTTTGTGTGCAATCAGGGAGACATGGTGACTAGGATCCATTCATTGTAAGTGCTTACAAAATGAAACAAAAAAACAATGACCAGGAAGTGAACCTGCCTTGGCAATGCCAGAGTCTGGGGCTGGAGCAGCACCGTCCTTCCATACTCTCTGAGCCTCTAATCTCATTGCTCTTCCGGTGCACTTACCTGAAAGGATGCCCGGGGACATGGCTTCAGTGGCAGGTTGGTCCCGATTCTTCTTACTACACTGCGAGCAGCCCCGTGAGGTTTGTTTTGCCAGATTGGGATAGTCTAGAGCAGAGAGAACCACAGCCACAACCTCAGAGATGAGTTCCCATCCTCTCCCCTACTCCCCTTTACCAGGGAGACTGGATTCCTCAATCCCAGGGACAGGGCACCCTGTGGGGTAAGTCAAATCTCATTTATAAGTGAGGGCAGGTTTCCCAGTTGTTAGCCTTCACTGTGGCAAACCACCTTAGCGATACCCACTGTTGCCAAGGCACCATTAGTGTTGGAAGGGTCCAGTAAAGGGCTGAGAAACTGGCTGGGTGTAGGGATCATGTGGGCTTCCCTCCCTTCCCTCTGCACAGAAAGGCACAAACACACTGACTCTCTAACAGCCCTCAAGATCATAGCGGGTTCTGCCTGGTGGAGTGGGTGGAAGGGTGGCCTCCCTCCAGTTCCAGACCTCCAGAGGAAAGGAAGGGTTACCTAAAGAGTCTCAGCTTCAGCAGGCCCCATGCTTGGCCTTCCCCACCACACCACTGCCCTCGGAGGACCCTTACCACATTGGCTTCCATTCCCGACATCTCAACCAGCTCTTGCACTTGAAGGACGAGGCAGCTTGGGGAGTCGGGAGGCGTGATTCCTTCATATCAGGCCATCTTAAGGAACATCCGAGTTCCCTCCCTGTGAAACAACCCTCACAGTGGCAACTCAGTGTTCACTGCACAAGTCCCACAAAACCGGGCACTGCAGAGTAATGACGAACACCAAGGATTCTCTTACATTTCATGGGGAAGAAAAACCAGCCCAAGAAGCTGCCCTCACCCAACAATGGCTCTTCCAAATCCAGACCCTTAAAGGTTCTGTTCCAGACTTACTGCATGAGCTTGGACAATGCTGGACCCCCTCCTGGGCCCTTGGTTTCCTGAGGCAAAACTTCTAAAGATGAAATAGAACCCTCTGGTAGTTAAAGGGAAAGGCAAATTGTAGGTGCCACCCAAGCCCAACATTCATTCTTTTAAATTTTTTATTTATTGATTTTTAGAGAGAGAATAAATAAGAGAAACATTGATTTGTTGTTCTACTTATTTATGCATTCATTGGTTGATTCTTTTATGTGCCCTGACTGGGGATAGAACCTGCAACCTTGGGGAATCAGGATGATACTCTAACTAACTGAGCTACCTGGCCAGAGCTTTAGCATTCATTCTTGAAGATAAGATATAAAAGCCCAGCATGCACCACCCAGCACTACTGGGCCTCTGATAGGGGGAGAGGTGAAACAGACCACAGAAGAATGGACAGCCCACTCTAGTCAATCTCGTCTATTAGGCTACAGGGAAGAGCCAAATGCTTTTGTCTTGGCTCAGCCACCTATTGGCTTTGTAGCCACAGGCAAGTCACTTAACCTTTCCAAATGTTGGTTCTCCACCTGTAAAAAGAGCATAAGAACAGCTGCCACCTTAAGGATCAATCAGTGAAGTAGGGAATTTTAAAGGGCTTAATGAACTGTTAAAATGTGACAGATGGATGAGGTCACTCTTGACTGGATTCTTCACAACTGCCCTTGCATGGTGAGCAGATGCAATCAGTGAGCTCACTTATTCCCTTGTTCGTCAAACACTAATGGTGCCCACCTTGTGCCGGGCACTGGAGGGGCCATGAGAGAGGAAGGCACAGCCACTCTGAAGGAACTCACAATCTAGAAGAGATAGCACCTGAATACATAATTCTAGCCAAGAATACATAATTATCTTCAGAAAGGTACATTAGGCAGGTGGTCAGGTGAATTCAGCCCCCTGGCCTCAAGGTCCTATGGCAGGTTGGAGGGAGAAGGAAGAAAAACAGTAATAACAGCACATGTCCAGGACAGGATGGTGAGAGATGTCTCAGAGGAGCAGAGTATAAGGGGTAAAGATTAACTGGGGGTCAAGTCATGAGGGCTGGGCAGGCCCGGGTGAGAGGTACCATATTTTTCTGTGTATAATGCACTCTTTTTTGCCCAAATTTTTGAGGGAAAATAAGAATGCATCATACATGGGTTTAATAATGAGTATAATCCACGTATAATGCACACAAAGCCAAGGGAGCGCATTATACACGGCAAAATATGGGTAGCCAGGGAGCGGCTCTGATCAGGGGTGGGCTGGACTACCAATGCAGTGCTTTCTGGAAGCTCTTCCTTGTAGAGTCTCTCACCCCTGGGAGAGGAGTTACCATTCACTTTATGGGGAAAGAAAGTTGGAAAGAAGGAAGTTACCACTCACAAGGAAAGAAAGCTGGAGAGACTGGAAAGATGAAGGAACTGGTCTAAGGTCACTCAGTGGTCAAGACAGTAGAAAGCACCTCAAGTCTGGTCCAGATCCTGCTATCTTCACATGGGCTCAACTTCTAGGCGCAGACCAAGCCTCAGATCAGTCCCTGCCTGTGCCAGGCTCTGTGCTGAATGTCAGAACCTGACCCAAGTCCCCCAAAACAATGCTCCTCTTCACTTCTCACTTTAGTCACTTCCTCTCTGAACTTCACTTCCAAAGATGCAGTTGGGCCCAAGTCTCACATAACAGCCAGAGGGATCTTTCTAGAACACAATGCTAGTCATATTGTTACTTTGTTTAAAACCCCTACAGATCCAGACTCCTGCAGGCCCTCCACCACCAGGCCCAACCTCAGTAGAGGGAACCCAGCACAGCCCACGAGGCCTGCAATTTCACATCCTGTCTTCGGCTTGCCCTTCAGCCCCCCCGCCCCCCCCCGCCTTCTCCCAGCCCCTCAACACGCCTCTGAGGCCTTGTCCACACTCAAAACACCTGCACCCCTTTCCCCATGCTCACTCTTAATCATTCTTCCGAGCTCAGCTCCGGCATCACCTCCGGTTACCCGAGAGTCAAGTCCTTTATTGTTCACGCCACGGCACCCCGCCTTTCCTCCGTAATTAACTGTGTAAGATGCCATTTGTCCCCAGGGCAGGGACTTCCCTAGGCACAGCGCCAGCCCGGCCCACGGTAAGCATGTAAACACTGGTCCGATTAAAAAACGAATAAAGTAAAGCTGAGAGCTCCGACTTAGCCCTCACCCCCCCCCCCCCCCTTCACAGTGTACTACTGCCTAGAAGAACCTTGCCCGTGCCAATGCCGGTTGGTTCTTACCACCCCTGCGCTCCCACAGCCCCTCTCGAGGCTGTTGTCACGTTTACACACGGTCTCCCGCGGGGGGTCGGGCCGGGCAGGGCCCGGTGTAATCCCTCCCGAGTCCCCTCGGAGGCCGCCGCACTCTGCTGAGCCGAGAGCCCCGCCGAGGAGCCCGTGCGGAGGGAGACCTTGCCCGGGACACGCCTCCCCTCCCCCCGCAACAGCCTGACCCGTCAGGGGCAAGGTCGGCCAAGTTCTCGCTGCTGGCCAGGCGGTCCCTAGACCTACAGGCCCGGGGCCAGGCCCCAGAAGGAGCAAGGAGGTGGCAGAGGCGGCCCAGCCCGCTGAGGACGGCGGCTGAAACGGGAAGCCTACGGTGGTATATAGCTCGGCCACCGCAGCTGGGTGACTCGGGTGAGCAGTTACCCCTTGGGGACTTAATCCCCCGCCCAATGAGGCGGACAACAGCGACTCCCACGAGAACGACAGCGGGAACAAGAGCCGCGGACCCCGCACCGCTCTTCGTACGAGACCGCGCCCCTTCCTCCCGAGCGGTGCTCGGTCCTAGTCTCTCACCTAGGACTCCAGCTCCTGGACTCACGCACCTCACGGCCCCTCCTACCTCGGCGGGCCGCCCAGACTCAGCTGGCCTCACTTCCGCTAGTCGGTCTCCGGAAGCAATCCTTCGCAGCTGCGCAGAGAGCCGCGCCCCCCGCGCGCTGCTGGGGGGGCGGGGCGAGCTCTGCCTGGGAGTGGGCGGGGCAGTGGGCGGCCGCACGTGCGGACACGGTGGGGCTCTGCCTTCCGAGACCAGGGTCCCTCCTGTTAGACCCGTAGGTAAAAATTGTCGGAGCTCGGAGATGTTGCCCCTCTGGTCTCTGTCTCTTTGCTGCTTTTAGTCCCGATCCGATTTTTGCAGTATGAGATCTGACTATGTCGCTGTTCGGCCCCCAAATTGTGTGGTGGCCACGGTCCCCATCCCCACTGCAAACTTGACAACCCTGGCGTTCCAGATCCTTGGGCTGCAGAACTTGTCTTGCATATCTCCCTGATCCCCTTCACAATTCTCATCGGCCAAGACCCTCTGCCTTCTCTCCAGCAAAAATGGGCTTTTCCCCTGACTCCTGCCTGCCGTCCAGCGCTTTGTACCTTTCTCCTATTTTAGCCTTTATGTGTTACACAGACACACAGTATTTTCAGCGACTTGATCAGATGGGTAGGGTAGATCCCAAAGGCATTGGGAAAGAAAACCACCCACATTTCCACATTCCCTCCAGGCCGCTCACCCACTCCCTCTTTGTACTCAAACCCTCCAGGTCCTGGTGTACATGGCATCCAGGCCTAGATCACGTGCCCTCCTGACCGCAGCACGTGGCCGTGCCTGGCTCCCCGGTTGCAGTTCTTTGGTCTAAAAAAATCCTACAAATCCCAAGGGGCCCTGCATTTTCATTTTGAACTGGATCCTGCAAATTATGTAGCTGGTCTTGGCCAGAGACCTTAGAGGTCCCTGAGCCCCATCATATTTCGAAGGACGTTGACTTCTAGGTCCAGCCCTTTTTCAAGGCTGGCAAACATCGAGTTCACTTTCCCGGGCAATGGCAGACCTTTGCTGGATGTGGTGGATGCTGTCTTGGAGCCTCACCCAGATCCCCTTTACTCTGCCAGTGAATCCATCCTCCAGCTGCTGTGTTGGCTGCTGCTCACAGCTGCCCCCTTTTCTGGAAAATTGCCCTTGCAGAAGGGAGAATGGAGGCCCCAACCTGGGAAGTTACTCTACCCCCCAGTCAGTGGGCAGCTGATACAGTACCGAAAGGCCGGTTTAACTCTGGTGCAGTTTATGCTTTGGAGCCCTTTCCCCACAATCAGGCCAAGGCTAGGCTTTGACTCTGTCCCTGCTCAGTGTTTTTCCTTCCTACTTTGCTTTCTTTGCATGTTTTTCCTGAAGGGGACTCCTTCAGAAACAAACTACCGAATGCCGGTCTTCAGTTGTGTTTCTGAGACAATGGGTTTGACTCTATCAACACAGCATCAGACTCTAAATATATCAAGTTCCACTATGAGGTCCATCACAAAATTATTTTCAGAAAGTTGCTCAAGTCTCCTGGTGACAGATAAGATAGTCCCCAAAGGCATTCCAACCACACTCCCTTGCCCATCTGGCAAGCCAATCCCACAGAGGAGTCAGCCCAAGAAGGGCGAAACTGAACAACCCACTCAAGGGAAAGGCACTTTGAACCACCCTTGTCTCTCCAGTTTTATTAGAGGACATGTTGGGGACCGGTGAGGGAAGTGGCAGAGGTGTGACAAGAGGGCAGCTGCGGGCCTGCCCCCACCATGAGCTTCAAGGCACACAGAGGCCGGGCAGAGGCCTCTGATGAGGATGGAGAAAGCCCAGGTGATCGGTACCTACTGCCACCCACGATTGGAAGGAAGCACCAAAAAAGGCTCAGGGGCCCTCGTTCCCGGGAAGGGCATGGACGCACACGGCCCCCAGGGCATAGAGAACTCAGCTGAGCTTGCTGGCTCCTTTGCTCTGGAGATCAGAGGGGAAGGAAATATTCCGGCTTGCAAGGACTTCTTTTTCACCTCAGTGAAAACAGGCGGGGAAGAAGTGTAGGGGTGCAATGTAGAACAAAACACCCCACAATCAACACTCAGGCTGAATCTCAACTCTGCCACGAGTGACCTTGGGCAAGTCTCTGCATTTCCCTGAGACTTAATTTCTTTTCTTTTTTAAAAAAAGATTTTATTTACTTTTAGAGAGGGCACAGGAGAAAGAGAGGGAGAGAAACATCAGTGTATGAGTGATATACCGATCAGTTGCCTCTCACGTAACCCCAACTGGGGGCCTGGCCTGCAACCCAGGCACGTGCCCTGACTGGGAATCGAACTGGAGACCTTTTGGTTTGCAGGTCTAAGTTCAATCCACTGACCTACTCCAGCCAGGGTGAGACTCAGTTTCTTCATCTGAAAAATGGGAACAGATAATATCTGCCTCATGGGCTTGTTGTAAGGATTAAATGAGAAAAGACACGTAATCTTAACAAAATGCCTCCAATGGAGAAAGTTCAGTGTGGCTACTCCAGTGGCAGGCAGGAGAGCTCAGCAGATGGAAGGCCTGGGAATGTGTCTGAGGAAATGTCTGCCTGCCTTCCTCCTCCAGGTCTAAGAGAGAACCCCGCGGGGTAGGGTCGGGGAGCAGGCTTGGCCCCAAGGGCCTTAACGAAAGCCTTAGGGGTCTTGTGGGCCTGAGTGGAGAGCAAGGGTACACTGACCCCCTGAGGACTGTTTAAAAAAAAACAGGAGAAGGAAGAGCGGTGTATTTCTTCCCACAGGTGCAACTGCGAAGACATCAAACTGGATCCACCTAGGATTTCAGACCCAGCCATCATGGGGCAGCTGCTGGAGGGAGGCTGGGCCCCTTCCTTCTCCTTAGTGCTGGGGTTATCAAAAATACCTACAAACTGTGAGAAAGGTAACATAAAAACACTTCTCTGCATGTATAAAAAAGAGACTGGCCGTGGTCAGTGGCTTGGGATATGAACCAAGGCCCTAAGAGGGGCCGAGGACGGTCAGCAGCTGTGCAGCAGTGGACAGGATGGTCGGGCCGCCCTGCCTGCTGGGATGGTGCCGGCTCTGGGGAGGCTCCGCCCTTTTGGCTGGGCGATCTTCGGTGGAGCTGAGGTCTCAGGGCGGGAGGCAGTACCAGGGCTCTGGCTCCTGCAGCCCTACTGTGACCCTGTGCTGCGGTGGTGGGCTCGGGATGCTTTGGGCCTGGGCCTCGGGGACTCCCCCGTGGAACCCCTGGCTGAGGGCAGCAGCCTGCTTCACAGAAAAGCTTTCCAGTCAGCTGGCCTCTGGCAGGTCCCCGGGTGGTTGGGGGGTCCTATCATCAGGTCGGATAGACTGGTCTGGGAGCCAAGTTCTGGGGGACTGAACGGTTTCCCCTTCTGAAGAAGGGTGGGTTCTGCCCAGAGCCTCCAGATGGCTGTCTCTCGCTGAGACCAGCCCCACGGGGGACACCAGGCACAGGAGGGCAGCTAGAGCGATGGCCAGGAAGAAGGCTCCAGACAAAAACAGGACACTTCTCTGGCCCGAGCCCCTCCCGCCACGCCAGGGCTTCTTGGTGTTCCTTATGGGGAGAGGTGAAAGGAAGGAGAAAGGGGTGACCCTGTTTTCCTCGCACTCACTTCTCCCTATTCTTCACCCCACAAGGGCCTGGACCATGTGCCTGAGAGGGTGACCTCTAGTGAAATGACCCCACACTCCATGTCAGGGGGTCTCAAGCAGCTTCTGGAGCCAGGTGGGTAGTAAAGGGCCGATGGTGGCAGCTGGAGCTTCAGGTTCACACACCTGTCAGCCATAACAGGTGCAGAGCTAGGCCAGCCACCTTAGCTGACCTCCGACCTCACAGGCAGCCTGGGAGCGGTGGGGTGTGAACGCCCGGTCGTTGAAACGTGTGAGGACCACTACGGCTCTGGGGCCGAGGGGCCTGTCCGTTGTTGCTGGAGGCCCTTCTCTGCAGCTCTGCCCTCAGCCTGGCTCCTCCAGGCCCAGGTGGGGCCTCCCCTCTAGGGCCGGAGGAGGGGCAGGCCTCGCCGGAGGCCCTCCTGCAGGAACTGCATGTAGGTGGCCGTGGACGGGTCCTCAAAGGTGGATGAGAAGCTGAAGGCGTCGTTCTCCATGTCCTCGGGCTTCATGGAGGTGATGTCCAGGAAGTAGTTGGCGTTGATGTGGTGGACCTTGGAGAAGGACTGGGTGAGGCGGGGCCCGTTCGGGCTCAGAGCCCCTCTGCTGTCCGCTCAGCCTCTCTCGGGAGAAGTAGCCACTCTCAGGCCACAACTGTCCTCCCCGAGGCAGATGGCGGACAGGCGGAACCCTTGCCAGAACCCTGGCCCGGGCTGCCCCCTGCTCCTGCCTCTGCCCTCTCAAGGCCCTCTGACCACCATGCTCCACGCCTCTTCTGCCAGCGAAGGAAACCCCACGCCTTCTGTCACACTTTCCCTGTCCCCGCCCCCACTGCTTTGCTCCGCCCACACCCTGCTTCTGTCAGGAGGAGCAGGAGATGCCAGGCTCCCAGGTGGCCGGGCCGGCTTTCAAAGCTGCACTTCCTACTTGGGCGACATTTGAGCCTCCGCTTCCTCGTGTGTAGCAGGGTGTCTGTGGTCCTCTAGCCCCCAGAGCGGCTGTGAGACCCGCCTGGGGGACGGGCGTGAGTGCTTCGAGGGGCCCTTGGGGAGCAGCAAGGCCTTGAAGTCTGCCCAGCAGGGGGACGGGGTGAGGAGGGTTGGGGGGAGGTCCCTGGTCCTCTCTACCTGTCACAAGGCCTGGCTTGTCCCTCCTTCCACCCCAGGGCTGACTGCAGTGGTCCAAGGTGAGCTTTCTCTTCCAGGCTGTGCCCCTTTCCACTCCGCTGCCACACTGTGCCTACTGCTCCTCGGTCCCCGAAGTACTGTTGAGGTCCCCTTCCCTGCAGCAGCATCCTGACGCCTGCACGAGGCAGGCAGACTGGGCATCGAGATCCCTCTTTTACAGATGTGATGACGGGGGCTCAGCCTGGCTGAGACAGCCAGGAAGGGGTGCAGCCAGACCCAAAGCCTGATGAGGTCTGTGAGTCTGTGCCCGCGGCTGGTGGCCTCCTCTACCCACTGCCTGGCCCTGGGGTGCAGGTGGAGGGAGTGACCTACCACGGTGCCATTGGGCAGACAGATCATCATTTCCACCGGGAAGCTGTACTTCTCCAGGTGCAGGTCGGCCAGCTCCTTGTGGGATGGGTTCTCCAGGTTGTTCTGTGGGGACAGATGGGCACACTCCTGACGCCCTGGCCCCCAGCACTGTCCTTGGGGCTCCCAAGGGGCTGTTTCCAACTCCCCTCCACTCACCTGCAGGTCCTCCAGCTCCTTCACCAGGGACCAGGTGCTAATGAAGCTCTCGTTGAGGAGGGCAAGAATGGGCGAACTTTCCAGGACTGTCTCCCGGAGAGTCCGCCCTGAACCTGTTCAGGGAGACATGCGGCTGGAAGTGTGAGGCACCCGCGTGTCTCCCCAGGCTTCACCCAGCAGTAACCCTCACGGGCAATGGCGTGGGCTGTGTGCCGTGGAACGCAGACTCGGAGACTGCGGTGCTGAGTCAGTGGCAGCTGTCACTCGTCGGCATCCTGGGACTTGCAGCCTTGGGTCCACAAAGCTCCATCCCAGGGCCTTTGCCCAGCCTGCTCTTCCTCTCAAATACTCTCTCTCCTGTCACTTGACAAACTCCTGCTCATCCTCAGTCTCAACTTAATGTCACTTTCTCTAAGAAGCCTGTCCTGATCCCCCAGTTACACACCCACATGCCACTCTGGGCCTTGCACCGGACCACACACTCACAATGCTTGCACTTATTCACCCAACGTCTGCCCTCTGCACCACACTGCGCTCCCCAAGGACAAGGGCCGCTTCTGACTTCCTGACTGCAGGACTCCGGCGCTCGGCCTGTGGCGTGGCACAGGGGGCCCAGCATGCTTGCTGATTGATCCGATGGGGACAGGCTCACTGTCTTACTCATCTTGGGGCCCACCGTCTGTCTGACGCCCAAAGAGTTTTGCATCCAGCAGGTCTTCAGTGAATTTCCGATGATGTGAATGCACGCCCTGCCTCTGGCACTACTTCTGTTTTTATCTCACCTGTGTGCCACCTTTTATGGAGCACAGGCACCCACACATCCATTTCCTACAGCTCTGGGAGGTGAGCATGTTCCCCTCCTCTACTGTTGAGAGAACTGAGGCTCAGGGAGGGGAAGTCACTTGGCCACAGTTTCTAAGGTGGAGATGGCTGAGCTGGGCTCTCTGCTGCATCCAGCATCTTCCTCTGAGCTCAGCACAGAGACCTCCTGAGCCCTGAGCCCGAGCCCCTACCCCGTGCAGTCCCGAGTCCCCCATATTCTAACAGAGGAGATCATTGGTCTTAGAGCCTCCTGTACCCCACAAAGTGTAAGGTTCCCCGTTTCTCCCCTTGGATGGCCGGGTCTCCCTCACCTCAGCAGGACTGGTCATCCAGGGCCCCCCACAACAGGATCGAGTGCACCAGCTTGTTCTGGGCCTTGGCTTGGTCGAAGGCCTCGGTGAATGGCAGGTAGGTGACCTGGGGCCAAGCCGAGACAGAGAGAAGCTACTGTGTGCAGCCAGGGTCCCATTCAGGGGCTGAGTATGTACCGTGTGTGCGCGTGTGTCTGTGAAGGGGTGTTGCTGGGGTGGGGGATGCCTCCCCGAGTTCTGAGTAGCTAAGGGAGCCCCCCGTCCCGGCCCTGCTGAGCCCTGCAGGGCAGGAGCCTCAGGAGCAGGCCCTACACGGAGCCCAGAGCCCTGTGCCCGCCTGCTGCTCCCTGCTGCAGCCCCAGCCCCACGGATCCTGACACCCGCCCCACTCCTGCCCGGCCTCACCTTCTTGAAGGGGTACATGGCCACCTCCAGGCGCCGGGCAGCCTCCTCCCAGCTCAGCTCCTGCTGCCACTTGATCTCCTCAAACACAAACTGGAGGGGCTCCCCCGAGGGCAGGCGGCTGTCAATCATGTTGCCATCCTCGTCCAGGATCACGGAAGGTATTGAGGGGCCTGTGGCCTCCAGCTCCATCTAGGACGGAGGTCAGCGAGGGATGTCTCAGAGATGGGCAAGAATCCTCAAGGGGCCTGGAGAGACCCTCAAAGACCCCCCACTCATTGCAAAGGTGAGGAAACTGAGGTCCAGGGGAGGGCGGGGCCCAGTCAGGGCTATGCAGTGAGTCTGGGACAGAGCCAGTGTCCAACCAGGGCTCCTTCCACTGCGGGAAGCTATCTGAGGACCATGGCAGATGGTCGGTTCCGTGTGCAGAAATGGGTGGTTTCCCAGAATCCTGCTCTGGGAACAGTTGGCCTCAGCCTGCGGGAGCTCTGTCCTTCAGAGCTCTGTCCTGGAGCTCCTGGCTGCCTGGGCCCTCCCCGGAGCCAGGCTCCGAAGTCCTGTGACGGAGCCCTGCGGCTGAGCCCCTGCCTTCCTAGCCCATCCGTGGGGACCATCGTGTGCTCACCTGGGGTATGTAACCGATGTCCACCTCCATATTGCTGTTCTCACTGGCCCCATATAGCCACTCCATGTCCACATTCAGAGACCTGGGGGCCGGGGAGAGGGTGGCCAGGAGATGTCAGACATGATCTTGTTGAAAGTGCACAGCTGTCTCCATTTTACAGATGAGAACACGGAGTGTTGGCAGGTTGAACCCAAGGTCTCAGAGCTGCCTGGCTCTCCCCTGGGGTGCTCTTCCTGAGCCATTGCAATCGCATCACCTTCCACCAGCCCAGCCCTCACAGTTCACAAAGGGCTTCCATATCCCCGGCCCCTGGACTGCCCTCGACTCTTCCAGGCAGAGGTCATCAGTGCATCTCCTCAGGGCGCCATGGAGACCTGAAACCCTGACACCGTCCTTCAGCAGGAAGTCTGACCTGACCAGATGCCATCTGCAGATCTGCCACATGAGGGCGCCCCAGGACTAACAATTAACCACTATGTGCCCTGGGGGTGGGGTGGGGGGTTGGTGTCAGCAGTCCCTTGTGGCCTGGTCCTGGGGCTGCACATTTGCCCTTCTCCTTCTGTTCCCTCCAGTCCAGGACCCCCGACCTTCAACCCTGGGGCAGGAGATGAAACCTGGGCTGAGCCAGCCGTAAAAGGAGAGGGAGGAAGCCACTCTTCCCAGGGGGCAGCCTTCTCTCCCCAGGTTATTCCAACCATCCTCTCGCTCCTGCCAGCCTCCTATCTAGAAAATGAGGAAACTGAGGCACAGTAGGGCCAAAGTCTTAACCACAGATGCAACCCGCTGGCGTCATGGCAGAGTGACTTAACTCTGGGTCTCCCTGCTCCCAGCCCAGGTCTTGACCCTGTCCTGAGTCACTAAGTGGCCACTTAGGAATCAAGAAGACCTGAAACGCCTCCCTCCCCCTCCCCCGAGGCCCGGTGGTTGCCGCCCAGGCGGTGGAGCGCACTTGCAGTTCCCTCCGCCTGCTACACCCTCCTCACCCTCTAGGTCTCTGCGGGGATGTCCCTTCCTCCGAGAAGCCTTCCTAGACCCTACTGGCCAGGACCCTGCCCACTTGTTGGCCTGCACCTAGGGTGGCCCGAGCAGGCTGGGGTTAGGGGTCAGTGCTGTGGGGGTGGGGAGGCTCGGCTTCAAGGAGGGTCTGCCCTACTGAATGGGGTCACAGCTGGTGGGCCAGGCTCATGCAGCACCTGGCACATACTGTCGGATGCTGAGAGGACCCTCGGCCTGCCTCAGGCTGCCCACTCCTGGGTCGGCTCCAGGCCTCCCCCAGGAGATGTGGTTCTGGGGAGCACAAAATGGCCAGAGACTGAGGGGGCCTCTGGGCACCTGCTTTTGATCCTGGAGCCAGGGGGCTCGGGCCAAAGCTCCCACCTGTGGTTGGGTACGAAGAGCCGGAAGTCACGGACATGGGTGGCATCTTTGGAGAGGATGATGTGGCCGGTGAACTGGCCGGGCGAGAACCAGAAGGGGAAGTCGGGTGGCTCGCTGAGCTGGAACTCGGCGTGGATCCTGGGGGAAGAGGCCCATCTGGGAGCAGGCCCTGCTGAGCTGGAGCCCACCCTCCCATATCTGCTCCAAAGCCTGGGGACCCTTGGCCAGTCTGTGGGGACAGGGCTGGGCAGGGGGCGCGCAGAGTGTGTGTGGCAGGGAGAAGGCACAAGGGCGCCGCCCTGCTCAAGGCCCAGTCCACAGGCTGCCTTCGGGGCCTTGTCGGACCCTCCTCCCAGCTCTAAACACCCCTCTTCTGTGTGGGTGACAAGTCACAGCCACCAGCCTGTGCTAAGCACGCTCCACACCTTTTCTCTTCCTTCCAGGAGCAAGTCACCGGTACCCTGATCCTCACATGAGGAAACTGAGGCACAGAGGGCCCAGGAACACAGGGTGTAAGTGGGGCTTCCATCCAGGCCTGCCCTCCCCTTGCTGAGCCCTTCTGCCCTGCCCTGGAGTCCCGGACCTGGGTGGGAGGCAAGGGTGGGGCTGCAAGGACCACTCACCGGAACATCACGGTGTAGTAGAAGTCGCTGATGGCGGTCAGGCAGGCGACGGCCCCCTGAGGGGCAAAACGGGTCTTCACGAAGGGCCTCGGGTGGAACATGCTCAGGAGCCGGTGGATGATGACCTGGGGGAAGGGCAGTGGGACCCAGGCTGGCTGCTGGGCCCTGCAGACCTAGGGTTCGGGGTGGAGGTGGGCAGCAGGTGGGGCAGGGCTGGCATGGGGGTCCAGGTGCAGATGGGCAGGGGCCGTGCCTGGACAGGGGCTGGGGCGCAGGGCCCGGGGCTCACCGTGGGCTGCCCTCACCTCCTTGCCCTTGGGCGGTGGCGGGTAGAAGCGGTTGTTGGACAAATAACCGGTGAAGACACTCAGTTCACTGGGGATGATCCACCAGGGCTCGCCCAGCTCTGCCTTGCCCGGAGGGGGAAGGAAGGGCCGGAAGTGGCGGGCGGCAAACACAGCGTTTGGCGAGGCTGCGGCTGTCCAGTTGCGGAGGCCAGACAGGGCCATGCGGGAGACCTGGGGCAGGGGAAGCTGAAGCTCTCGGGCACTGAGAACACAACTTGGGGTCCCTTGTCCCATGCGTGGGTGGAGGTAGTTTTTTTAGCCCTGAGCCAGCCCATGAGCCAAGGATGCACAGGGACCTCGGGGTACGGGGGGCGGGGGTCCTGCCCTGGTGACGGCCACAGGCCTGGCACCGTCCTGCCAGAGCTGAGGCTCATCTCCACCCAGCCCTCCTGCCCCCCCCCCCACCTGAGAAGCAGCACCCTAAGTCCCACTCGGGCCTAGTCCAGGCAGAAGCAGCTCACTGGAGCATGGGGGGCCGGAGGGCCACCCGGGACTGGAACAGGAAGGTAGGGGGAGCCTTCCTGACCCTTGCCACCCACCCTGTTTCTGTCCCATGATTTCCCCCCTCCAAGTCTGATCCCAGAGGCGGCGACTGTCCTACAGACCAGGGTAGTGCTCGGGGTTGGAGCTGAGCCTGTGGATAGAGGCAGTCGCCACCTTTTGGGTGAAATCTCCAGGGTCAAGAGCAGGATAAGAGACAGGGAAGGAAGGCCACCCACCAGGGAGCACCCAGGCCCCAGTGGATGGGTGCCCACCTCACTTCTACCTGATGCGCAGGAGAGAGTGAGGGTCTGGGACCATGCAGGCCTGTGCACACCTGCCTGGTGCGCAGGTGGGACCCAGGAGCACATAGGCACCACCTTCTGTAGCTGCTCCCTGCCCTTCTGGGCTACAGGGGGGGTTCCTTCCCACTGAGGCATCAGCCCCATGACCGTGAGTGCCTGGCACCCCTCAGGGGTGCTCAGGGGCCAGGGAGCTGCCCTGTCTTTGACAGCAGCAGGTCCTCTCTCCCTTCCCCACCTCAAAGGTCCAATGGGAAGTGGAGGTGGGAAGAGAGAGGAGCAGGGAGCTCCCACTGAGGGGGCTGAGCAGGCAGGTGCTCACAGCAGCACTGTTGTGCGGGGCCCTGCTCCCAGGCTGGGGGGCTGGGCCCTGCTCCCAGGCTGGGGGGCTGGGCTCTGCGGGGCTCTTTGAGGGAGGCTGGGTGGGCCTGGGGTGCCGCTCCAGACCTATCTCCCCTGCAAGTGTGGGTTCTCGCTGCTCTGTGGGGGACTCATTTGCTCAGGCAGCTTCAACCTCAACTCCAGGCTCACTGGCACCAAACCCATCTCCACCGGGAGCTTTCCATGGAAGGCCAAACCTGTGTTTCAGACCACTTATGGGACCCTCCCTGTGACACCCCCTGGGTACTTCAGCTCCAACCTGCCCAAACTGCTCCAATTCTGACTCCACCAGACCTGCTTCCTGTCGCAGTCCCCATGGGGCAAATGGCAGCCGGCCTCCTGGTCACCAGCAGGAAGCCTGTCACTTCCCATTAGCAGCCACACCCTGTCTCCTCCCGGCCCCCATCCTGCCGTCCGTGGCCGTCAGTCCTCCATGGGCACTGCCTCCCCTGCCTGCCCACCCTCCTCCCAGGAGCTCATCTTCTTGCTTCCCATCCATCCCTTCAGCTCCAGCTGCCATCCCGGGAAGCACAGACCTGATCAGGGAGCTGTCCTATTTAAAAATCTGCTACGGTGTTTTGCTGCTGCAGAATGAGGGTCACAGCCAGGCAACTCAGGCCCTTCTAGGTGTGGCAACTTCTTGTCCAGCCCACTGTCCCAAGTGCCCTGCGTCCAGGCTCCCTGCTCCCTGCCCTCAGGTGACCGCCCGGCACTTTCTGCCTTCAGGCCTTTGTTCATGCCAAAGTGACACTTCAGCTGAGAAGTAAAGGCTGAGGAGTGGGCTGGGCGTGGGGCGAAATTCCTGGCTGGGGAAGCAGCACAGAGAAGGCTCGTGGCTGGAATAGAGAGAGCCCAGGGGGAGCGTGGGGGAGAGGGGGGTGGGGGGGAGAGGCAGGCAGGGTGTGGGGGTGCTTAGGTCCCCTGATGGGCCTGAGACCTCATCCACCGGGTCTTAGGTTCGGGGCAGGCTGGTTAGCAAAGCACTTGTCAGGTGCCCTCCCCACCCCCCAGCCCCCTGCGAGGGGTCTGGGGTGCTCAGATGTGGGGACACAGGCCTGGCCCTCAGCAAACTCACAGCCTGTGGGGAAAAGACCGACCTGCTAAAAGGAATGATTCTAAGTGAGGCGGCTGCAACGAAGTGGGGTCGGTCCTGCCTCATCTGGCTAAACCCCTCTCCTCCTCCTGCAATCCCCGGCAGAGGCCACTCCTCCAGGAAGCCATCCCAGATTCCCCCGGGGGTGAGAGGCTCCGTGCTTATCCCTCCTGCTCCCGCCCCCTGGGGGGCGGGGACGGCAACACACCCACTTCTGGGCCCCCAGGCCTGGTGCACTGGGCGCAGGGAGGGCAGCTGGTGAAGGAACGAGGAAAGGGAAGGTGCGCGCAGGTGGCCCTCCATCTGTGGCCCCACCTGCGGGCTCGCCCCCACCCAGACTCACCCCTAGGAATCCATCTTTGCTCTTGGTCATGGACTCAGGGAGCAGAGGCTGGAACCGGGCTTCTATGGTGAGCGTCTCCTCGCTGGGGTCAGGCGGCAGCTCCTCCTCCTCGTAGCTGGCCGTGGGAGCTGACCCTGGAAGACACAGACCGCCGGGGGGGGGGGCCGCCCTTAGGCTTCCACTCTGGCCAGTGGCTGAGGCGGCCAGCTTGGAGCTGAGGGGAAACAGTTACCAATCGCCGGAACCAATCGCCGGAGCAACAACCAATATGCATGGCATTTGGGTTTCAGCGTCTGCCTCCCATGAGGCAGACAGTGTTACTACCAACTCCTGTTTTATGAATGAGAAATTGGGAGGCTCGGAGGTGATGTCACTTCCCCAAGGTCACACAGCTAGGTAGCAGGGAGTCAGGATTCAAACCCAGGCCTGTTTTACTCCAAACCCAGTCACCACGACCCTCTTCGCGGGGAGCTGAGACCCCAGCATCTCAGTTTCCTCACAGGCTCGGGAACCAGGTGGCCTAGGTTCCAGTCCCAGCCCTACCCCTCACCAGCTGTGCTCGGTTGGCCCGTGGCTTGTTACAAGGATTAAACAATCCACGTTGTTTTAGCAGAGGGCCTGGCGGAGAGCAAGCCCACACTAAACTTTAACTGTGTTACTATTACCAGAAGTTTCAGGGTCAGCGAGCCAGGGAGCTGAGGCTCAAACCTAGTTCTCCCGACGCCAACCTCTGCTCTTTCCGGAAGGCCAGGCTGGCTGCAGAAAGGCCGTGCTCACTGTCACCCTCCCCTGTGTTCTCCAGACCGAGTCCCAGATGAACTGGGTGCTGGGCCCACCAAAGGTGGCAAGTGGGCAGGCAGCTGCCCCGCCCAGCAGCTGGGATCCCCAGCACCAAAGACAGAGAGGAGCTATTTACCGGCACCGGGAGAGGAGAACAGAGCCCAGCTCCAAGCTGAGGTTGGCGCCACTTCCTGGCCCATCTGGGGCAGAGCTCTCAGCCTCCTTTGCTTTCCCAGGAAGGGAGAGCACTCGGTCATGAGGCCGCATGAAGCGACAAACCCTGCTCAGAGAGGCGCTCGGTGGCCGGACCCGAAGCAGTGAATGAAGGAAGAAACAGAATGAGACCATCTTTGGTATCACAGAAGGAGCACTGGGGTGGGAGTGAGGAGACACACTTCTCCCTGATTTTCTGGGAGCTGCCGTTTCCCCATCTGCATGAGGAGGGCTGGACTGGCAGTGGCTGACCTGGACTTCTCAGATCTTGTCCTGCTCAGAGATGAGCCAAATCTGTAATCTTTCAAGTGTGGAGGTGTGATGGAGGTCCAGGTGTCTGCAAGTCTATTTCCAAGGGGTGCCAATAGGACGGCAGGGCCCCACAGCCCGGACATCACATCTGCTCTCCCGGGGCAGGTTCATGCACGGAGGAGGCGCCTGGCCGCTGCTGACGGTGCACGGGCTCACTGGAAGCAGTTCCTAACTGGGGCCACCCAAATCGCCCGGGATGCCTTTCAGACCACAGGTGCCCAGAACCCACCTCAGACCCACTGAGTCAGAATCTTATGCGGCTAGAATCACCAAACTGCCCTTTTACTTAGTGCTCCCCAGGGCCCCTGAGGCAACCCCCGTCCTAAAGAACCACTGTTACGTCTCCCTTTGTGACTCAGCACAGGCAGATCCCCCCAAACCAGCAACATGGGAACCTCAGAGCAGGGGAGCAGCAGCAGCGTACAGGGTGACCAGCTGCTCAATTACTCCACTGTTGTCACCGGTAATTATCCGTAATGTCCAGCATTTTATAGCCCTTTGGTTTTTTAATAAAAGTTTTATTTCCTGACTTATAAGTAACATTTGCTCATTATAGAAAATTTGTAAAACTTTTAAGGTGTAAAGCAGAAAATGAAACACTCGGGATGGTACCAACCAGAGAGACTGTTTGCTTCTTTTTTCTGCTTAGATTTGGTGTTTTGTTTTTGTTTTCCCCAAACCTGGTCCGGTTTGCACTCACAATGGCTTCGGAGGTAAGGAAGGGCGGGGTTACTTCCCCAATGGAGAAAAAATTAATGTAAAAAATTTTAAAAGGTTCCCCAAGGCCAACAAGCCAGCATGTCATTGTGAGGGAACTCCTGCTTGCTGGCCATAAACAGGGACAAGGAGGTGCCCAAATTAAGACATCAAAGCCCATCCTCTGGGGCTGGCCTGCTCCCCTGCCCACCTGCTGTCCCCACAGACCTCACCGCCTCCAAGACACGGGCACGCATCTGCTCCAGCAAGTTGGCACTTCTCTGACTGTCCTCCTCTGGCAGTGACCACAGGTCACCAGGCCAGCAGGCGACGGACCTACCCGACCTGTCCTGAGACCCAGAAATCACATCTCGGGGCTTTGGTTCCGACTCGCTGGAGAGCACCTGGCATCCCTTCCCGCCTTTCCCGTCAGCTGACCTACTCCCACTGGGCGGCTCGGGTACCAAGTAGGGGCTGAGGTCACGAGTTCAAGCAATGTCACCAGAAATGGACACACAGGTTGGGGACTGAGAGGAGCACTGTATAATTCACTAGGTGTTCCAGGCCTCCATCTTCATGCCGCGGTGACAACAGCAACAGGACCAAACTCTGATGACAGGTGGGCAAAAGTGGACAGCGGGCCTGGGAGGGACAGGAGCCTGCCGGCCCCTTCGGAGAGCTCAGTGCTCACTGAGATCCCTGCGGCAGCTGCTCCTGAATGTCTCCCGCTTATCGGCCACTTTGCGGTTACCTTCTCTGACCCTGAAACCTGCAGGCTGGGGCAGAACCCGGGGCCAGATGGTCCTGGCTCCGCACTGTCCACCTGGGGTGGGTCAGCGAGCCTCCCTGTGCCTCAGTCTCCCCGACTGTAAACCTCGGGATCAGGACAGCACCAGTCTCCTGGGGGCGTTGCAAAGATTAAAGAGACGACTCATGTGAAATGCCTATAGTGATGTGGGCCCCCAGGAATCGGTCAGGGAATGCTACCTGGCATCGTTCGCATGTGGAGTGTAGATGGGAGTCTGTGTGCTGAAGCAGCGTGCCCAGACCGGCAGCTGGGAAGTATCCAAGCCAGTGTGCCAGGACCCACAACCTCCCCCCTTCTCCAGGCGGCCCTCCTGCTCAGAGCAGAGGGAAGTGCCTGGGCTCCCTCCCCAGCTTCTCCTGGTACCTGTCAGCTTCTCTGCGATGGGCCTGAACTCCTCGGGGCTGATGTACATATCGTGGTCAGTGTCCAACGAAGAGAAGAGAAAGAGGCCTTCTGCCCCCAGGGCCTTCAGCGCAGACTCCTGCTGGGGGAGGGAGAGGCTAGCTGAACACCATCCTCCTGAGTTCTCTCAACACGTCCTGGTTCCCCCTCCAACTGTTACTGCCCCAGGCCCCAGGCCCCTCCCCTGGTCCCCGCTTTACTCCGGGCCTCACCCACGGTCCGTCCCACCTTTCCGGGTCCCTTCTGTCTGGCCCCATCCCCATTTCACAACCCCGCTGTCCTCTCGCCTCCCCTCCCCTCCCTGCTGTCAGCGCTCCCCAGGCCCCCCTCCAGCCCCTCTGGGCCCAGCTGCACTCTGGGCCTTGTCTGCCGTCCCCTGTCCTGTGGACTGGCCCCTGCAGTTCATCTCAGCCCCTGCCTCACTTGCCCCAACAGTCCTTCCAAGCCTGCCCGACCCTGGTACCCTCTTTTCTCCTCGCTTCCATGCCGTCCTCCCCAGCCCACTGGTCCCACTGGGTCCATCCCCCTCCAGGCCGCCCTTCCTTCCCCGCCCCCGCACGGTACCCTCCGAGCGGGGCCTGCTCCACCCCCTGCCTCCTTTCCCCGGGGCCCAGACACTGCGCATCCCTCGCTCCCGCCGCCCGCCTGCCGGACCTGCCGCGCGGCCGCCTGGGCCTCAGTGTAGCGGCCGTAGGCCCGGGCGGCGGCGGCCGCGGCGGCGGCGGCGAGCAGGGCCCCGAGCAGCGCCACGACGCGAGCGCAGCGCGGCGAGGGCGCGGGCGGCGCGGGTGGCGCGGCGGGGCCGGGATTGGGGGGCCCGCGCTCGCCCGGCCGGACCCGGCCCATGGCTGCGGCTCGGCTGCGGCTCGGGGCGGCTGGGTAGCGGACCGGCGGGCGGAGGGGCGGGGCGGCCCGGGCGGCGGGGCGGGGCGGCCGCGGGGCCGTGGGGCTGCGCCCCGGCCCGCCCGTCGCCGTCCTGCCCTGGCCGCGCGCCCCCCCCACCGCCTGGCACAGGGTCTGGACACACTGGGGCGTCGGTAGGTGCTGAGCGAGACAGTGAAGAGATCCCGGGGCTCCCCACCACCCCTGCCATCCTCAGGCCCGTCCTTCCCGCACTGCAGTTTCCCAGACTGGAACTGGGCCCCGCGTCCGGCTTGCTGGCGGAGGCAGCGAGCAATTCCAGGCTGAGGACCCGGAGGAGGAAAGGACTGGGGCGGAGGGTGGGGAGTGGGTCGGGCATGGGCCGTCAGGCCTCGCGTCCATCTCTGCTGGCGCTGCCCGTCCCAATGCAGGAGAGGGCTCCCCACTGTCCACCCGGATCCCACTTGCTTCTAAAATGTCTTCAGCCAGTTAGAAAAAGAAGAATTGCGAAGTTCGACGTTTACTCCCTTCATGGCCCACCTGGAAGGCGGCCTCTGCAGGTGTATCAGGGATGGAGAGCACCTGTCCCAGGCCTGCACGGGCAGGCGGTGCAGGGAAACCCCCACCTGCCAGGGCCAAGCTTTCTTCACCTTCGAGGAGGAGCAAAGAAGCCCTCTGTGGGCTGTGCCGAGCAGGGAGAACCTTGCCTGGTGGGGCTGGGCTGTGAGTCACCTGCGCCCTCTGCTCTGCTGGGCCCGGCATCACCACAGGTGTGATTTTTCTGGAGAACGTTTGGCATGCTTGGAGAAGGGCCTCAGGAATGGAGGACACGTTTTTCTGTCTGTCAGGTCCCCAGGAACCGGGGTGGGGTGGGGGTGCAGCAACTACTGAAGCCTCTGGACAAGAGTCCTGAGCGCAGGGGAGCAGCGGTGCCATCCTTGGATGTCACTGCCGGGGGGGGGGGGGGGCGCGGTGCTCGTGTACCGGTCAGGTTTGGGGTGGCAGTGGGATTTCACGGGTCCCGAGCACCCACTGTGCGCTGGACTAGGTGTTGGGTGCATGACATGACCTCATTTTGTTCTCTAGCCACCCAGTGACGTAAGGACCATTTGCCTTGTTTTAAAACTAAGGAGCCTGAGTTCTGGCACTGAGGATGATCTGAATCCGAATCTCTTGCCAGGTGTGCCTTCCAGGGGATGAGCCAGCCGACTGCGTGAGGACAGGGGCTTATCTCTGCCACCCCTTGTGTCCTTCATGGGTGACCAGCCACGACGGTCCCCCCAGCTCCCACACAGGACCTGGGGCATGGTGGGCACCCCAGTGCCTTTTGGACGAGTGACCCTCAGGGACTAGGAGCTGTGGGTCCTAGACCCAGCCCTTGCCCAGTGCGAGGCCCAACATCCTCAGAGGCACCGGCTGAGGGCCCGACATCTGGTGTTGTCTTCAAAGGCTTCCAACTGTGCCACTTCCAACTCATTACCATTAATGTTTGGGGACACCCAGCATACGGCAGATGCCATTAGAGAAGCTAATTCCACTCGATCAGGAAGGAAGCAAAGCTAACAGAGCACAAAGCAGGTTAGGAGGGAAGACGGATGAGCCACGGACCCTGGAAAATAAATGAGAGAAGTTTTCTCCGCCAAATTTCTTTTATTTATTACACTTGCTTTTTGTTAAAGGCACAGACACCCCACAGGTCTCTGGGCTCAGGGCTGGAGAGATGGGCTGCTGGGAGAGGGGAGGGCGAGGCTGCTCTCAGAGCTCAGCCCTGTGTGGGGGAGGGGTGGGTCTGCAGGGAGCCGCTGGGAAAACGGTCAGCCCCGGGACTCAGCTCTGGGGGGAGCTCAGCTTGGCTTTCGTAGGGCTGCCCAGAGGCCAAGAGCAGCTGCTAGACCTGAGCAGGCCTGTCTGGGCCTTGGTTTCCTCCTCTGAATCTTTGCCGGAGGATTCTCTGGACCGTGGACTCCATGAAGATGAAATATGAATTGAATCTCATACATCCCAAAGCACAGACCCGTCTCTGCCAGACTCCTGGGCAAGCTCTTCAGCATCTTCCTTCGATCCTCCACGCCTGCCTGAGCATCCCCCAGGGCCAGGCCGGCCCCTGCAAGCTTAATTTCCCAAATTTGCAGATTCAGGGCTAATGGCAAGATGCTTGTTCAGTGGGAAAGGCATAATGTGTTCAGATGTATTGCTTTGAGAGTTCGGCCTATCTCCTGGGCCTGGTTGACACAGTTTCCTTCAAGTTCTGGAGCAATTTTGTTTTTAAAAACAAGCATTGGACAGCAGCGTTTTGCCTAACACTTACACAAGGCTTTATAGTTTACAAAGAACACTCACATAATAACAACCATCGCTACGTGTATTGAGTTTCTATGCTGGGGAGCTCAGTGAACCCTTGAAATCGCCCTCCATTTCCATAGCTGGAGTTGCAGAGGCTCAGAGAGGTTAAGGGCCTTGCCCAAGGTCACACAGCCCATGGAAAGGGCAGTGAACCCAGGTCGAGCCACTTGACTTCAACCTGCACTGTCCTCTCATCCTGCCTTTCTCATCTCCAGCCTCACCCGATGAACAGCGACCTGTAGGTAAACAGTGAATGAGAAAAAAAAAATCAAACAAAATAAAAGCCAGAGGCTTTTGCAGAATATAGTCAGAGGCTGGGATGAGTACAAAAATAACCAGGTATGTTCAAGGGAATCCTTGAGTCCCCAAACAGTATGTGTTGTGTTGAGATGACTTTTGTAATGATGCCGTTGGCAGAGGTCAGGGGGTCAGGGGACCTGCTTTCTAAGTTCTAAGATTGCACCGTCCAAAACAGCAACCAGGAGCCGCACATGGCTATTTATATTTAATTAAAATGAAACAAAATCAAGTATTTTCTTCCTCAGTTACACTTCCCACACTTTAAGTGCTCAACATCCACATGTAGCCACCCTATTGGAAAACACAGGTCGCCCCGGCTGGTGTGGCTCAGCAGGCTGAGCGCCAGCCTGGGAGCCAAGGTCACTGGTTCAATTCCCAGTCAGGGCACACGCCTGGGTTGTGGGCCAGGTCCCGGGTTGAGAGCATGTGAGAGGCAACCTTCCCCTCCCTTCCCCTCCCTTCCCCTCTTCTCTAGAAATGAACAAATAAAATCTTTAAAACCTATGACCTGTAGCATCGGCATCCCCTGGCGGCTGTTAGAAATGCAGAAGCATAGGCTTCCCACTAGACCCACTGAATGTGAACCTACATTTTAACAAGATCACCAGGTGGTTCAGGTGCACAAGTTTGTGAAGCTCTGATTTAAGAGACAGGCTGAGTGGGATCAAAATATTGTCCAAATATGGGAAGCCAAACAGATGTTTTTAGATACGCAAAAAAAAAAAAAAAAGAAGAAGAAGCATCAGCGCCCCTCGCCCCCTGTAGTGTGTGATTAAGTGTTAGTCAGTGGGGGCTGAGCGTTTCATGTCCCATGATCAGTGCATGCATTTTCAAGGACAGACCCCCGGAGGTGAGCTGGGGGTAAGGAGGTGGGGCGAGGGGGCACTTCCATCTCCAGCACCTTCTCAGACCCCAAAGGGTCACCTCCCAAAACAAAGGCAACAGAACCAAGGGTCACACTTTGGATCTCGGGGATGCCACCTTTAAATCAAGTTTTTATTTTTGCTTTTCTTTCTAATGCATTTGGCTTTTGAACTTTGTAACTCGCCAGAGACACAATGTGATGCATGAAGCCAGTCTGAACAAAGACACAATCATTTAAAGGGGGGCATCTGGAAAAGGACTGTGTCCCCCTCTTTGCAGGGGTGGATGCTCTGCAGGCCTCGGTGCCTGGAGCCAGGTGCTGGCAAAGCTTCCTGGGAAGGAACCAGCATTAAGCTCTTCTACGAGGAAAACAGGTGCAAAAGGTGGTTCCGCTCAAGCGAGGACAAAGCTGAGGCTCAAAGGAGCCCAGCAGGGCGCCGACCCCTGCTGGGAAGGAGGGGGTCTGCTCAGGGCCTGCTTGCACCGGGTTGACTCATCTTTAAATTTCTCTCCTCTCAGCCTGCCTTGGGTTTTACCTATTCTTATCCCTGGAAAGGAGTTAAGTTGCCTAAAGGCTGGTATTTCTTCATTGGCAAGGGTCCTCTTGGAGGATGAATTTTAAAATATTCATTTTTACAACTTGCTCCCAGCGATAACAAGCAGAAGACAAGATGCTGGGGAAGAGAAGACAGTGACATGGGTCCACTGGGGGGAGCCTGGGGCTTCAGGGGACGTCGAAGGGACTTCGCAGCCCGGAGACACTCCAGGAGCAGACTCAATGGAGCTGAAGAGAGAAAGAGGAATGGCCGGGTATGCTCCTCTAACTCTCTTTATAAAGCTGAAAAACCTGCAGACGGTCCAGCTGTGTTTGCCCAGCCAGTAGGCAGGTCTGTCATTTTGGTAGCAAACCTCATTTTTAACTCCAGTCCAGATGCCCTCCCTTGGCGGGGGATGGGGGTGTGGGGAGGAGGTACAGGACATAGGCAAGGCCACCTGGAAGCTCACATCCTTGAGGGGAAACAGGAGATTGGACTCACCTGTGCTGGCGGTGGTGGCCGGGGCTGCTGCCCTCGCCTTTGCTGCTTGGATCCCAGGCCAAATCCTCTTCCTTCCTAGTCCTTCTTGAGGTCTCTCTGTTCGCTCTCTTGAGATTTCTTGAGCCATCCCAAGGCATTTCAATAAATTATTTTTTTGTTTTATTAATTAGAAATATTTATTATGATTTTTTAAAGTGTTATTTCATCTTGGCCATTTGTTGATCAAATATTTATTTATTTATTTATTTATTTTTTAAATTTTATTTAGTTATTTTTCGGACTTCCGCCAAGATGGAGGCATAGGTGGATGTGCCGTGCCTTCTCACACAACCAAGTTTAGAGACAACTAAATATTAGCAACAGAAAACACAGCCAGAACACAGAAAATTGAACTTTTCGGAAGTCCCTTAACAACAAATTCTTCAGCCTGACCGGTAAGGGGCGAAAACAGCAGCTGGTGAAGCGGGGTTGCACAGGAAAACTCGGTCGGACGGACTCGGGCACGCGGAATCCAGACGCGCAGAATCCAGGCGCAGGGTTGGACCTAGTGAGCGACCGAGCGAGCGACCAGGCAAGCAACTGCGGGGGAGACAGCAAGGAAGCGGGGCTGCGTGTTGACTGTGGTCGCGCATTTGTGCGCGGGCGGACAGGCGAGGGAGTGGGCGGTTGGACAGGGGCCGGGCGGGTCCCCGCGGCAAGTGGCAGTGGAGGGCGCCGCCATTTCCCTGCTCTGACCCCACCTCCACATACAGCGTCATAACCTAGCGACTCTGAGTGGCCCGGCCCAGGTGAACCACCTAAGACGCTGATCGTCACCCAGCTGTGAGAAACCGCAGAGGGGGTCGCCATTTTCCCGCTCTGACCACGCCCCCACATACAGCGTCACAACCCAGCGACTTGGGAGTCCAAGGCGCCACTTCTCACACTTAAAGGGCCAGAACAGACCAAAAATGTCGCAAGAAGATCTCAAAGCCCCAGAGCCTATAGATCTAAGCGATGAAGAAATAGCAAAACTCTCAGACGCACAGTTTAAAACACTGGTCATCAGGATCCTCACAGAACTGGTTGATTATACCGACAAATTAGACAAATATATGAAGGCGAAACTAATTGAAATGAATGGAATTGCATAGGTCACCGATAGCAATGAAAAGGAAACTGGGACTCAAATCAATGGAGTGGACCAGAAGAAAGCAAATAATGGCCAAACAGAAAAGAGTCAAGAAGCAAGAATTCAAAGAAATGAGGAGAGTCTTAGGAACCTCCAGGACATCTTTAAACGCTCCAACATCCGAATTATAGGGGTACCAGAAGGGGGAAAGGCACAGCCACCAGTGGAAAAATTATTTGAACAAATAATAAAGGAGAATTTCCCCAATCTGGCAAAGGAAATAGACTTCCAGGAAATCCAGGAAGCTCAGAGAGTCCCAAAGAAGTTGGACCCAAGAAGGAACACACCAAGGCACATCATAATTACATTAGCCAAGATTAAAATGAAGGAGAGAATCCTAGAAGCAGCAAGAGCTAAGGGGACAGTCACCTACAAAGGAGTCCCCATCAGACTGTCAGCGGATTTCTCAAAAGAGACCTTACAGGCAAGAAGGGGCTGGAAAGAAGTATTCCAAGTCATGAAATCCAAAGACCTACAACCAAGATTGCTCTATCCAGCAAAACTTTCATTTAGAATGGAAGGACAGATAAGGTGCTTCTCAGATAAGATCAAATTCAAGGAGTTCATCATCACCAAGCCCTTATTATATGAAATGTTAAAGGGACTTATCTAAGAAAAAGAAGTTAAAGAAACATGAACAGTGAAAGGACAGCAAACTCACAGTTATTAACAACCACACCTAAAACAAAAGCAAACTAAAAGGACAGCTAATCAGGAGTGGAAACATAGAAATGAAGATCTCAAGGAGGGTTAGCAACAGGGGAGTGAGAGGAGGAGAAGGGGGGAGAAGGTACAGAAAATAAGTAGCATAGACAGTATATAGAAAATAGATGGGGGGCAAGAATAGCATGGGAAATATAGAATCTAAAGGACTTGAGACACATGGTCATAAACTAAAGGGGGGGTAATGGTGGGGATGGGGGGGTAGGGTGGAGGGGAATGAAAGGGGGAATAGAACAACTGTAACAGCATAATCAATAAAAACATTTATTTAGTTATTTTTCAAGTACAGTTTTTTGTCTATTTTTCCCATCCCAGCCTCCCCCGCCCCTTGCTCCCCACCTCCCTCCCATTTCCACGCCCCTTAGTTCTCGTCCCTGTGTCCTTCCTATTTGTTCCTCCTCAATAAATTATTATTATTATTATTTTTGCTTCAGTCAGAAAGAGTTGGTTTATATTTATAGCTAAGAACCCAAACTGACAGAAACTGAATGCAGGGCAACAGGGGCTTAGCCCCTTAAAGCACGAGGCAGCGCGAGACGGGATTCTACGCACCAGGAACAGCAGTGAGATAAATGCCGTGTATTTGTTGACGCGCAGAGATGTTTAGAACAGAGTGTAGTGTGGAAGCAGATTACGGTAAAACAGCAGGCACAGTGCGCTACCGTTTTTGCAAAAAACATATTCTTTGTTTTCACAGAGAAAGGGCTAGAAGGAAAAATCACAGTATTCATCCTGGAGGGTTGGACAGTGAATTTTTCTTCATTTATCTTTATTTCTTAACCTTTCTGCAATGTTCGTGTAAAGAGTTTTTCTGTCTTTTCTAGCAGGCGCAAGTGAGTTGCAGAACCGCACTGGCAGGAGTAAAGTGAGGTGCCAGCCTTAGGCAGCGACTTATTCACCAAACACGGGGCCCCTGCGGAAGGGCCCCTGCCACGGGGCCGCTCCCGACAGCTCTGCCCGCTGACCCCTGACTGATGCTTAGGAGACATGCTGGAGACACGTGAGTTCTTGGTCCTGAGAACGAGGAGGAAGTGCTTTCCACACCCCGGGCACCAGTGTTGTCCCATTTACTCCAATAGGAGCCTCGTGGGAAAGGTGGCCAGAGAGGGGAGGTCACCTGGCCCGGAGCCCCAGCACCCCCAGGGCTGCTCAAGTTTGTAACGGCCAGGCCAGAACGAAGTGGCTGGGCGTGGGAAGCGCTCCCCGCTGTCCTGTGAGGCTGCGTGGGTCAGCTGCAGAGCGGGGAGGGGTGTGGGCAGGAAACTCGCCTCCCCATTGGGACCTGGACGCCTCGCCCAGCAGGGTGGCAGCCTCACAGGTGGCCTCAGAGGGAAGCAGGGGGTGGTCACAGGGGAGTGTGGACTTGTGGGGTGCTTGTCCCGCTGCTCGTTCTTATCCCCCAGGTCTCAGCCTGAAGGTTATCTGGTGGAGAGGCTGTCCTTGACCCCTGAGCTGGGTCCCGGCCATGAGCACGTCGGCCCCCGGGGCTCCTGTGTAGCGTCTCGTGCACCTCGCAGTGGTGCTCCCTCCCTGTGGATTCCTTTCCCGTCCCTTTCTCCCTCCTCGACTTGTCTGCTCCCTGAGGGCAGAGCCTACGGCTGTCTTGCTCACAGTGCCTCTGGCGTCCACCCAGTGTCTGACCCCTGTAGGCACCCACTGGGTGTCTGCTGGGTGACAGAACAGATGGACACAGAACCAGGCGGTCAGCAAGTCACAGGGCCTGGGCTCACCTCCACCTTAATTGGCTGCGCGACCTCCCGTCAGTTGCTGCCTCCCTCTGGGCCTCTTCCAAGCCTTGGCCTAAGTATAAATACCCTACTCTTTTAAAGGGACCGGCCTCCCGTTCCTGAATATATTGGGCACCACTTAAGGAAGGTAAAAGACGTTGGAGTCATTTACTAAATTGTACCTTGGTTGATCGTTATGATGCTAACATCACAGGGATTTTCCCAGTAGTCACTGGGATGCAACAAGCCTAATCATATTTCATATTCAATAAGTTCTTTTATTGTAGGTTTACAGATCTTCCCATTACAATAATGAAAACAGCACTAGTGATTCGTAACACTCAGGCCCAAATCAAAGGGGACCCCCCTCAAATTATAAGGTAAGTGACACGTGGTTGAACATACAGTGAATGATGGGCAAGAGGCATTTAAAATATAGAAAATAAGGTCAAGGCTTTTGTGTATGTACAAACAGAGGGAGGTTTAGTTTATCAGGGTGATTGTTTTTGAGAGCATGATTTTCAAAACTATCTGTAATTTGTGATACAACACAGCTATAGAGAAAAGGCAAAACCAAGCAAAATCAAAAACAGCCTCAAAACGAAACAGGTGAACCAAATACAAGGGGTCGATGTGCAGACCTCCAGTGCTCTGGCCCTGGAACGGCGGCCGGGCGGGTTTCACAGAAATTCTCCGTAGACGGAAGGTCTGGGCCTGGCGTGACGTCGCCGTGTCCCGCGTCCTGGCTCCTCACAGAGGAGAAGCAGCTGCTTGTCCAGCACAGCTGCCCGGAATGGGGCCTGTGTTCCCAATCCCTCTGAGAACAGTCCCCAGACCTGGAAAGGCAAGGTGTCCCTGCGGGGGCCACAGGGGCAGCAGGGAGAGGGGTCAAAGCGGGTCCCCGACCCCAGCGGCACTGTCCGAGTGGTTCACGGGCAGTGGGTGGGCCTCCGTGTTGAACACCCAGTCTTCCAGGGAGAGCGTGTCATCTTCAGAGAACAGAAGATAGAGATACCTGTGCCCCCGGGCGGGGGGAAGCAAGGCGCAGCCTGTCAGTGCTCTGCGGAGCAAGGGGCCCCCGGGAGGAGTCTCAGGGGCCTCAGCTACAGGCCAGTGGCCGTGGGTGCAGGGGAGTCCGAGCCCCCAAATCTCCCTGGAAGGCTAGACCCAGGGAAGATGCTGTGGACGCCGAGAACAGCACCAAGTTTGGGGGCAGACAGGCCTGGCTTAATCCTGCTCTGCCCCAGCCCTCACCCCCACAGCTTCTCACAGGCACGGTCCCCACCGGGGACCCCACCTCGTGGCCTAGATTCTGCTTTCTCTGCAGGGCCACCTGAGCCCTGCACCGTTCACACTCCTGGGCTGCTCCCTCTCGTGCCCCAGGGGCTCTGGAAAGTAGACACCGGGGCACTGAAACGGACAGGAAGTGGTGACTCCAGGGCCTCTGCTCCCCGAGCCCCGTGGGCTTTTACTAGAAGAGATGGACCATTCTAGTTCATCCTAGAGGGGATCGCTCTGGGGACAGGGAGGAAGCAAGGGAAAGCCAGGAGCGACACCGTCACCGTAATTCTCATTTTACAGATGGAGGCGCAGCTTCAGAGACCTGAAGAGACAGGTTACAGAACCGGACTTCCCACAGCTACCCCCTCGGCGGGTGGAGCCCACCCCAATCTCACTCCCCGAGGTGAGGAACCAGCCTGGTCCCAGGCTCGCCCCTGGGGGTGTCTCACCCTGGACCCCAAGCACCCCACCCGTCTTGGGCCCCCTTCCTGTGACGGCAGACCCTGACTCTGGTGAAGGGACAAACTGCTGACCCCTTCCCCCCAACCAAGAAAAGCCGAGTCGCCCACGGAAAGAACGCTGACCAACCCGACTCACTTTAGCGTCTCCGCTAGAAAGAAGGTCTGCTGCTTGTTGTCGTGGCTCGGAACGCCGCTGTACACGTCCTGGATCCCGGAGAAGCCGGCTTCCGTCCGACAGTGTCTCTCCAAGGCCTGGACAAAAGGAAGGCAGCCTTGGGGAGGGGTGGGGGCCCCCCAAGACTCATGCCTGCACAGTGGGCCAGAGCTCACCAACAGGCAGGCCCCTGACCCCTCGACTGGGGACCCCTGGCATCTGTGAAAGCAGAAGGCCAAAGTCTTCTCGAGGTTCAGTGCCAGGCTGGAGGGGCCTGCTGCCGAGAGCTGGGTCCCAGTGGGCTGTGCCCCAGGCTCTCCACCTGGCGTGAGCTTAGAGGAATCTCCTCCTTTCCTCTCAGGGAATAGACCGGTGACAGACTTGCCCAGGAGGGGACAGAGGAAGGTGCTGGTGATGTTCGTGGGCTGGGATTGGGACTGTTGTACCCAGGATTCCCTGTGGAGACGTGGCCCTGGGCCAGAGTGGGTGAGCCATGGATGTCTGCGTTTTGTACAGAAATGCATTTTTAACCCACTGAAGGTTTGAAAAGATGGGCCCAGGAGGACAAAACACTTGGCCTTCAGTGGCCGAGAATCAGGCTTTGGGGAAGCAGGAGACTCTGGCCAGTGAACAGTAACAGTGAACCTGAGCGGGCCCAGGTGCCCGGCCTGAGCGTGATGCTCTGGGCATGGCTCTGCCCAGGACAGCACACGCCTCTGAGAGCAGGGCACTGGGAGGGTGGGGGGAAGGACAGGGAGGCTCAGCATACATCGAGGAACTTTCTGGAGTTCCCACACCTGCTTTTGGCACCTACCCCAAAGTGGGCATGAGATTTCCCAGCAGGTGGGGTGAGGGGTGTGCAGGGCAGAGCCCAGAGAGGAGTGGAGGTTGCATGGGGCTGGGCTGGCTCTGGGGAGAGGCAGGAAGTAAGCTGCTGGCCTGGCAGCTGTTCCTGTGTGAGAGGAGAAACCTAAAGCTCTGGCCCGGGCTTAAGGGTCAGAAGCGGCGACCACATATGCTCTGGGCCCCCTTTGGCTGCTGCCCTACCTTTGCCCCTCTATGTTCGCTGGCACCAGCACCAGGTCCCCAAGACGACCCGTCTGAGAACCCTCTTCTCAAGTTCCTGGCTTGATTCTGCCCAGCTGGGGCCTCCTGGCTCTGCAACCACAACCTTGACCCTTTGCACTCTGAACTTCAGCCAGGTGTGCACCTGGCTTGACCCTCTTCTCAGTGCCTGAGCTTTGACTGTGACTTCTCAGGGGCCTCTGCCTCCCCACCCCCCTCCCCCGGCCTGGCCGCTCACCATCACCACTTCCCAGCCCCACTCCCTGTAGATGGGGTCGTGGGTCTGCCGCCACAAGTACATGTAGCTCTCCACCACCTCGGGCCTCAGGATGTAGTAGCTCTCGCTCAGCTGCGTGGCCACCGCCTCTCTGCCGGAGTTAAACCAGAAGGCCTCGGGCCCCAGTTTGGTATCTGTAGAATGAACAAACACAGGGCCTGGGTCAGACCACCCACCTGCTTTTCAGGGTCCAGGTGCCCCAGGCAGATCTGGGGTGATGGGCAGTGGTGTTGCTGTGGGGTGGGCATTGCCTGGTGGGGCTCAGCCTGCCAGATATCCGGCTTCCCTCTTGGCCCGGACTAGCCAAAGTGACTCTTGAGGCCTCAAAAATGTTGCAGTTTTAGAATCTGGGACTCCAGATGAACTTCCCTAACTGTGTATTTTGAGACATGAGCTCTGCAAGGTCCAAGACAGGGCCCAAGGGTCAAACACATTTGCGTTTGAACACAGTGGGTCAAACGAAGCGAACTTCTGCAGGACTTATTAGACCCTTTCCTGTGCTGCTATGCAATGAGGCTTCTCCTCCGGCCTTAGGAAAGGCTTTCAGCTCCTCCCAGAAGCAGCCCTCCAGAGCTGCCCACTTGGGAGACCGCAGACCGAAGATGAGGGAAGACCTGCCCAAGATGCTACTCAGGCGGCGGGAGCTGGCTCGTGGAGAAGGCTGGTGAGGCCTGGGTTTTGCTGCTGCTGCTGCTTTGTTTGTTTTTGGACAATTGACTGCCACTCCTATTTTTCGGATGACCAGGATTATATAACCACTGCCGCAGCCACCATTTATGATTTCAAAGGCTGTACTGGGAATTTTATGTACGTCATTTCAATCCTTAAGGAAATGCATCTTTTTGGTTTTTGTTTGGTAAGGAGATGTTATTACTCCTCTATCGCGTGTGGAAACTGCGGATCGCAGGGGCTAAGTGATTTGCCCAGGGGAACACACAGGCGTCATGGCTGAGCTGGGACGCGGCTCCCCTTTGCCAGGCGGCGCCTTCCCTTCTGCGGGCGCCGCCTGCACACCCATCCAGGTGGACTGAGGCCCTGTTCTGGTCCTAGTGCGAGCCCTTCCTCCTCCTGTTGGGGTTCAGTCCCTGAGAGGCCCTGGGTTGCTTTTCCTCAAGACACGGGCTTTGCAGGGTGTCCTCCTCTTCTGTGGAGGGTTTCCTGGAAGAGGAATTAGCCAGACCGGGGCCCCTCCCAGACTTTCCAATGGGGCCGCCAGTCCTGCCAAGCTGCTACCAGGGCGAGGGCAAACGCGACTGCCGTGGCCGCCCGTGGCCGAGCCGGGCTGGCTGGAACCATACACCCTATTAAACGGGCTTTTACGGTCTGGGCTGATTGTTCCAAATAGCAAGCTTTTTATTATTCCTGAGATTTCCTATTTGTTTATGGCGCCAGCAGAGAGAGCTCTTTGAAGGGAATTGAAGACCGGTTTGAGGGACTCATTGTGAATTGCTGGCTTTCTGAACAGCTCCAGAGGATGGGATTCGACTGCAGTGGTCAGCTCGGTGGACCAGTAACAAACGCCCCATGCTGCTGGCTGAAGGCACCTGCAACGCGCTCTCTGTGGGACCCGGGTCCTGACCCTGGAGACCCGTGTTATTCTCGGTGAATTGACGGGGCTATGGAGGCCGCCTCGCTGGCGAGCGGCAGAGCAGCACTCGAACCAGGATTTTTTACTGCGAATCTTGGGCCCTTTCCTCCAACCAAGATGGGGATTAAACTCGAGTAGTGGGCACCCCCTGGGGCTGGGGGCAGGTCTGAGGCCGCCGTTCAGGGCCAGCACCTGTGGCGGAGCTGAGCATCAGAAGACCTGGGCCCTGGCCCCAGCCTAGCTGCTCAGAGCCGTGAGACCGCGGCTCTGGACTGACTGGGTTCCCCATGTATAATAGCAAGTGAGGAGTTGGGTTCCTGTCCTCTAACGTGACTTCTGACCCTTACATCCGACAATTCTGTGTGAGTGCCGAGCAGATGGTCAAGAAGCTCTCAGACTTCCTGGTTGTCTTGGACCAAAGAGGAAAAATGGGGGGGAGGGTTCTGGGGAGGAAAAGCAGAGGTGTGTGGGGGTAGGGCTCAGAGAGAAAACATCTGCTAGCCCCAGGAAGCCGACGTTTCTGCCGCAGGGGCCGGAGGACCCTCTCCACCGTCTGTGCCCCACTCAGGGGCCTTGGCCGCGTCATTAGAGCCTCAGCCTCCTCAGCCTCCTCATCCGGGCGGTAGGGGTTGGTGGCGATGTGCGTGGCGTGCTGGACAGACGCCCGGCTCACACAAAGGCCCGGCAGTCAGCCTCACTCCCCCTTCAGTTCGGGGCACAGTCTCACCACACGGAGAGCACAGCCTTCGTTCGGATTCTGCCTGGCTGCAGAAAGTGGGGCTGCCCCAAGAGCGTGCGTTCCCTTCACTCGCTGCCACTCTGCTGCACTTCCCGGTTCCCCCTGGGGTCTGGCCTCAGTCTTTCCTGCTGTCCCCGTCACCCCTCGCCCCCCCCACCACCACAGGGTTACCTGAGCGGTCATATGACTCATGGCACGTCTTAGTGATCTGGGCTGCGAGCTCTCGGTAGCGGGCCCTCTTTTCCTCCTCAGCATCCTCAGCGCCGAGGGCGATCATGCCCCCGGAGAAGCAGGCCAGGTGCCCCATCTTGTGGTCCAGAATCCCCCCACGCCACTCAGCAAAGTAGGTCAGCCCCCCGGGGGACACGTTCAGCAGGTGAGTCTCTATTGCCTGGGAGCAAGGTGGGGGTTGGGCAGGGAGAGGGGTGTGGGAGATAGAGAAGGGAGGGGGGAGGACAGAAAATGAGTATTTTGGACACAGCAGCAAACACAGCTCTGCTGAGCCCTCCATTCAGGGCAAAGGAGGCCCACTGACCTTGGCCCTGACTGCACTGGTGAGAGTTTCCGTCTATCACCCAGCCAAGTCCTGGTGCCTGCTGGGGCTTAAGGGAACTCCCCAGGGTGAATCTCTTACACACTTTAAAATCTTCTACGTATGAAAAATTTCAAAAAATCTTTAAAAATCATCACCTTCTATTATATACTTGGTTATCATAACCTGAAGTGGGAATGATAACCTGAAGCCCCACTGGCCCATGGATGCCCCTAAAATGGTACATGCTGCTTCTGTGTATGTGCATTTTCATGGGACGAGATTCTCAAAGGGCCCCTGGGAAACGAAGAGCTGCTCTCTGCAGGCCCCTGTCACTTCACACCACCGCAAGCCAGGTACATGGGCTGCAGTGCTCTCTACAAGGAGGTCGAGTGGCTGGAGCCCGGTCACCTAGCCATACCAGGATTCGGACAAGGACCCGCAGACGCCCAAGTGCCACTTCCTACACCACCCGCTGGCTGCTCGTTTCGGTGACGATGTGCTTTGAGAGCCCTCCCCGGTTCCGTGGGAGGTGTCGCTGTTAGTGAAGGCTGCCAGGAAGCTGGAGGGACAGGTGTCAGGCAGTCATGCCTCCCACTCCCTGCTAGTTGTCCAGTTAGTTGCCCTGGAAATGGAGGTGTTGGTGGCAGCTGCCCACACAGCTGCAGGGGGGCTCGATGGGCGCCCCTGTGGGTCCGGGTCCAGCGCAGGGTCTGCGGGCCTGGGCCTCGGCCTGCATTCTTGCCCCTCCACTCTGTTCTCCAGGGGCCTCTGCACTCTGTAAATAACGAACCTGACTGTCTTGTGCCTGCTTAGCACCTTTCCGTGGTTCCCCAGTGCCTCCAGATGGACGTCCAGCGGGGCCTCCGAGACCCCCGATCCGGAGCCTGAGCTTTAACCTGACGCCATGGACGTGGCTCTTAGGCGCAGACTGCTCGGGCTGGAAGCCCGCCTCCAGCAGCTTCAAGCTGTGTGACTTAGGGCGGGTTCCGAGTTCTCCGTTTCTCAGCCTCCTCGATTATAAAATGGGGAGAAGAGCACAAACTGCTTCACAGCGTCGGGAAGGAGAGATGAGACGAGTCTGTGGAGATCGGCCTGCTTCTCAGCACAGAGAGTTCTCAACAGGTGTTGGCCCTCTGGGCCTCCCTCCTCTGCCCCTGTCCCTGCCACATGCACGGGGCTCTTCACGCGTGCACCCCTGCCTGCACGGAACTTCCGTGAGTGCCTCCTCCGAGCCTGCCCTGAGCTGGGGGCAGGGCACACAGCCCCTGGAGAGAGGCCCGGACCCCGCCTTAACCAGCACGGTTTCCCAACAACATCAAATACACACGAGTGTCACAACTGCGATCAGCATTTTGAATGAAACAAACTGAGGGGACAGGACAGGGAAAAGCTTGGGGAGGGGGTCCTACTTTGCAGTCAAGTCAGAGAAGGTCTCTGCCATGGTGACGGTGACTTTCATAAACTCACGAAGGTGCCTGCCTCGGGGCTTTGCCCACGCCCTGCGCCCACTCTGGTACCTCCTGCTCAGCCCCCGGCCTCCTCCAGGATGCTGCCTTGGAGAGGACAGCCGATCTACACCACTGCTGCCTTGTGGTTCTACTCCCTGTGATCTCTCTAGTAGTGCTCTCCCCACGCTGCTCGCGCCTTCGTGGTGCTTCTGTGGGACGCGGCTCTCTCACAGCGCTCTGCGTGCTGTGCCCGGCAGAAGCTTCTACCAGGCATCTCCAGCCAGGGCCCTGCCCAGGAAGGTGCTCAAACAAACATGCTCCTTGACTGTTTTTTCCTTTTCCTTCTGTAAGGCCTATGCTGGCGGGCTGGCTGCAGGGCCCTCCCTGAACAGCAGAGGGGGAAGTGCTACTGATGGCCCCACCAGGGCACCTGCTCACATAGGAGAGGCTGCTGGGCTGGGTCTCCTCTGGGCTGGGCCCTGTGCCTGGGCAGAGCTGGGTCTGGGTGGCTGCTCTGCACCACTGAGCATGCAGGTGCAGCCCGAGTCCAGGGTGCAGAAACCAGGTGCGGTTACCCGTTGTCAACACGTGGGACGAACACAGACACAGGTGTCTGGGGGAATCCCCGGAAGCCTCCCACTGTAGCTGAAAATCTTCGTCTTCGGGACCCTCCTATAGGTTATTTGTATTATGCTTGAGGTTAACTTCAAGCTAAATAATTTTGGTAAAGAGGAAATGATGGAACAGTCTCTCTTTGAAGAGACAACTGAGATAGCAGATGTAAAGATAAAAAAGTAATAAAAATGCCCTTACAAACCAAGGCTTCTAAAACTCTGAGCAAAACACAAGACAGCAAAGGCTGGCTTTGGGCTGGAAAAAGGCTTAAATCACGGTGAGAGACTCAGCAAAGAGCTGAGAGGCAGAGGCCCGTGTCTGAACCCAGCTCTGCAATTTGAGAGTTAGGTGACTTGGGGCAACTGATTTCATTGTTCTGAAGACTCCCTTTCTTCATCTGTAAAATGAGACCAATTTCCAGGCTAGTCATGAGGCTGTTCAGAGACTCTGACTTCCTTTGTCCCCTGGACGGGCCCTACCCCATCCACACCATCCCGAGAGGGACTTGGGGCAAGCCAGGCCCCTCTGCAACCTGGCAGCCGGCGAGGAGAGGCAGGAGCCGTCCACCGTGCTTGCGCCCCGGCTCTGCCACTTGTGTGTGGTCTCGGGCCTTTCTGAGCCTCAGTTTCATCATCTGTAAGATGAGGGCTAAATGAGATAAGGCACTAAGGGTACCTGCCTGGAGGAGGCCAGAGGGACAGAAGTTTCCTGTCCTTCTGTCCTTTCTCCCTGGACCCCCAGGGGTTGCCCATTCGGCCTGTGTGAAGCCCCCATGTCCACCCACAGATGTTGGCGTAACCTGAAACTGGAGCTTTCCAGGCTGCTGCTTGGGCCCCACCCCAGGGGTTCCGAGGTAAGCTTGTTGGGGTGCAGGCTGGCCATCGGGATTTTTAACATGTGACTTTTAACAGGCCAAGAAGGTTGAGAGCCGCCAGAATATTCTTCAAAGCCCCGAACTTGCCACAGTCTCAGCCCTTACAGAGGGTCAGAGACACTGCAGGCCCTTCACTGGGGAGATCAAACAGGAGCAAGGCCAGTTGTCTCCTGTTCAGTCAAGTGTTTCCATGAAGCTCCCAGTTTGTTTAAATAATTCATAGTCATTTCTCCCCTTTGGAAGCCTCAGCTACAATGTGCCCTCAGGGGCAGGGAACTAGGCTGCTCATTAACTTGATGTTTATTTTGCAAGGGCCATCAGTCAGAAAGGGCAAGGGCCTCTCCAGGCAGCACACCTGGCCACCGGCTGAACACTAATCCGACAGGGGACCCTGGCTGCCGGCTAAGCTTGGCTGCAGAAGCTTGGAGTAGACGGGCTGAGCCAGACTGGGCTGGGACTGGAGTCCCAGGCGCTGCTTCATGACTGAGATCTTGGTGCCAGGGAGCTGGGCAGGAAAAACTCATTACTGAGCACAGAGTTTAGAGTCCATAGCCCTAGAGGCCTGTTGCAATGAGCTTCCTGTAAGCGCTACCAATGCTGGCTGGGTTGTTGTGATTAGAGGGTAGTGAGAGACCATTGATCCACCCAACCAACTGCCCACACCGTCCGCCCACCCACACCCACCTACCCATCCAGCTGCCCACCCATTCAGCCTTCGCTTCATCTGTCCAGAGCCAGGAGATCCTGCTCTTGCTTCACTTTGTCCGTTCTGTGCTGTGTGGCTTTGAGCAAGTGTTTCCCCCTCTCTGGGCCTCATTTCCCATCCACACACAGAGAAGAAACAGAGCTGAATGCTCCCCTGGCAGAGGCCCCTCCCAGCTTGGGTGTACCAGTGGTCACCTCTGGCTCGTCAGAAAGATGGCTGAGGGTCTTGCTTTGGCAGCCTCCCATGGGGGCTCCCAGCCCACCACCTGGCTGCATTCTGGGTTCCGACACATCAACGGAGGCATAGACAGCATAGTTTCTGAATCAAACTGCCTGCTGCTCCCCGTGAGACCTCAGACAAATGACTTCGCCTCCTTACGCTTGGGTTTTATATCTGTGAAACAAAGACTAACATGGCCCTAATTTTATTAGTTGTTCGAGAAGAGTTATGAGACTGGGTGTGCTAAGTGACTGACGACAGGGAGCTGTCTCGTCATTCTTCTGGCCCACTCCCTTCGGGGAAGGGGCCAGCAAGGCCGCGGCACTCGGGGCCAGTGAGAGCACAGGTGGCAGGTGGCTGAGCCACTGCCCGTGCAGAAGCAGGGCCTGTCTTACCTTCAAGGCTTCGTAGTACATATCTCTGGCCTCCATATCTGTCTTGGCCGACATCAACCAGGACTTGATCAAATACTCATAGAAACTGTCCCCGAGTCCTCCAACTGAGACATGGTCTGTGAGGGGAAAGAACAGAACGTCGTCTCCATCTGCTGAGGCCGTGGGCAGGACTGACGGAGCGCGCCTCCAGCCCACTTGGCCGTGGTGGCCCCGGTGTGTGTGTGGGCAGGGCGCACGAGTTTCATCAGCAGCCACCAGGTCCGTAACAGGCTGAGAGAAGGGCTAGCCTGCGACTCAGTGGAGCCAGGGCCACCCTCAGTGCAGGGGCCCTGCTCAGAGGTGGCGGGCCCATCCAGGTGCTATAAATCATGCTGCTTTAGCAGGCTGAGGATGGCAGGGCCTGTAGTTATTAATTGTAAATGAGTTGCATTTCTTTAAAAAGATAGCTTGGTGGCAGGGAGTTCAGAGACTTTCATCGCCTGGTGACAAACATGGTAATTAATGCTGGGCAGGGTCACAAAAGGCCACCACAAGGAAGAAGGAGAGGCTTGATTTAGTCGGTTAGAGAGCTAAGTCATTCTGGGAAAACTGAGCTCAAATTTAGCAAATCGGGACACATGGAGTTCAGGGGAGCAGGGTGAGGACAGATAGGGTTTGGGTTTGAGGACTCCCCTCTGCCTGGTGGCATCGGCCCAGTGTCCCCACAGAGCAGGACCTCCAGGCTGTGGCTGACTAAGGACGCATCCCCACCCAGGGCTGTCCCAGGAGACAGACGGGCTGACCAGGGAGCACTTGGCCATAGAAGCAAGACATGGAAAACACTCACATGCTTTGAAAATTAACAGCAGGGAAACATGAAGGCATTTAACATACAACAAAGAGCGGGGGTCAGTTCCCTGTTATGACTCACTCGAGCAGAGACACTCGAGCAGAGAGATGGAGGAAGGGGAACGGGGGGGGGGTTTCAGGTAGAGTGGGAAGAATATTTTCATCTCCTTTGCAAAAAGAGGGTAGAAAGAGAGGGTAAATGGGTGGGGGGGTGGGGGAAGAGGAAAGAAATAGAGAATGTACCAACAGCTACCATTTACTCGGTCCACTGTTGGCTGGGAGCTTTGCTGGATTATCTATAACAATCGTCCCAAGGACTCTGCAAGGTGGGCACGATGAACCCCATTTCCCAGGTGGGAGAAATGAGAGCGAGCCTAAATAGCGTACACAGGGCCGCCGTGCAGGCAGAGCTCTCAGCGTTGGCAGCTTTACGCAGTCCACCAGAGAGCGAAACTGAAGACGCGTAGAGAAAGGACAAGTATGAAGGGAGAAGGACCAGAAGTCGAGGGTAAAGACGGATGGGGACTGGGAAAGGGGGCTGAGAAGAGGCCCCCACAGTAAACCAGCCCTTCTGGCCTTTTCCATAAAAAAGTTCTGGCCAGCAAGCACTCAGGAAAGGAACAAGCACTTGTAAAAATTGGAACAGGCCAGATAAAGCCTGAGTGTGGGGGAGGATGGGAGGAGGTCAGTGTGGGTGGACTTTGCCAGGGAAGAGGGAAGAGAGAGCCAGCACGGCTCACCCCTTGGCACCCCCTATCCCTAGGTGGAGAGCGTAGCTTGGGCAAGAACAAAGGGAGGGGGGGTGCCAGGCCTGGCGGGTCGGTGGCGTGTCCCTGCTGCAGCAGGAGGCCAGTGCAGAGCAGGCGTAGGTGGAGGTACGCCCGTCTGACTGAGTCGGCCTCCGCCTAGAGCCCACCAACAGCTCAGCCCAAGGGGGGCCCCGGCTCACAGGTACGCAGCTGGGGGCACTGTCATCTCCAAGCTCATCTCCTGGCCCTGCCACCCCACACTCCTAGCCTGTGACTACCCCTCCAACCTTCCCCACCCTGCATGACTAAGGCTTCCTCCCTGCTACTTGGGGCTCAGGTTTCCTCTCCTCTGAAAGGCTTTCTCAGAGAGCTGCTCACGATCCCTCCCCAGAGGGACCACGAGGAGTGAGTGAGGTAAGGCGCACACCACACCTGACCGAGCACTTCACGAAGGAAGGGCTCAGGGTGACCACCCTCCCTCTGCTGGGTGCATGCTGACGCTGCGTATGAATCTGTTTGTGGGTCTGCCTCCCCCACTCGGCTGTGGGCTCTCAGTGGATAGAGACAGTGTAGGATTCACATTTTACGTCCAGTACCTTCATGGCACATGGCAGACGCCTTGAATGAGTGAAAGGAAGGTAGGTTTGAGTCATGCTGGAAAGGGCCTTGAATGCCAAGCCAAACAGTTTGGATTTCACCCTATGATTTTGGAGAGGGTGTGTGATATGGTCGAGGGTTTCACCTGGCAGGTGTGTGCAGGAGAAGGGAGCCAGGTCACCAAGGGTTCCACAGGTGACTGAGACATGACACCCTCTTGGGGGTGTGTGCATAGTCCCTCAGGGGACCTTGTCTGAGTGGTTAATTCTCATTTGGAGGTCTAGCTACCGTGTCTGTCTGTAGTGTCGACCCCAGCATGGTGTGATTCACTGGGAGAGGTGCAGGAGGGGTAATCAGAAGACGGACCTGCTGTCCACTTGGGGCAAGCGTTTCCCTTGTGGGCCCTCCATCTTCTGATGTAAAATGACTTTGAAAGGGGAGCCCAAGTTGGTGTCCATGAACCTTAGAGCAGGGGTGGGTTCTTCTGACTCCTGTAAGTTGGGAATCAGCCGGCAGGAAAGTAACAGGCACTGGGGGAGCTGCCAGGCTGGGGCAGATGGACAGCTCACGTTCCCTTTTGGAAGAACCTAGACCTGCCACTTCCTTCCCACTGGGGAGAGAGTGGGACTCGGGCAGTGAACAAGGAGGACAAGTCACTCCAGGGGCCAAGCTGAAGGGCGGGCAGCCCTCTGAGCTCTCATCCATGCTTGGTGCCAGCAGGAGCCTGGTGACCTGCCCCTGGCTGTGAGGTCCTAGCGGCAGGAGGTCTTGGTCTCCCTTGTTGCCCTGAAGCTCAGCTTCAAGCAGGAGTGGGCAGCGGACAAGAGCAGCCCCACTTCCCCCTTTGCCTCTCTAAGTTGCGATTTCTGTGGTTGTAAATGGGCTGAACAGAGGATTCAAGGAAAGAATGTGAATACACTTTGCTTATGCAAGTCGGGAATGTTATCTTCTGGAAAAATACATAATCACACGCATAAAAAGCCCAATAAAAACCACAGTAAACCTGAGATACCCCCAGGCGCCAAAGCTAGGGAAGGACAGCAGGTGCCCAGAGGAGCAAGGTTTTGTAACCCTCCTCTGCTCTTTGGCAGGCTATGGATTCATATTTTATTAATATGAAACAATATTTCACATGTGACTGACTTTGCCCAGCCCTGTGACCCCTGGTGCAGGCTGAAAAGAAAATTGTGCTTCTTGGCGGGGGCTCCCCTGTAATTTGCCAAGGTGGCTAGCTGTTCAGGCCGGGAAGCCACACCCCTCTCCTTCTTATGGGTTTTGCTGCATTGAGCGGCAGGGTGGTTTATCTCTCTGCCCAGTCAGGCCTTGCAATTAAAAGCGGTAACAGTTATTGAACTGTCTCTTCCTGTGGCCATAATCTGTAATTCAAACCTTCATTTTCTCCCCGCACTTTTGGGTTTGGCAGCATGTTTGGTTAAAAATGCTCAGCATTTCTATAAGTGGTTTTTGCAGGAGGCCTCTTGGGAGTGAGGTTGTCACCAGGGAGAAGTCCTGGGTCACATTTTCTGGTCCCCCTGGACCTGCAGGTCATGGAGGCTTGGCCTGGAAAGACAAGGCCTCTGCCATCTCCACCGCACCCCTGCCAGGCCCTGCCAGCTCACTTTTACTGATGGGCGCCCTTTCCTTTTGGGGTAGCCCATCTCTGGCAGATGCATGGGAGTCTGCTTCCTACAACTTTTGGCAGTTACTCCACACCATCCGCAGTATGCAAAGAACACATCTCGAGTTCTCCCCTTTGCAGAGAGGAAACCAAGGCTTGAAGAGATAAAATGACACCCCCACCCCCAGCCATGAGTAATTAGACACATGTCTACTTTGCCCCTGAGCCCTTGCTGATGCCATAACGGCTGGGGCTATGGGTGGGGCAGGGAGAGGGGTCCTTGTGTGGGCAGAGGCACTGATGCGGGGGCTCTGGGTGCCCCTGGAGCAGGACCCACGGAACTTGCTGCCACAAGTTTGTGCTATGACCACATGACCAGGGCCTGGTCAGGAGGGCAAGGTGGAGCAGGGCTTCCCAATGGGGGTGAAGTGCCAGAGGCCTGGGAGGCTTTTCGACAGTTTCCCGCCTGGGCATCCCCCAAACCCCATTCTGTTTCCGTGGGTGAAGGTGGGGGCTGTGAATGAGGCTCCACAGGTGACTAGGTGACCAACGACTGTCTGGGTGAGAAGTGAGCCTCTGAACAGAGAATAGCAGGGAACCCTGGGGCCAGTTTTTGCAGGTATGAGATACAGCAGGGAATTCACAGTTTTTATATTGCTGTATTATACAGGTCCTGCTTAATTTTTTTTTTTAATCTAAAATTGGAGGTGGGGAACCAGATCAAAGAGGCTAGGAGAGGACACATGGCCTCTCTCTCGGAGTCCTTTCCGGAGTAGACAGTTGTACCTGGGACACTCCTGGGGGCGGGCGACGATGAAGTGGGCCTCAGTGGGCACCACAGAGATAGAAAGCTGTAGCCTGATGGAGGCCGGGGACAGCTATCCCCAGGGGGGGTGTACAGGGCAGGGCCTTACTAGACCATCACATCTGTCACCATGGCAATGACCACCATAATGGGAACTGCCCAAGGTCCCCAGCAGGGCGGGGGGATCCAGGAACACAGAGCGAGGGACACACTGGTATGTGCCTGGCATGGGGCCGCCTGGGGAAGCTGGGCAGGAGCCAGCGGAAGGAGGGGCAGTGGTGTTTCTGTACTCACGCTGCATCCAGTTCCCACTCACTGGACTGATGAAGTTGGGGTAGAGGCCGAATGGCTTATCGATCTTCCTGAGGACCTTCCGGATGTGCCTGACCTGCCAAGAGAGGGGCACAGGTGCACCTTCACTTTTCCAAAGAAGCCGCCGACTCCCAGCCCGCTGAGGACTGAGGCAGCTGGTTCAGAGCCAGAGGAGGCTATTCCACGAGGCAGAGAGAACTGCGTAACCAACAGCAGGCTCCAACTTGGAGCAGCTGGCTGGCCTTGACCTTGTGCCCATGTACAGGTGCCGCAGGACAGGGCCACAGCAGGGCCTGACCCACAATCTCTGCACTGACTGCACTGCCTGGGGTCTGCCAGGCCCCCTACCCCCACTCCCACCTCACTCCTTCCTCACTGTGTGCTGCTTTTTGGTGGGAGGGTCTTTTTAGGAGGGGGGATTTGTATAAGGATAGTAGCTGTTTTGTAAGCATGAGGTAAAGCTGCCTTTTTAATAGGTTAGGAATGGTCAAATATTGGCCATTCCATGTGGTTCACCCTGGTAATACATTATTTTTCCTGACACTGTAGGACCCATTCCAGAGGAGAGGCCTGGGCCCCTCAACAGCCCTGTGCCCTCAGAGGCACTTCGGGGTTTTAATAACAACAGCAGCTGTCACCCCTCCTCAGTTCCTCTGAGCCAGGCCTGTCATGTGCATTATTTCCCACCATCAGAACGACCTACATGGTGGTATCACCTCAGGTTAACAGACAAGGCACCCGAATCTTGGAGAGGTGCAGCGACTCGCCCATGGTTACCCAGTAAGTACGTAAGTGGCAGGGCCAGGGTGAGTCAGGTTTTGTCTGACCACACAGAGTAGGCCCTGGGACCAATGTGGACCAAGGTGGGGACCAGATAGCAACGTGTAGCAGAGGCTGCCCCATCTGAGCAAGAGGAAGCTAGATTTGCAACCTTTGGGAACACCAAGAGCGAGGGGGCTTTGGGCTGTAAAAGTGGGAAGGCTTTATCGCTCCAGGTCTGCACTTCGGCAATGTATGAGATCCTCCCAGTGCGGACCCTGCCAGGAGAGAAAGGCCCTCGGGGACGTACTGTATCATGCTCGCAGATTTATCTACAAGCTAAGGAGCAAGGAGAGCAAGCAGCCTTTCAGCCACCAGACCTTTCTTTCCAGGGGACAGTATTTGCTTTGCCACATCAGATTTCATATCCATTCAAGATAACACAGTCCATTATGGGGACAGGAATATGCTTGTACCTGCCTTATTTTCGACTGCCCTGGTGGTGAGCAGTGAAACCAGCTAAATTAGCTACCCACAGGGTGTGGGCGATTCTAGAATTTGGGCCAATTTGTTGACTGCCAATAATTGCCTCTGTAGGAGGCATGACTGGGGGATGAAAATAGCTGGGGAATGTAAATGTCGAGAGAGGCAGAGAAACAGAGAGGCAGTGGACTCGCAAGAAAAAGCATGAAGCTACTGTACTAATCTGCTTTTGGAAGAGCATGGGCTTCAGAGACAGGTTCTGCTCCAAGCAGAATAAAGCCATTTGAACCCTGGCTTTAGAGTTAGATGGATGGTCCAGGAAAAGTGACTTAACCTCTGAGTCTCAGTTTCCTCCTCTGTAAGATGGGGATGAAAGGAAGCCCCATCTCCTAGGGTTGCTGGGGTGGGGGGCAGTCAGCGACACTCTAAGGTGCCCAGCAGGTAGTCAGGCAGCGGTGGCTACTATCTCCAGACCAGCCAGGGACTGGGCGAGCTCCTCGTCCCTCTCTTCTGAGTCAGCCACAGTCTTCCGGGAGGACTTGGCTCAAGAGCACTGAAATTAGGGATGCTGGGGGAGGGGGCGTGGAAGTGGGATTAAATTTACGGCACGAGCTTTCCAGGGGAGGCGTACGGGAGGCAGAATCCCCCCCACCCAAGGTCTGACATCATGATGGGCTGTCTAAGGCTGAGAGTGAGTCCCCAGGCAGAGGAAATGATCAAGGACTTGAAACACTCCTCTTGAGTGTTTCCTCAAGAGCATGTGGGTAGAATTCCATACTGAGTAAGCTGTCATCTTCAACCTCAAGTCAAAAAGCACGTGAGTGCTGATAAAAATGCATATTCCTAGGTCTGGGCAAAGCCCAGAGGTCTGTTTCCTCACAGGCATGTTGGGTGATGCTCTGAGGCTGGCTGGCTGACAGGCACTGGGAGCCTCTGGGTAAAGCGTGGACCCAGGAGCTCCCAGCCCTCAGGCATCCTCAGAGGTTAAATATTAGGGGACAAAAGGGTTTGGGAGTGGGGCCCTCCAAAGGGCTCTTCTTGGAGGTCAGGGCTTCATCTCCCAGGGGCAGGACTAAGGAAGGGACAACTGCTGGTGGAGCCCGAGCTCCATCCAGGGTGGTGTGTGTGCCCTTCCCTTCTTCGGGGTCAGGGTTAGACCCACGGAGACACTTCCGGACAGTGGGACCACCAGGGCTGTGACATGGAGAATCGGCTCCTTCCGGAGGGCCTCACAGAGGAACAGGCAGCTGGCAGAATGGACCACAGCCTGGATGCTGTCTCTCAGCATCCCTTGGGGCCTCAGCCAGCCTGCTAACAGCAAGAGGGGACAGACGTGTGCCTCTGCCGTGGAGTCAAATCGCTTTGCCAGCCTGCCGACAGCATGAGCTAGACAGCACCAGGAAGGAAAAGCCAGGCAGATCTCCCCTGAAAAAGTTCAATGTCTCGGGAAAGGGGACTTTTACACCGGGTGGCCCGTTCCTGCCAATGCAAATTGGTGCTTAGATTTCAGCTGGTGAACCTTCTGCAGACTCACGCATGTGTGGTTCCCAGAGAGCTGACGCATACCGGTGAGAACCTTCTTCCAGGCATACCGGTGAGAACCTTCTTCCAGGCAGCTCTCTTCCCTGCCCTCTGTGGGACCCTGACTACTCCCCGTGCTGGACTCCCTGCCCCTCGGGACTGGGTGCACCGGGTCTTCCACAAGTACCTGTCAGTGGAGCTTCTGGGTTCCCCACACACCCTCCTGCTGATCTGTGAGCCACTTTCCTGTGGCCTGTGCAGGGCCAAGTCCCATCCTTCTTCTCCCTGTGGGGAGCAGCCCCGTTTGGGGAGGGAGCAGGGAGAAGACTTGCCTTTTCAGCGAAGACCTGGTTGCCAGAGAGCTCAGTGAGGTGTAAGAACTCCAAGTGCAGGGATCCAAACTCCGCCAGGATGCTGCTGCTCCCAGCCATGGTCCAGCCCCAGCTCCTGTTGGAGCCACTGAGGAGACAGAAGCAGCCACCGTCACCAGCTGGCTCCTCCACTTAGTGGGGGAGCATCCGCTCTCTGCCAGGCACTGTCCTAGGAGCTCTCACCACATGATCTCAGTCGATCCTCCCTGGGGGTCTGTACTAGGAATAGCCCCATTTTGCTGATGAGGACACTGAGGTTAATGAGATGAAGTGACTTGCTGAAGGTCATGTGAACCCAGGCCTTTCTTTGTTTATTTTTTTAAGAGAGAGAGGGGAATGGAGGGAGAAAGGGAGGGCAAAAAACATCGATGTGAGATAGAAACGCTGATTGGTTGTGTCTCGTACACAGCCAACAGGGGACTGAACCTGCAAGCTAGTCACATACCCTGACTGGGAATCAAACTGGTGACCTTTCACTTTCCGGGGTGATGCCCAAGCAGCTGAGCCACACCTGCCAGGGCAAACCGAGGCCTTTCTGACTTGCAATATTCTTTGTCCCTGTAAAACTTGTGGGCTCGAGAAGGACAATAACAGAGCTGTCTTGGTGGCCAAGACATGGCGCAGGTGCTTTGTTAAGTGTACAGGTGACGTGGACAATGCTGTCAGGGACTCTAAAGACCCCTCAGACACCGTCTCCACCCTGTGGCTGCAGGCCAGCCGACTGCTCAGTCTACGGGGCTGCGTGCGGGGGGAGGGTCTGAACTGGGGCAGAGGAAAAGCAGGGGCCCCACTGGCGCCTTCTCTCTCCCCTCGCTGCCCAAGCTGCCCACAGACACATGGGAGCCCCTCTTGGTGTTTCGTGGAACCCACACCTGACAGGCAGGCAGCTCTGACTACACACTGGGAGCTGCCGGCCTTGGGGAAGCCCAGGTTCGGAATAAGAGAACCAGAGGCTTTCGGAGCAAAGATTTCTGCACCAGCCAACCACGCACTGCTACAGAACACCTTGGATAAAGTCAGTTAGGCATTTTTAGCACGTGGCCACCTCACCGGACAAGGCTATCAAATAACCAAGGCTTTCACGGAGGATGGGTGGGAATGTGAGAACACAGCCCCTTCCCAAGCTCCAGCTCCCCCTCCCACCCTGTGGGAGTATAATGAAGGCCACCCGTAAGTGCGCTGTGGGACCCTGGGAGCCCAGCCACCGTCTCCATCAGGGAATAGCCAACAAGAAACTGTTCCCGGATGTGGGCCCAGGAGAGTAAGTAGCCGGTGGTCTGATCTCACACAGCTTGTGTGTGCGACACACCCGCCCTGCACGCGGGTGTGCACTGTTTTCTGTTTGCCGTTCGACCCTGTGATCCTGTGCCGGGAAAGCCCGTGTGGCGCAGACTTCGCCGGCAGGCCGCCCTCTCTGCACACAGAAGTCCAGCAAACTCCTGTCTTTCAGTCGGCCCTCTGGGTTATTTCTTTGGAATGTGCTGGTACTCTTAGGATAACAGAGGGAGAGTGCAGAGGAAGGGCCTCAGGTACCGTCCCTGCCGCCCCCACCCTGCTTTCACAGAGAGGAAAACACGGCCAAGAAGAGTAACGTCACCGCCTCATAGCAGCTGGGGACCCAACGGTGGTGTGATGTCCTAGCCACGTGTGTGCCATGCTTTTAATTACATCAGAATAAGCCAGGACACCGCCTTTTCAGGTGTTTTCACTTAAAATCTTCCTGGAGTTTGCTGCCAGGAGGCGCAGATTCAAGTGTGTTAGCTGAGAGGTCTCGGGCAAACCACTTCTCCTTTGTACTTTAGTTTCTGCACCAGACAAAGTAGGCGGGGATTATACCTCCTGGGGCTTTTGTGGGGATTAAGAGAGGGGAGGAAGGTGCAGAACAGGGGTGGCCTTTCCCTGTGCCTTAGTTTCCTCTTATGTATCATGGTGATCTATCCTGTAGAACATTTAGGACAACGCGGGGTGGGGCAGGGGCCAGCCTCCTGCAAAGGGATTGTGGAGGACGGGGTGGGGACCGAGTGGGGTGGAGTGAGCTCCCCGTCTGTAGAGACTCCAAGGTGCCGTTAATACGGAGCAGGCGGGGTGGGGGGAAGCCCCTTGGCTTCCTTGCTGTGGTGGCTCTGGCTCTCCAGGAACGGCCCCTATCTGTCCTTCTGCCTCCCAGGAACAGGACCCAGGAAGGCAGGGGTGGGTGGGGGAGGTCATGGTTTGCCACCCGAGGGGCACTGCTTTTCCTGGGGTAGGACTGGGGCTCCAGAGGCTGCCCTTCTCCTATATAAACCCCATTCTCTGCCTAAATGTTGTTTCTGGGAAAGTCGGGGAACTCGTGTCTCCCAGCTTCCAGAAACAGAAGACTTATGTTTTGGGATCTTTTGGGGACAGGTGACCTCAGTAAACACAGAGGTGACCACTAGCCCCTTCTTCCCATCTCTACTTCCTCGGGTATTTCCCTGACTTGGGGGCAGGGGACAAGTGGGGGATGGATGGGTTCCACAGGGAGGGGACACTTGGCTCCTGGATAACAAACAAAACAGCTTCCATTTATTGCACTGCTACAGATGGCAGGCACTGGGGAAAGCTGTTTGCATCATTATTTCATTTAAAACCCACAAGGTAAAGCATCATTAATTCCGATATGCAAGGAGGCAAATGAAGCTCAGAGAGGGAAGTGAGTTGTCGAAGGTCACTTCCATAGGTGGTGGAGGTGGGATTCAAACGGAATCTGTAGGGCACTTCCCTAAGGGGGTCTCCCACCCAGATGGCCCTGCAGCCACCCAGAGGAAAGGGGAAGCTGTTCCCACTCTGCCCCTCTTCCCAAGAGAAACTTCTCTCTTTCCAGCTTGTGATCGCAGTGGGCAGAGGGTGACCTGAAAATCGATGCTTCCTGCCCTTGCAGAGAAATTCAAGGTACAAATAAAGCCACCAGCCTCCCAGCATCTCTCGTTCTCATTTCCCCCCACATGACCTCTCCTTCCTCTCCTCCTCCTCCTCCTCCTCCTCCTCTCCCCAACGCTCACCCTCCTCTCTGGGCTTTTCCACAGCGGAGCTGCCCCAGCAGACAGGCCACGCCGGCCAGGGCAGAGGCGGGCAGCGGCAGGTGCCTTCTCTTTCTCCTCCCTCGCTTCGAATGCTGACTCCCCAGCTGACCTCGGGCAGGTGGGCTAGTTTCTCTAGATCCTGGTTTCCTCGTCCGTTCAATGATAGTACCTCCCCCTCAGAGTCATTGTGAGGTATAATTTATGCATGCAATTACTGTCACTTTACCATTATGTAATTATGCACATGCAAATTATGTGTTGTTTGTTAGAGTTATTAAGTTCTTGATATGTGCCAGGCAGCTGTGGTGTCTTATTTTAACTTGACATCCAACTTCTCGGGATAGATGTAATCCTTACTTCACAGGTGAAGCTACTCAGGCTCAGAGAGGGGAAGACACTTTCTCCAAGGCACACAGTAAGTGCAAGGGCTAGCAGGGCTGAATCTAAATCCAAAGCCCAAATGCCTCTTCTCTGGGCAGCATCCAGAGACTGGAGGACGTCTGGTGAGCCCCGTGAGGCAATGAGTGAACGGAAGCTCTGCCCTCCACTCCCCGGCAGGCTTTGGAGCCCGCTAGTGGGCCAGTAGCCTGGGTTTGCTCCCCATGGTGGGCGGGGTTGCTCTGCAAGGCCTCCCTGCAGCCCCGCAGAAGCTTGTGTGTGCGTGTGCCTGAGCGGGCACTCTGCACATGGTGTAATCGTTAACTTGGAGCCAGACCCAGAATCTGATTCTAACTTCGCTCTGTGCTGTGTGACCCTGAGTAAGACACCTTACCCTTCTGAGCCTCCTTTCCTCACTGGTAAAATGGGATCCGTGTGGGTGACGTGACTGAAAAGAGAGCATCCGTGTGACGTGCTCATGGCGTGCCTGGCACCCAGTGAGCACTCAGTAAATGGTAGCAGTTACTAAGATGTGTCCATCGGTGTGTGTATGCACATGTAAATGCAGGTCTATGTGAGCATGCACATGTATGTATGGGTACGAGAGTGTGCGTGACAAAGGACAGCTTGTGTATCTGAGCTTTTATGAACTGGACGGGTGGCCGTAGAGCAATGTGCGCGTGAGAGTGAGTGGGTCAGCTGTGGCGGTCCTTGGACTGGCCACTGCCACTCCCCCAGATGACCCCGTGGTCCCTGCAGGTCACAGGTCATGGCTGCCCCTGTGTCAGCCTCCCACGGGGGAGGAGGAGCAGTCCAGCTCCCTCGGGGACCACCTCCCCTCCAGGTCCTCCTGACCCGCAGTTTGGGGGCAGGGCCTAGTTGCCCCTCCTGCTGGGGCCCACAGCCAGCCCTGCCCAGAACGGGGCAGCGATGTGTGGCCCAGCTTCCCCAGCAGGACCCTACAGGGCAGATTGGGCACCACTCAGGCTGTGTACATCCCTGACGTTCTCCCTGGGGAACAGGAGGCACTTTTAGCAACAGGCTCTTACCCAGAAAGTGGAAAGGGGTGTTGCTAGGAAATCAGCACATGCATACACATGTGCAGCGCTGGTAGCATGCAAACAGCCCCAAAATAAATGTGTTTTTAAAAAGATTTTATTTATTTTTGGAGAGAGGGGAAGGGAAAGAGAAAGAGGGGGAGAGAAACATCAATGTGTGGTCGCCTCTTGTGTGCCCCCCCACTGGGGACCTGGCCCACAACCCAGACATGTGCCCAGACTGGGAACTGAGCCGGAGACTCTTTGCATCAAAGTCTGGTGCCCAATCCACTGAGCCACACCAGCCAGGGAATAAATGCACTTTTTAAATTAGAAATGGTAGGACCTGTGTTGATCAGGCCCGGGCTCTGAGGGGCACGGGGCACGTAGACAGCCAGGGCTGTGGTTTGTAGGGCTCCAAGTGCCATGCACAGAGGAAGGAGGGGTGCCTGAGCCAGGATCCTGTCCCAGACCCAGGCGGTGAGGCCCTGCAAGCTGGACCCAGGAGAGGAAGCTGGGAAGACAGCGTGTTTGCGTCTCGGCTCCATGTCAGCTGGTCCTGTTTCTTTAGGGTTGGTGTGTGTGGCAAAGGAATCTGAGCAGAATCCCAGTGTCCAGTTCTGAGGAGTCAACCCTGGCACTGAGAATGGGGTTCAGTCGGCCCTGAGGGCTAAGTGAAGTTGCACCCCAAGAATGCTTTCTACAGAGGGAACAGTGTAGATGACAAGTCCTCTCTTCTCTGAGAGCCCCAAGAGGGGATGCCGAAGCAATTCAGGCTGACCTGAGGGTGGGACCTCGCCAGGACAGAGGGGGAGCCGTGGGCCCCCACCTCTGCTCCAGTGGTCTCCTTCTCTCCCAGGCAGCTGGCTGAAGCTCTTGTAGATTGGGAACCCTGAGATAAGAAATTGCTTTAGAAGGTAGAAGGGGGAGGTCTGGTGTGGTGGAAATACTATAGCCTTGCTCCCAGATCTGGGGTTATAGGAGGGGCTCAAGGCTCAAGGGTGGCCCCAGAGAGCTGAGTGCCTTCTACAGGATGCCCCCCCCCTGGGGGCACGAAGCTCAGGGGCAGCAGGGTTCCCGTCTGAGGGTGGGCCGTAAGAGCAGAGCCTTCCAATCAATGCCAACAGCATGTGTTTAAATCTTAGCATCATTGCCCATTAGCTATGAGACCTTGGGCAAGTTACTCTGTCTCTCTGAGACTCCATTGTAGTAATGGGGATGATATAAATCCCTACCCTCAAAGGGTTGCTGCGAGCTGTAAGTTGGGTGAGGTGATGTACGGAAACCCTTAGCATAACGCCAGGCACTCAGTTATTGCTCAATAAGTGGCAGGGACGATGTTGTTATTCACCTTTTATCCTGCACACTGTCTAGCAGGAATATTTGTTGAAGGAACGAAGAACCAGACATGGATCCTGTGGTCGAGAAGCTCCTTGGCGGGGCCGGGGGGTGGGAACATGAGGATGAGGGTAACGGGGGCCATGAGAAAGGAGGTACAGTGCCTGGAGGCCAGGGGGGGCAAGACACTGGCTGAACGGTGAAGGCGGCCTCTGAGCTGGGCGAGTGAGGGGCGGGCAGCCCAGGGAGGGAGCAGAATGAGCAGGCAAGACGGGCGCACAGTCGGGGTGTCCAGGAGCAAGACTCTTGCTCCCCAGTGTAGCTTAAAGCTGCTGGGCCACTTGTTTTCTTGACCTCGACTCTATCCTTTCCCCTCTCTGGGTCTTGGTTGCCACATCGCAAAATGAGTGGATGTAAATACACTCCCACCGCGTGGGAGGGAAGCAGCGGAGGCACAGGTGAGTGCCCTGAGGTACTGAGGGAGCAGGTAAGCTGGACCACGCTGCAGTGCTGGTCCCGCCCTTCTCTGGCTGTCACTCTGGCTCTGTGACTTAGTGGCTGCATGGAGAGATTCTAGCTCACATACCGAATTAAGCAACAGAGCAGAAGGGGAAGTGACGAATGTGGCCAATAAAAATCGGTGTTTTAGCCCTGGCTGGTGTGGCTCAGTGGACTGAGCACTGGTCTGTGGACCAAAGGGTCACTGGTTCAATTCCCAGTTGGGGCACATGCCTGTGTTATGGGCCAGGTCTCCTGTTGGGGGCACGTGAGAAGCAACCATACACCGATGTTTCTCTCCCTCTCTTTCTCCTCTCTCTAAAATAAATAAATAAAATCTTAAAAAGAAAAAAAGCATTCTAAAACAACAACAGCAACAGTGTTTTAAAAGAGCCAGGAGAAACACTTCCAATTGATTCTTTTGTTAGTGAGACCACATGTGACTTTTTAGTCTTATCCAACATTTTTGGTATAATCCACATGTTTTGCAAGGAGAATTTATTATTTTTATAGAGGGGAGAATTCCAATAAACATTATTATTAGAAACGGAGTTGGAGCTCCAGGGTTCACGTCTTGAAACATTCAGTTTCTGGCAGATGAAACTTCAGCCAGTCACAGGCTGCACTCCACCGAGTCTAAGCCTCCGCGGGCTTGACCCCCCGTCCCCACCCCGTCCCCCTGGGCCTGGCACTGGGCTCCTGAGGCCCAGCCCGAGGGTGGGGGTTGGCAGAGCGGGTGTCTCCTTGGAGGCTTCCGGCACTTTCTCTCGGCAGAGGAGGGCACGGCATGCCTCACTGGCCCTAGCTAGGGACAGAGGGCAAACCCGGGGGGCTTGGGTCAAGGCAGCGCTGGGGGACAGTCACAGAAGCACAGCTGCCCACCCCCACCCCTGGAAGATTGGGCCTCCCATGTTCTAAACCCCAAGAACCAGGTCTGGTGACAACACCGGCCCAGGGGTGTCCTTGGCAGGGCCAGTGTTCACTGTGCTGCTGCCTGGCTGTGGTTCCTCTCCCTGTGCCTCAGTTTCCACGCAGGTGCGGCCGGAGCCACAGGAGGGAAACAGAAGGTCCCCTACCTTTTGAAGTTCACGACCCCTTTGGGGATTCCTGTGGGCGTGTTGAAGGCCGGCAGGAGTTTCTCTCCGAGCTTGATGGCCTTTACTCGGAACACCTGGAAGGGCCAAAGGGCGTCGTCAACCTGGGCTGCGTGGGGTGCACCCGCCACAAGAAGCTGCAGCTGGTGGATGAACCCGACAGCGGTGCTGGACTCAGAGTAGGAGGGGCCCTGCGTAGGCCCCGCAGAGGGGCAGGTCGGATGTGAGCCTGGCTCCCCCAGTGCCTGGCTCTGTGGTCTGAGTGGGGCACCGGTCTCTGAGCCTCGGCTCCCTTGGTCATAAAACAACAACAAAATTGCCTTCCTCAGAGGGTTACTGGGAAGAATAAAGATTAGGTCATGGCTACAAAACACTGAATGAGGCATCAGGACTACGATGAAGGCTCAGTGATCAGAACTGTGATTTGGGTGACCAGTGGGAAGATGCGGCAGCCAGGGCAATCCGCCACCAGGGTCCCTGCCTGGCCACCCCATGGGACCAGCATGTCACAGGCTGAGCTCGGGGGAAACGAGTTTGTACGGAACACAAAGAGCAGAGCACCGGGAGCCCAGACCCCCACCCGGTTCCAGTCCTTGTTCTCAGCTTGACACCTTTGTGCTTCTCCGAAAACCCCGGCTTCCCTTGGGCAACACTTTCCCACTTGTAAACCAGGGAAGGGTCTTCTCCCTGTCACACCTGGATTCTGCCTACTGTTTCCGTTCTGCAGACTGGAGGAGGAGGAGGGCTCGTCTGGAGCCGCCCACATACGTGATGGCAAGCAAGGGAGTCACAGGGGCCCCAGGACTCAGGGCCCCTGCAGGGGGGGAGCGGCTCTGACCCCGGCAAACTCCTGATTAATTCAAAATCACCTGTGACCTTCCGACTCAGCAGTTTCCTTCATCAAATTTATTCTAAGGAAGCGAATAACCAAGGATGTTGTAAAGATTTAACCTCATGGCTAGTTATTCCAGCATTCTGAATAGCAAACAACAGAAGTGGTTAAATGTCGGCTTATCCATGCGGAGGAACACCACGCAGGCACTGAAATAATGCTATAGAAGAACATTTAACGGCAAAGAAAGGGTTCATAATGTATTAAGAGAAAAACATGTCAGTCAGCTTTTGTGAAAATTACCTACAGGTGGACGTCCGGGGAGAGGGTGGGACACCGAAATATTAACAACGGTCTCATGGAGGATTTTTCTTTTCTTCTTTTGGCTGATCTCTATTTTCTGGGCTACTTCTACACTAAAAACAAACCCACATTAAAGGTCATTTATCTTTTAAAAGATGAGATGCCAATTCCCTAAGCAATGACTCCTGTTGGGACAACACAGGACTCCTTTTACTTCCAGGGCTCGAGGGTGACCGGTCTGCTGGTGGCATGTGTGTGGCTGTGACACACTGTCCTTCAAGGTCCCTACACCATCACGGGCAAGCAAATAATGCAGAGGTGGCTGTTTGGGGAATGCAGCGAGGGTATTTCAAACCCTGTGCGGGCAGTGCATTAGAGACCCGGGGGGTGGGTGTGGTCCTTTTTTAGGAGGGGGGAGAGAAGGAGGGAGGAACCCCATGGGGCCCTGCAGCGATGGGCAAGAGAAGACGATAATGCCAATGCCAGTGCCAGGCAGTGGATTCCAGAAATGGCCACGGGGCTGACTATGTCAGGATTCCTGGGGAGCTGGTCTAGAATCCAGATTCCAAAGTCCCCCTGACACCCCAGAAGCCAGTGGTTTAGCAACAACTAAGGGCCCTCATTGGAGGCCCCCGATGTCCTCACTGATTCCTGAGGAGGCTGAGCCAGAGGCACACAGGGGCCCCGGGAACCTGGACCCGAGGCTGAAGCTCCAGGCTACGGTGCAGCTGCCCTTTGCCCTGCGGGCCCTGAGCTAATTTCTCGAATGCTCTCCTTGGCCAGCATGCCCGTGTTCTCCTGCGAAGGCCTTGGTGCCGGCCGGTGGGCCGGGTCTCAGCCGCCCAGGGAGGGTGCCGAATGAGTGTGCGTGGGCAAGAGTGGGACAGCGGGGAGCAAACACTGATTCTCCTTGTCATCTTGGAAGTGAGTGCGTATGTAAGGAACTCAATTCCGGTCTGTGTGGAAGTTGTATGGAAGTTCCGCCATCTCAGAGACCAGCTCCGGGTCTAAGGCTTCAGCTGGATTCTGACACTATCTAGCGGAGACGGGGCAGGTCCCACAGGTGAGGGTTCAGTCTCACAACACTGCTCCCCGCCCTCCTCGGATGCCCCGTAAAAGTGCAAGTTGTTACCTGTACTTCTCACTGAGGGGCTACAAATAACAGATTCCCACCAACCCCTCCTTGGGTTTGATTAATTTGCTAGAGAGGCTCACCAAACTTGGAGAAACATTTTACTTACTCACCTACTGGTTTATTATAAAAGAATATAACTCAGGAACAGTCGGATGGAGAGAGATAGAGGGCAAGGACTAGGGAAAGGGTGTGGGGCTTCTCTGAGTGCGCCGATCTCCCCAAATCTCCCCCTGCCCCCAGTCCAGAAGCTTTTGTGTTTTATGGAGGCTTTATTACAGAGGCAGCGTGGATGCAAGCACTGGCCATGGCTGTGGATGCATCCTCTAGTCCCTCTCCCCTCCTCGCAGGCCGGGGGTGGGACAGAAAGCTCCAGCGTTCTAGTCATGTGACTATTTCTCCTGGCAACCAGCTCCCATTTGAGGTGGGGTCTAAAAGTCACCTCAAGAATATAACAAGAGACGCTTTTATCATTGTGATCACTTAGAAAATTTCAATGGTTTTAGGAACTCTGTGCCAGAAACAGGATGAAGACCAAATACATATTCCTCACTGTAAATCACAACAGCACAGCATGGAAGATGTCTTATCTACGTGACCTCCAACACTTCCGAAAGCCCTGTGGGGAAGGGACCAGAGGCACTGGACTGTGTCGCAGCAAGGCAGTCTGCTCAAGGTGTGGGGCTACTCAGTGGCTCTTTTCTAGGACACAAGCTGCCTTCATAGCACAGAACGGCCTCAGGAGCCACGGTAAGCAATGGGCAGTAGCCTCCTGGCTCCAGAACAGAGATGAAAAGAAACCAGCAAGTTACACTCTAGCGTGAAACGGTGCCGGACCAGGAGTCAGAGCCGAGTTTCAGACCTTCCCACCTTGCAGCGCTGTGACCCTGGGAAGCCAGGCACGGTCTCTGAGCCCCGGCTGCATAATGCAATGGTGACATGTGCCCCGACTGCCTCACAGAGATCTAGCAATCCCGCGAGAAGATGTATGTAAGTGAATGTGCTGCATAAACTGTAAAGTGTGCTGCCAATGTCACCTGCATGGCTGTGGCTGTGCTTGTGCCCCTCAAGGGAATCTCAGCAGGGCTGGCTGCTCAGCAGAAGTTCTGTCCCCACAGGTTCTCTCTGAAGCAAAGAAAGGCCTTGGCCCAGGAAGGGGCGTTGGGTCTCTTTCACCATTCACTCCACAAATATTTATGGGAAATTTTAAGAAAGACTCACTCCACAGATGCCCACGGTGTGCCAGATCAAGGACAGAGAGAAGGGTGACCCTGGGCCAGGTCGAACAAGGGCCCAGGGCAGAGAGGCAACAGGGTCATGCATTGACCCAAAACAGCCCTCAGAGACTGTGTGCCCTGAGCAAGGGACTTCTAAGTCTCCGGTTCTGCACCTGCAAATCGGTGAAAACACTACTTCATGGCTGTCTGAGGGACCACGACATGGTGCACAAGTGCATTTCTCTGCCACATGGAGGTGCTGGGGAAAGAGAGGGACCATGAAGGCATGGCTGGAGGACAGGGGCTGCCCCAATAACCCCAGGACCTTCTAAGTACTAGGAAACACAGCAGGCCGATGCCCTGGGGACGCGACCTGCCTTGCTGGTGGATACTCAGGCCGTGCTTTCCCAGGTGCTCCCGAGGGAATGGAGCAGACTCCCACTGGCACAGAACTCTGTGGCTGTGAGTGTTCTCTCACAGTATAGCCCTGGGGCCAGACCCTTTTCCTCCTGCCCCATTTCACAAGACTTTTTTTAACCCAATGGGGGATTTTAACTCAATGAGGGCTGTCCCTGTGGTAGGGAAGGAAGTGAGGCCTAGGGATGGAAGGAGGGACTTGCTGAAGGCCACAGGAGGGTGTGGTATGAGGACGAGGTCCAGGCTTTCTGACTGTGCCCACCACCCTCCTTCTGGAAGCCAGCGCAGGGCACCTGGGCTGAGGCCTGGTACTTACAACCTGTGGCTGCTCCGTTCCCTACTGTCAGGAAAGACCTGGTGTCCGGCCCAGAAGGGGAGGGCAGGGGTGGCTGTGGAGTACCGAGCAAAGCCAAGGGGCCCCAGGTGGAAATGGTGAAACAATGTTTTTGGTTTCTTCAGTCCTGAGAACCGGGAGTAACCAGCCAGCAGCTCCGCAAGCCCACACCGAGCCCAGGTGTCGCTGCATGCCTGCGAGGATCTGCACGGGTGGTGAGCAGTCCCAGTCGTTGCCCTCAGAGCATGAACTACCGCATGTGGGAGCCCGCTGGGCTGGCCTGGGCAGGAGAATAGAAGCATCAAACAGAAGGCGCAAACGAGGCGGCACCATGAAGGTGGTGGACGTGGGTTGTCCTGGGCAAATCCTCCTGGATCCGTTTCCTCATTGGTGAAATGGGGGTGGGATGAGATGTTCCTCCAAGCCCTGTTCGGCCTGACCATCCAGGACCTGGAAGTACCAACTCACCTCCTCCCCTGTCAGGTAGAAGGCCGAGAGGAGTCCTCCGATGTACCGGATGTTCACCTCGAACAAAGATGCTTCTCCACTCTGCAGGTCAGAAAGAAGGGGGTGGGCAGTGGGGACGCTTTGAGATGCCTGCAGGGCTCCCAGGGGTGGCTAGGCCCTTGAGACAGGTCACACCACCACTGAACCCCACCCACCCTGTTGATCTGGCCATACCTGGGCTGCCTCCCGGATGCTCAGTGGTGGTTTTCAGAGCAAAAAGCACCCCACTGGCAGCCACTGCACATTTACAACACGCCAAATAAACACTGGGTTTGGCTTCCCTCCCTAGCCCTTGCCCAAGGCCATCGGAGCAAAGTTATGTCTGGCTGGTCTCCAAGGAGCTTAAGAACCCACAAGGGAGCTGCTGGCTGAAGCTTAGCCTGAAGGGAGGCAAATCTTGCTCTATTCTGACCACCTTGGCTTAGCAGGATTCGTCTTCCTTGGGGTGACAGGGCAAGAGGAAGGTTCTCAAATGAGGTTCTGGGGCAGACGGGGCAGGGCCCAGACTGAGGGCGGAGAGGGTCAAGCAGCTATTTGTAGGTAACCAGCAATTTCTCTGCCTCAGCCCTGCAGCCCACAGGGCACGCCCAACCTTGCCCGAATCCCTGAATCCCTTCCTTTCTAAGGTGCGTTCTGTAAATCATGGGGTGCTGGGCATCAGGTTAAGGACCAGATCTGGGTGAAACCCCACCTGAGTTGCCTACTTGGCTTTGGGACTTTGGGCAAGATATTCAGCCTTTCCTTTGCCCAGTTTCTTCTTACCGAGCAGAGCAGATGTGAGAGGCTGTGCCGTGCAGGTGGGATGCCTGTCCAGTGCCAGCGGGGCTTCCCTGCCCCCAGGGCTCGCCTGGCACCCTTCCCACGTCACAATCTTTTATTACTGACAAGAGCAGTGATCACCCCTTTATCTGGGAGGGCTCTTCCCTTGACAGCGCACTTGCAAAGCCACTCTTCCAGTGCTCACTGGTGTCATCATTCCCATTTTTCAGATGAGAAAGCCAAGGCTCAGAGAGGGGGAGTGGCCATGTCTTGCTTTCCTTCAGGGACGCTCCCTACCCTGCTCCAGCCGGCCCGAACGGCCCCAGGCGGCCTCGGCCCTGCCACCGCCTGGCTCCTCGGGCGGCTGCCTGACGCCCACTCTCTACCCTCCACCTGCAGAGGGACACGGTGGGTCTATGAAGACACCGCCCCTCTCCCGCCTCTGCCTTTCTTCCATTCGATCCAGTGGGAAATGGGATTCTAAACTAGTCACCCCGCACGGACCATCAGAAGTCAGAACAAGCTTCAAAACAGTCACGAGCATGATGATGATGATGATAATGGCACCACTTAAATCTGTATCGGACTTTATGGTTTTATGAAATGCTTTTTGCAACCCTCTGTGATGGTTGAAGCTCACAAGCCTCTGCATTAGGCACCACTGTTTTTGCTGCTGTGTAATTCCCATCTGAAGGCTGGGGAAACTGAGGCCCAGGGGGGTGAAGTGACCAGGCAGTGTGCCCGAGCCAGGAATGCTTCCATGGTGCTGCCTTCCTAGCCCTCCCCCAGTCTGTCCCTCCCCCCACTCTGCACTGACATTGGCCTCAATTCTGCCAGGAGCTGCGGGAGCTGTCCCTGTTCACAACAGGACCTGTCACTCGGAGAGCCCCAGATGGAACCCTGCAGGGTGTTTTGATGGAACCCCCTCCCCCTCCCATCTGTCTCCATTTCTTGCTCCCTAAATCGGTCTAAACAGCCTCTCCCCATGCTGAGCGGAGGTCTCTGGTATGGCTCCATTACTTCAGTCTGGGCTGGGAGATTGTTGGGGGCGGGGGCTGGTATTTACGGCTTTCGGGCCATCCAGAGATATTACGGTCTCCTCCCCAGGCTCTGGTTCCTGACCAGGGATGCCTTCAAGGCTGGTTCAGACCTGGTCATGGGCGTCTCACCTGTCTCAGGAGGGCAGCACAGGGGTGCAGGGGTGGGGGCGGCTCCAGGTTACAGAGGCTCTGACAAGGCACTTCTTACTCTGTGGAGTCACTTCCCCACCTTGCTGTTTGACAGATTCAGCCCTAGAGGGGTCTTCCTGGGTGTGAGCAACCGGCACCCCAGGGCAGGGAATGAACAGCCACGGCGGGACTGCTCTGCTGGCCAGCTTCGGGCCAGAGTCTCCCCACCTCTGGGTGTCAGAGATGACAGGGTGGAGCTGGCCGCTGACCTCTCCAGCCGCTATTGGCTCTAATACCTGGAGGGGCTCTGACTCACCACGTTCAGGTGGAAGTTCTCTTCGACCCAGGCCTTGGCCTCCTGGAACTCCTCTCTCAGCTCCATGAGGTAGAGGGTGTCAAGGGAGTCGATGACTGTCGCCCCGTTGAGGCCTCCTGCAGCACAGAAGATGGAAGGTGCGACCCAGGCTCACTCTCGTCCTCTCCATCCAGCCACGCGGGCCACCCAGACCCCTCTAAATGCCCGGGCCGGCTCCAGTCCCGCCAGCCTTTGAAGGCAAGCCAAGGACCCAGCGTCCCCCAGGGGGCTGCTTCCTCCTCAGGGCAGTAAAGAGCAGGTGGCTGGTGTGGGGAGACCAAGTTCATGGGCTGAGGCCCTCCCCGGACCAGGGTCACTCGTATCTGCCAGCAGGCCCAGCATCAGTGCCAGTCGGGCACCCACCACTTTCCTGTGATGCTGGGGTGAGGGTGAGCGGGCCCTTGGCTTACACGGTCTTAGCAAATGTGCCAGTCCTCTGGCTCTTCACTTCCATTCTTTATTTCATTCTAAGAAAAAAACCATAAAGATGTTCATAAACATCTACTCAGGAAGGTATTTATTGCAGGGTCATATACAATGGGAAAAAGTTGGGGGGAGAAAACCCCTCCAGGTCCAACAATAGGGGATTAGTTATATAAACTGTGGCTCAAATATAAAATAAAATACTATGCGGCAATGCACACAGGTGAGATAGACCTGTGTTTATCGGGGAGCCATCCATGGGATCTGTGAAATCAAACACAAGTAGATTGCAAAAGAGAAAAAATAAAAGTGCGGTATAGCTTCTTCCTTGTTTCTCAAATGTGGAAGCACCTGCGCAGAAGTCAGTCTGGCAGGAATGATTCAGTGGTGAGCTCCCAGTATTGGGATTACAGGCATTTTCTGATGTCTTCGCTCATGAATTATTTTTGTAATCAGAGATTTATTTCTGTTTAAAAAATAGAGAAAGGAAAAATACAGGTGTCTCATCTGTCTCAGGCAGTGAGTTCACAAGCCTGAGCTATGAGCCCTGGCCCTGCCACTGGGCCTTCAACTCTTGTCCTGAGAGTAGGCTGAGAAAACTGTGCAAAAATGAGTTTCCCAACCAGAAACTGGGCAGAAGAGCGATGAGGAAGAGCTCCCCATGTGGCACAACCAGGGACTGAAGTGTAGAAGATGGTCAGGGAGGAAGGGAAAAAAGATAATATGGTGTCTTCTGGAGGGCTTCCTGGAAGAGGTGGCTGCTGCCTCCCATCAGCTTCTTAATACTACTGTCATTGCAGGCAGCAGTAATTTCCTTTAGGGACCAGAGGGCAGCTTATGAGGAGTAATTGTTCCTTCAACGTCCTCCGTGCAAGTGGCTCGAAGCACTGCAGGCCCCACTTCCCTGAGTGGAACTGTAGAGCCCCCTGGCAGCTCTGAGCCCCACTGGAGTCACAAGCACAGCTTTGTGGGCACTGCTGCACTGAATAAGCACCTACTCTCCCTGATTAGTGCTTCCCTAACTGTTCACTTGTGTGGCTCTGCGAGAGGACCCTTCTGAAACTCAGACATTTAACTGCCTTACCAGTCAGGGCTATGTCTGAAAAAGGGCACCACCTGGGAAATGTCCGGAGGAAGAGCAGGAGGAAGTTGGGGGAAAAATAAAGCTGGAGGTTAAAGAATCCATTTCCAGAAGGAGGGGAGGGCCAGGGAAGCAAGGGGCTTCTCAATCCAGAGTCACCGTTCTGGGAAGGCTTCGATCTGTAGGTTGAAGTGAATTTCTAGAAAGCCGAACAGTCCGTCCTTTCCTGGTTTATCCCAGCTGCTTCCCCCACAGGTGTCAAAGGCAAAAAACATGATTCATGAGAACTCTATCCTCTTGAGGTGCTCAGGAATGGGGACACTGATGTGCCACACACGGACAGAACCAAGACAAGTCAGGCCGCAGGGTGCCGGCTCTGAAGCCAAGACCCCGCTGTTACACCACAGGGCCCTAAACCAGATTTTTATGAGGTGGCAGGTTAGGGCTGGGATGGCCTGAGATTAGACTTTAGAACAAGGGAAGGGGGAGCCCCAGCCCCAGGCAAGTGCGGCGTATTTTCCATGACAAGGGTGCCTTTCAGCTCCCTGTGAAAACAAGTTCAGATCTGATTGCTGACCCTGCTCCACCCCGGCAGGGGCAGGAGGGGGATCTGAGCAGGAAGGGCTGAAGCGAAACCCAAGCCGTATGCTGTGCATTCTTCCAGGCCCAGGGAGAGGTGGCCCAGAGTATCTGATTTCTGATTCTTGCCCTGGGCTGCCTGGTGTTTTCACCCCGTGGGATCTACTTCCCCTGGGCTGAGCCTTAGCCCAGAGTCCCCAGGGCCTTGGCTGGGCTGGGAGGGCAGCCAGGGCTCCTCATGACCAGCTCTCCTTCCCCAACCCCCGAGAGGTACTGGCTGAGAAGGCAGCTTCCTAAGAGATTGTTGGCAATGTTCTGCCTCTGCTCTCAGGTTCCTGAATCCTTCTCTTGGTTGATCTCTCACCCTCATACTCACCCACCACACAGCTGGGCCGTGGGCCAGCAAGGCACTTATTGAAAAGCCCTTCATTCCAGGCCAGAGGTTGCCCAGCGGCCAGGCTGGGCAGGAGAGAAGGCTCTATCCTGAACTCAACTCTGTTTGCACCTGTGGCGGCTTGGGCAGCTTTCCGAGGAGAAAAGATGCATCCCAGTCAGTAAGCAGGCCCATAATTCATATGCAAAGAGCCAACAGGGCCCAGAAGTCAGGCAGCCAGCTTGGACTGGGCCTGAGCCTGGGGAAGGTTTCAGGTTGGCCCACTCTCTCCGCTCCAGCTCTGAATGCTTAAAAGGACCCCCTATGCCCTTTCCTGCCAGGCAGGAGGCAGTGAGGTGTTAAAGGAACAAAGCTCTGGGTTCAAACCCCAGTTTGGGCCAGCAACACGTCTCCTCTAAGTGCCAAAGTTCTCATCTGTAAAGTGACGTTAGGACCACTGGAGTAGGGTACTGGGGAGCCACTGCAGGTTTCTGAGCCTAGATACATTCGTCACATATATGCTTAGCCCAAAGACATCTGTACATGCCTGGGACAGAGCAAAAACTTCACTAATCAGTTCACTGGTTATTTCTGGGTTCCCTTAGCTCACTTTGAGACACTGGCCTAGTTGGGGAGATGGGTTCAAAATGACTCCATCACATACTGGCTGTGCGCCAGGGCAAGTCAGTGTCACTCTCTGAGCCTCATGGTCCTCATCTGCAAAGTGGGGACCACAGTAGGGCCAACCTCATAAGGCTGCAGGGAGGGTTAAATGGGAGCAATGGGTAGAAAGTACCCAGGATGTTTAGTACACATGAGCTTAAGCTGATAAATACACGTGTGGTCCTCTTGGCCTCCAACTGGCCCCAGGAAGCCCCTACACAAATTCCTCTGGGGTCACTGAAGTGTTTTGACATTCCTGCATACTAGCCTCTCCCCACCCTGCAGGGCAGTGTGGTCATGAGACTGCAATTTACAAAACCCTTGGCCCAGCTTCAAGGAAAAGCGTCACATGAGTCCCACCTGTGTCTGCTGCTGAACTCATGACCACCCTGATGTGAATGTACACCTGTCTGGGCATCTTCCTACCTCCAGGACCCCTTTCCTTTTCTGCCAGTTCACCCTGTACATTGCTGTCTAAACCTGCCAGCCTAAAACCAGATCCCACCGGGGTCCACTGCAGCTCAGGAACCGGAAATGTCTTCCCAGTATCCATGTAAAAAGGGGGTGAAACCTTTTGGGTCTGACTCCAAAGGATCTGGCTCTGCTTCCATCAAGCTCTGCTCCCTGGACACATTGCAAGCTCCTGCCTCCGCACCTTTGCATGTGTGGTCTCCTCTGCCAAGAAAGCTTCTCTGCGCATCTGGGTGTACTCAGAACCCACACATTCTTCAAAGTCCGCCTCCCTCTGGCAGCCTTCCCTGATTCCACTCAGCCAATCTCTTCCTGCCCAGGAAACTGCTATAGCATTTTCTTGGCTTCTCTTTTAGGAACCCACCACTCCCGTCCTGAACTGTGGGGCTTTGCTTCCTTGAGGTCAAAGCTGCCCACTGCCTCTCTCACACTAAAAAATATATATATATATTTTACTTATTTATTTTTAGAGAGAGGGGAAGGGAGGAAGAAAGAAAGGGAGAGAAATACCAGTGTGTGGCTGCCTCCCACACACCCCCCTACTGGGGACCTGGCACGTGCCCCAACTGAGAATCAAACTGGCGACACTTTGGTTCTCAGGCTGACACTCAATCCGCTGAGCCAGGGCATACTTCTTCCCCTCTTATCTCCAAGCAATCCCAAAGTCTGGGGCCCCCAACCCAAATGGACCTCCCACCATTCCCTGTGATCCTTCCACAAACTGCCAGGAGTTGCCTTCCCATTCGCCTTCTCTGTGGGAGTCTAGAGCCCACACAAATGCCTCCGTGCCCGAGAAGCCGTTGTGATCTCCCCCACTGTGGTCCACACGAAGTCTCACCCTCCCCGACTCTTGTCCATGAGAACTGTTCCCTGGCCCCTCTGGGGCCACACTGGTGCCCCTACTCTGTCTGCCCCCAGCTCTAGCAAAAGTGCTCCCCCATTCTTATCACACGTGAAGGAATTGTTGATTTACTTGCTCCTGTCCCTCCCTATTAACAGGGCCTTAGTCTGCATCAGAGTCATCTCCAGGCTCAGGAAACATCTAAAAGTGGAAGTGGGAAGGTGGGGGTGGGGGGCAGTGGGCATCACGCTTGCTCTCTGCTAGATTCTGGCCTTCAGGACACCGCTCTTCCTCTTGCCCCCCTGCTGACCCCGTGACTGCTTCTCTGCAGCCTCCTTTGCGGGTTCTTCCTCTTCTCTAGACCTCTAGAGACTTGAGGTGCCCAGGGCTCCGATTTGCGCCTTTTCTCTGTTCTGTCCTCCTTCATTCCCTGAGTGATTTTGTGTGGCCTCACAGCTTAAATACCCTCCACAGGCTGATGACTCCAGGATTTAGATCTCCACCAGGGCCTTGTCCCCAAACCCAGTCTCACCTATCTGACAACTCCCCACTCACATTTCCATGTGGAGCTCCACGCGCATCTCACATTCAACTTGTCTGAAAGCAAATCCAGCTCTTCCCTGCAAACCCGCTCCTCCCACGGTCT